ACTATCGCTGCTGCTATCACCGCTAATTACACAATTCGCTAATGTTGTAAAAACTCGTATAGGGACACGAATTGATCGCAACGATCTGCTCGGGAGAGTGGGGGACGACGGGACAGGATCGATCGGGAACCGGAAACGACCGTGGATCCACCGTGTGTCGCCGTATTTTAACCTTTCGTTAGCCGTTCAAGATAGTGATTTTACTTATTGATGGATCCAAGTTGCCTTTTTCTTTCTCATCCCTCGTTTCGAATGCGCAACAGAATATCGACGGCCGTGGAAGGGTTAAAACGCGTCGTTCAAGTCTGATTTTTTTATCTACCTTATGTTACATACAGCAGCGACAAAGATTACGATCCAAGATGGAGGGTTGTCTTCCAATCTTTCATCGCTTCCGAAACAATCTACTTGATACTTTTTTTATTTTAATCTCGCGGAAGTGGTGGAAATTGGGTTAAAAGGGCAATAGACCATCGACACGTTGTATTATGATACAATGGAGGACGTCGAAATTCTTCACCATTGTCGATATTAACACCAGAACTACCAAACCCGTCAAAATGATGGATTGCAAATTTCTGATTTTACGATTACTGAGATTATAATAGTGCCTTTGGCGAAATTTATATTGACTTTTAATTCACTATACATTTTACATTGTACTATATTATGCTATATATTTTGTATATTACCATATTATACAATTTAATTTACTGGTAGTTTTAGTGTTAATGTCATCAACATCGCCCATAATAATTAGTTTAAATACCGCGTGAATAGCTCCCATTGTACGATACTTAACTTCTTGTAATTAACATTCGACACAGAGAATTTCGACGGCTTCCGCTCCCATTTACTCCATTTTCTTCGATCGATATGGAATTTATCGCTCGAACGACCTCTCCTCGATTCGATCCTATCCGTGAAATATTATTTTTTATTCGTCCAATCGTAAGGATTGGTTAGACTCGATCGAACTACCTCAAATTCGAAGGATTTTATCGCAGACGGTCGTTTCGCTGATTGTTCGTGGAGATTTTCATGAAAATTTCCATACGTGAAACGAGATGGATCATTGAAGTAATCGATCGATCGAGGAACGTTCCTTCGTGCTTTTCAAAATCGAGGAAACGAACACTGCCACGCGCGAGCGATTACCCTTGCGCGGTTCCCACCTGTTCACGACTGAAAGACACACGGAAATCGCAACGATCCGTCGCTTCCGCCTCGTAGATCGTCGTAATACCACTTGAAGCTCGAGCACAAAGAAGATCCATTTCCGAGGAGATCGATGCCCACCGTAAAAAGGGAGGGTCCGACAGGTTCCTCCATTTCGGTTTTTCTCTGTTTCACCCTTTACTTTTTTAAGGGCCTAGAAACACCCCTCTCTCCTGTTTCTGAACGCCGAGGAGAGCCTTATGTCCCCTATCGCGAGGTTTCTTCTCCACGCGAAAAAAAGAAGAACCGCACGAAAATTGCGAAATCAAGCGTGGAATAATCGTGTCACACTGGGTAAATTATACCCTCGACGAAACAGACGAAAGAAAAATATCGAAACCATTCTCACTGGGGTCGTTCGATGATGGAAGATATCATCCACGAAGAGAGGCGTTCATCGACGATCCCCCGGCATCGGGGTTATATCCTGCGATTCAATGTATCTTAACCCTCAGACACCACACTATGTTCATGGTAAAAAAATTATTTCTCATTATTGCAATTATTACTGTTGAAATTCTCAGAAAATTTTTCCCTACGAAACGTGAGTTCAGTTTGCTTTTATTCTCTTCGAATTTTTAATCATCAAAAATTCAAAGTCCCAATTATACAGTAGATCGTCGATGAGTGTTCAGACGTGATCCCCACCACTGGACACTTAAATAGTTCCACGGGGGACTCCTTAATGGAGGGGATGACATCTAAACATTCATTGCCAAAGGGGTTCTCTGATATGATTTACTGGATACTTTGTCCCACGTAAGAGTGCAATTATTTTGTGTAGCGAATCCCCACCCTACTTGTTAGGTAGAAAATGCGTGGAGTGGGGGGACATATAACCAGTGTCATGCGAAAACTGATGGGGCTGTGCAGATCGGTCGAAAACTCGTCCGAGCTTGAGGTTATTCTTACATGGAACGGAGTTCAGTCATTCAGTCACGGTTGTGCTCTTAAACATCAGACTTCTTCTTCGTGTTTACATATAAGTGATGTGGGGTGTGGTGTCCGAGGGTTAACTTTTAACCGAACAGAAATTGTATCGGGCCGACCGGTTTGTATATGTACATACATGCAATTATTATACCGATGAACGATTTAAGGGGGAGAACGAATGAGAAGATTGCCGTGAATAAAGAACCGAGAGTGTGTCGCGAGGGAGAGGCTGTTCTGTCTCCTCTTTGTTTGCGTGTTCTCTCGTGTGTGCCTGTGCTCCCGTTCGAAACGATTAGGTGAAGGAATAAACGAGGGAAATCGGAGCGAACAAGCGTAAAAATTGTCTCTCTTTGTTGTACCATACGAGGTGCGTGGGATGAGAAGAGTGTGTGCTTTTTTTTTTTTTACCTCTTTTTGTTTTTGCTGGGCCGAGAGCCATTCGGCCCTCGTTGTCTCGTTTCTAGTTTTTCGCTTCCGGGGAGGATATACATATATGTATACAGGGTGAGTCACTTCACTGTACTACGGAAATTTACTCATAAATTAAATAGTTTACACAAATGTTACACGAATGTGTAACAAAAAATGTTTCAAACGAAAGTTGTTGGATATCGAGTGTGAAATAATTTACGAGTAAATTTAGGTGGTACTGTTAAGTGACTCACCCTGTATAGTCTGTGATCGAGATGTAACGAACTCGTGAAAGTTTTGGTTCAGAACCCACACCCATTGATGATAGTTTTCATAACCTGGAGCTCTATACGAGCACTTATCAAGAATTTACTGTAGGTCCCTACGCGTGCAACGCCATCATTCTTCTTGCGATCTACCATCTTTTGTTCGATACAGAAAATATCAATCCTCCTATCAATCAATCAATCAATCTAAACACCACCAAATATTTAGAGAACTGACAAATTCGCGTGTATCAATTCTGGCCGTTACGACTTTATTAGTTAACCGACTACAACTGGTACCATCTGATATTCGTAGCATTTGAAGAGTGAACCATATTCCCTTCAGGTGAGACAATATATCCCCCAGTAAGCTTAGAGTATTAAATTTGTTTGTAAACTTAAAGAAATAAAAAGAATTAGATAAAGAAATTACTCTAAAAATGATCGTCCTCAGATTCGAAGAACACGCTTTTACAGTCGTTACCCAAGAGAATTTCACGAGTTCGTTCTGTCTCTATTCACCAGCTGTAAAAAGAGAAGAGATGCGTGTGTATGCGTCTGTGTCTGTTAATGAGAAACCGCGAGGGACAACATAAATATTCTTTTGGGCTTTCGTTTGCACTCCGGATATACGAATACATATTTCGTTTATCTTTTTTTATCATCGCACGATCCACCTCTTGCCATCAAGCCAGGCCCTGGAGCTTCCTCTTTTCTTTTTCTATATTCACGTTTTCGTTTCTTTGTAGGTTGATGAAAAGCACGAGCGGCTAACGGTCGACTTGATCGACGCCTCTTCTAGGTACCCGTGGATCTCGATCGTAAGTGATCTGTTCTTGTTCTTTTTTTCTTCGTTTTTTTTTGTTCCTGTTTCGTTGGGCCGAGGCTTCTTCGGGGTTCACGGAGGACGAGGCACGAAGGGGGGCGGGGTCGATCGGTTTGCTTTCTTCGGACTTCCATTTCTTTTTTTTTTTTTTTTTTTTTTTTTTTTTTTTTTTTTTTTTTTTTTTTTTTTTTTTTTTAATCTATCGAGACGCGACTTGTACACAGGCGTGGCATAATTATAAAACCATCATGAAAAATGTCTATTCTTATGCATAGTGGTTCGAAAATAAAAACGAACCAAGTATGCCACGTCTGGCGGATCGCGTCACGTTCAACCCTCGAAAAGAAGAGTGGGATCGAGCGTGGAAACTTTATTTTCGCGTGAATTATCGATTATTGTAACCTTATGCGAACGAATAAGCGAGTAACCGAATGAAATAGTCTATAATAATAATAATTATGCATTAAGAATCGCTGGGTGTGAATAAACAAATGAATTGTACATCGAGCGTGAGTCGACGGCGAGATTACCTGACGATTATTTTCGTGGAAGAAACAAAAAACAATTGTGTCTTTTGCAAAAGTGTCTTCTGAATTTCGCGTTTTTGCTCCGTTAGATTTTTTCTGTTCGCCTTGTAGAGGGGGTAAAAACGATTAACCGATTTTAACAGCCGGATAAACGAACGTTTGTTTTAGATCGGCAATGGCGGGGGGCCGGAGAGCCCAATGGCTGCGTCTTCGGTAAAATATTTTCGGAAATAAGACGTGTCTCTTCGACGGGGGAACGAAGTCCCCCCATCTAGTTCAATACTAATAAAAGAAAGAGAGGAAACGAAGCATTTTTTAAATTAAAACGAGATAAACGAAATTGACTGGATTTATAGATTTTTCACTTTGCTCCCCGAAACTACTCCGATATGTCCCTGTTTCCTCACGTCACTTTTCCTTTCTGTTCGCCAAGAGAAACGTTAACCTTTTCGTTACCACTGTAGCCACATGACTACGTATTTTAAATTACGATGTAATATATTAGTATCATGTACATTTTCATATCTGTGAGTAAATTATAGTTTCTTCTGATCTTGTATAGATAGTATGGCACAAATTTAAATGTGCATTTAAAAGCTTGTCGATAAAATAAGATGTTATTGGTCCTTTTTTTTTTCTTTCATTTGATGGCATTCAAGTGTCGAGCATTGTTACAAATATAACAGAAACGTACAAAACGATCTAGCTTTGTTCAGATATTTCAAAAAAAGGTTTTTTCGATCAAAGGTAAGAAAAATTGGGTTTTATTATGTATAATAACATCATAATAGGAATTATTACATATAACTGTGATAAAAGTAAAAAAAAAGTTTACAAATAGCGAATGATGAAAAACGGTTTTTGATTTTGGTCATCTATAAAATATTATTGTCTTGTACGCATTATTGTATATGATTTTGAGGACGAGCAGTGTAATCAGCAATTTAGGTCGCCACAAATCCACCGTCGATGGGTAAAGCGACCCCGTTGATCATGGAACTCCGATCGCTCAAGAGGAAGACAATTCCGTCCACAACTTCGTCCACTTCTAAAAACGTGTGTCGTCACAAAAAATTCATATTGTCGTTAAATGTTCTCTTACGTGAATCCTCTATACAGGGTATCGCAAAATTATGGGACAATCCGTAACATGTATATTCGTAATGCACATACAAATCGTAAAGCACTTTTCGATTTGTATTTGCAAAAGGAATATGCATGTTGCGGCTTGTCCCATAATTTTAGGACACCTTATATAAACGAAGGTTGAAATTGGATTGTAAATACATACCACCGAATCGACCCAATGGTATCTTCCTGATCATTGGTTCTGCCTTTTCCGGGTTATTCCAGCCTATTTTACCCATTTCCGTCATGATCACCGTCGGGTTCACGGTGTTCACACGAATATTGTGCTGACCAAGCTCAAGGGCCATTGTTCTGAAAAAACGAAGAGGTATCATCTTACTTTCAACTTTAACTAATTTACTGTACATTTTACCAGCAATGTTTGCGAAACTATCGATGAGCCGAATTAAGGTAAAAACTATTGTCTGCGTGGTATAACTATCACTTTATCGATAGTTTCCATGAATCATCTAACTCTGAGTAATCACTGCCACGGTGATAAAGGTGGTAGCAAGATGTAACGCTTAAAATGCGGAAACCTTACTTGGACAACATGTCTACAGCTCCCTTGGAGGCGCAGTAGACAGCGTGATCCTTCAGGGCAGCAATGCTTGCCTGCGAAGAGACATTGACAATACTGCCACCGATTTTTCTCTCGATCATGTTCCCAGCGACCACCTGAGAGACGTTCAAAATGGATTTCACGTTCGCGTCGAAGGTTAGATCGAAGTCTTCCCGCGTGGCCTCCAAAAATGGGTTCAAACGAGCAACAGCGGCATTGTTCACCAAAAGATGTACTGGCAGAACGGACTGAACGGCCTTTCTGGTGGCGTCCCAGTCGAGAAGGTCCACGCAGACAGCCTGGATACGAGGATCCTCGGCGCACAATGTGTCCAGGTTCTTCTTTGTCTTAGACAGGGCGATCACTTGCGCTTTGTACTTTGAGAGGCGAAGAGCCAGCTGCCTGCCAATGCCTATGATTGTATAGGTCAGAGTTGGGCAAAATGTAACCTAATTACGAAATCTAAATTGCAATTACAATTATATTGTAATTTTACAAATAAATTTAGTATAATTAATTACAATGTAATTTTAATTGTCTTGTAATTGCAATTGTGTATTGGATTTTGTAATTAGATTACATTTTGCCCAACTCTGGTGTAGGCCATGTAATTCGTTAAACTGGTCAACTGATTATATCGAGAGTATCATCTATAACAAAGTTTCAGTTGATCAGTATAGTATGCACTGGTCATATTTTTTTTTTAATATTTGAAGTACAAAAACAATGGTTTCATTGGAATCACGCGTGTTTTTATTTAAACAAGATTGTTTATGAGAATAAAAAAAGAGCCAACAAATTTTACGCGGGTATTCCCAAGCGGTCACCCATCCGATTACCTTAACCGCGCTCAACGCTGTTTGACTTCAAAGATATATAATATCAACTTTTTCTCCAGTAATTGCACTTATGTGTGATTCCTGCAATTAATGCTTAACCTACTACTATATTTTAATCAGTCTAGTAATCAATCTTCTAGTGTGTGTGTGTGTGTATTTGATTCATGTGTGGTATTTTGTCTTGTGATCAGTTAAGAAGGGAAAATTACGTTAAAAAACTATTCTATTGTGGTATCGGACGAGAAATGATTCGTTCAGCGTGATATGATGGTTGACCGTAATATTAAGGTTAGTAAGTGAATAAAATGGAACTAGAATCGCGAATAATTTGTACGTTTGAAACGTGAACAAACAGTCAAATATTTACGTTTTTCGTGGAATATTCTCCAAATTTATGCGCGTATTGTAACATTCGATTACATCTGCATTGCACTATAATATATTCATATCTTTACTTCTATGAAGGTTATCAAAGTATAGATCAAAAGTACTGATAATATGCCGTTATTTCGTGGTTTAGTACATAGAAGTATCTGTTGTGTATAGTAAAAACGTTTCAGTTTCTCGTAATTCGTATGCTTCTTATATTTCTTGTGTTAATTCTGTATTTCAAACATTTAATTGCGCTTGTTTATGCTATTTCTGTAGATATTTTAGGAACTAACAACATTTTTCTCTAAATTACTTTAATACAATTTGCAGAGGCTTCATATTTGTTAGAGAATTACTGGAGGATTAGAAAAAAATGTATTTAAATTGCAACGTAACAGTTGTCAGTTGCATCATGTGATCATTATTATCATGATTTATTAACCATTCAGTAGAAAGTGGAAAAAAAAGTGGAAAAAAAGACTCTGATTGGCTCCATTGAAGTTCTCACAGAATAACCGATAATCTAACTCCGTTTAAATGGCATACAAATTATTAAATAATTTCAAGTTTAAATTTACAAAGTACTAAATGCAAAATCTGCATGTATGCGTATTTTATACCGTACCTTGTCCAGCACCCGTTACGAGAATCCGTTTCCCCTCGAAGTCGATATTCATGGCTACGAAGGCGTCTGCTAACTGCTGCGTAATTTTGCTTGTTGAATATGTTTATAGTGTCTGACCCCACCAATAACCGTCAATGGTGTACAGTGCTATCAGTTTTGTGAGCTCTGTCGAGTCATTTCAAACTCATAACTGCTCATAACTCAGACGCCAGAATAACTCTCTGAACTTCATTCAAAGTCGTTGGAACTTTTTGGCGGTACATATAGCAAACTAACCTATAAAATGTTTTCCATTTTGGCCTCAGTGTATTAATATAGCTATTCTTAATTTACTTATTTATAACTTCAAGCACGAAACTACGAGTCATACAAATAAAATGAATAAATAATGTAATGTATGAAGTACGAAAGAATCTGCTCGTGAAATATTAATTAATTTGGTAACAGTGAAGAATTCTCCTTTTCTTTGCTTGGTTAAATAAATTTAAATTGATTTGAACTCCTTATTAATTCTTTAAGTCTTTGTACTTACAGTACATATAGGTATCCAAAGATTCTTGTTCTAACTAGACAGGTTGTGTTTATCTTTAGATTTTTATAGAGTATTTTACAAAAAGTAAAATGAACCAGAAACTTGTGTATCCTATCAAGGATTCTGTCTGGTACTAAATAAAATACTTAAATTTTTTAAATATTTAATAAAAAATAAATTTCTGTTTAATTCTCCTTCTCATAATATCGCGTAACAAAATTTATATTTGTATAATCACCCACTATCTACTTATACTATTTATTTCGTTTGTTAATGCTTAAAATTTTATACTCTTTGTACAAAAATTTGAAATGCTTTTTCGCGCCATGGATTTCAAAATGTTTAAGGTTGAAAGGTAAACAGTCGATTATGTATCGATAGTTCGATTGAATCGTCACAGCGAACGGCAAGGCGTACCTGTCAAGTTCATGTTTACCAAAAAATTCGTGGGTTCTGCTAGTCTTTACTCTTCATCACACTATCAATATGCAAGGAGAGAACTGATCAAAATATAATATAGACGTCGTAAACATTACAAATGTTTCGATTGTTACTCACTTGAGGGTTACGTACCATAACCTCAACGCACCAACTGTTTATCTCTACAACGACATTGATACCAAGTTGTCTTCCTTTATTTGGAGTACACAAGTTCGTTTTATTAAAAACGATAAAGGAATACTTGAATTTCAACGGTTTTGAATAAGTCATTAACCATCCAAAGAAGAAATAATAATTGTTAGTAACAGGAATTGCATGATCCTGTGTTCGATCTGTCTATCTGATTATCTGTTGTATTGAGATCATTACAAAAAGAATTAACTGATTATCAGTTAATAAATAAATCTCTTGATATCAATAGTGGAAACTAGAATTGATCTCTGCGTGATTATTACAACAATGAACACAATGGCATCTAAAGTCTTCCTGGCCAGTGGTGGCACATTTCATCGTGCTTTAATCTTCATGCTGAAACTTGGATGGCAATCACGTTTTCGTATACCCATGCTGTTGATTATGCTCATTGTAGCTATGGACAACAGACTTCAATTAGAAGTTGTAGAATTACGGAGCACAGAGCAACATAATCATTTGTGATTAAGAATCTAGAAAATTCTTGTAGATGAAGTATTTGAAAGCTTTAGGTCTGTATATAAAATATGTACAATTATTTAGTTTTTATTCTACGTCAGATAAGTGTTTTAAGGGTAAAAGGGTATTGTTGAGATGTGAATTAACTTTTGTTACAATTTTTAATTATTGTAGACTGACCATGCATTGGAATTGTGTAGGTTAAGTACATGAACAAGTAATTGGGTAGCATATGTTTTAAGATGTTTATTGTATGATGCAAATAGGATAATTTGTATTGAGAAAATTGGTATTATCATAGGGTAAATATGTATATATAGATATTTATCACATTTAACATATGAATAATTCTATATACTGTCATTATTTAGCTTAGAATGTAAGTTTAGTTGCAGTGACATAAATAAAATAATTTTATATTTACTTAAATTAGTAGTGTTCAGAATTATGACATTTTGGATTAAGTTATACATTTGAGACTGATGATTGACATTTCTTAGAATGCTAGAGTTATATATATGTGTAATAAAATAATCAGAATGTTTTATGATTGCAATTGTTATTTAGTTGTAATGTGTATGCATAAATTATGCGAATACATATATTTTTAATACTATGTACGTGTAAGTGTATACAGATAACTGTAAAATCTATCTTAGAAATATGTTAACTTTAGGAAGCTCAAATAGTTACAAATTGTTGATGATAGAAAGATGCACATGGCTAGTTTTCTTGTTTATACATTTAAGTTAAGTACATCCTTTTTTAGTACTTTGTTGAGTTAATTACTGAAAAATGAAGTATTAAATAAGATTAGACAGAAAAGAATTGAAGATAATAAAATGCATAAAAAACTATAAAAATGTTGATAGAAGTCATGGTAAAAGTATTATCTATTCATAATTCATAAGTAATTCATAGTAGTTTAGTACTATGGTTCTCAATAATTCAAAATTTTAAATGTTAAATGTTCTACCCAGACACTGACGACATAATTCTTATTGTAAATGCTTCTTGGCATTTACTGATAATTTTGTTAATTGTTTACTGGTTGTAAGTACTTGTAGTGAATGTTAATAAACAAATTTAAATGAAACTATGACTCCACTTTCTCACACACGGGGTCTCTTATGCAGGCTGCGGGGGTTCTATGACCCCACTTTCTCACACGCACGGGATCTCTTATGCAGGTCCGGGGGTTCTATGACCCCACTTTCTCACGCACACGGGGTCTCTTCAGCTTGCTTCGGGGGCTCCGTGACCCCAGATACTCAGCCCACGTGATCAAAGGCGCCTCCACCGGGGGCTCCGTGCAGGGTCTATAGCGCCACCACGTGGGGCTCCGTGACCCCACGCTCTAACCCCGCGTGATAAATGGCGCCTCCACCGGGGCCTCCGTGACCCCACGCTCTCACCGTACAGGGTCTATGGCGCCTCCAGCGGGGGCTCCGTGACCTCACGTTCTCACTAGAGATGATGTGAACTGCTACTTGTGAATCACTCGTGATTCGATCACGTTCGTTCTCAATCACGGTAATTTTTCACAGTGATTCGTGATTTCTCGTGATCGTTTCTGATTGGTGAAGATACCTAACAGTTCTTTACACGCGACACATAATCTGTATATTTTATATTTTATATTAACGACATCAAAACAAAATTTCGAGTTATATCGTATAAAGTAAAAGAATAATTAGAAACAATGAAGAATAATGAATAAATTAATGATTATAAATTATAATCTACATGTTACCTAGCAAATCATTCTTTTAGAATTTCTTGTTTTTTCTACTGATTTTTACAAACACAGTAATGTAATTCATCGTAAAATCATATTGAATACGTTTTTCTGTTTAAAGATTAATGACTTACGATTGCAGTGAGCAAATTCACTCAAGATAAAAAAATCGCAATCACGGTCGTGAATGAAGTTAAATCACGATCGTGATCGTGATTCGACGATCACTGTGATAAATCACCGTTAGTGATTTTGCACGCCATCTCTAATAGATATATATATAAGACAATATGTAATTTATCTGTTACAAATATACAAATGTAAGGCAAGATATAAAAACGAATAAAACAAGAACATGTAAAAAGTAACATTCATAAAATGTCCATTAACGATGCATTTAGAATAAATTGTCTTGTAGTTAAGTGAAAAAATGTATACTTTTCCGTTTCATGTTTTATGACTGTCATATTTATCCCTTAACCTTAAACTGAAGCATCGGATATTTTTATTCCCGTCAAATCATATAGATACACACAATATGAATGGAATAACACTTCATTTGTGCTAATAATACCCAGAATTCATGCTTTATCGGTAACGTCGGATATTGACACTAAAATGGTAACAGGGCTACGTAGCCCTATGAACGTGGAACAGAAAAAAGCATTGCATGAGGGGTCTATTCTATACCTAGTCGGTGATAATACACATATAAATCTTATACATACATGTATATGCTGTGATTTTAAACTGATGTAAAAAGCTTGTAGAATCTTGTCCTACGTAGGTGAGACGAGTGAATTGACTGTAATTCCCGAATTTATCGTCTCATAATGTAGAGGGCAGCAGAAAAACTCTGATTTTTTGCACGATCGGTATTTCAGAACATGAAACACGAAGTTCCATAAGATGATAAGTCTATTCTATACGTTGTCTGTGATTCAGTGATTGTATGTGTGTGTTCGTCGTTCGCATAGTTCTATCAGTCATCTGCAGTCATTTTTTTGTGTAACACATTCAAGAACCGCCAGTGTACGCAACGAATTCCGCCGACAAGAGTTAATCCGTTATCGACGCGTTTCCATTACGTTTCCCGGGTGAACAGAACTTTTTGTTTGATAGTCGCGTGACATTCGAACCGTTTCGTCAGAGAACAGTTTCGAGGATTCTGTAAAAATGGATAGCCCATTGCCGCATATTTTGGAGAGCGCGGATTGCGACGGCCCAGGGAAACCGAAAGACAGGTTAGTTAGTCTTCTAGATCAGATCGAGGTTCACGTAGAACAATTACGAAAAGATGCCTCACGGCTCGAAGAAGAGAAAGACACACTCCTGACCACCTTGGACACGCTTAAAAATAATGAAATCCTGACGGGATTAGAAGACAGTAAGTGTTTATCTCAACTTATTCCTCGAATGCAAGGTCAGCTTCTCTAACATGTCTAGAAACATCGTCGACAATGTTCTCGTTAATTGTAGAATGTTCTCAACGTTGTTAAGCTTCTAGAGTTTTCCGCGACAAATGTAAATAATCGGTGTATTTCATATTTTTGTTCTTTGATAGTTAATACATATTACGTGCAGAAACAATTGACATGCTTCTTTAGACGAAACCTCCGCGAGAAAGTACAGATTTTATGAATTAATACTTAATTTTTAAATCAGCTGACAGGGATGATGTGTTAAGGTACGCTGAGAGATTATCTGTGCGATGTTTAACTGTTGATGTTCTGGTAAAAATTCAACGTGACCACATTCAACAAGAAGCATTGCATCAGGTATATGTCATTCGTAACATATTATAGTTAAAGAAATATGATATGGCGAACTTGTAAAATGTTTTTGAATTGTCAGAAGTATTTTTCATACCCAAATTAGGTTTCCATAAGTGTCATTGTAAAAATCTGTGCCCTTAAAATGAGATGATGTGTGAGGACATTTTATGACTTTGCTATACCTTGTACAAGTACATACGACAGTGTTAACACACTATCGGCCGGCGATACTTTGCACAGATTGCTACCAACGGCCGGCGTCAACACTTTTTATTTTAAGGAAAATTGTTACAAAAGTAGTATTATGTATTTATAATTGCGTATAATATTAAATACTTCTAATGAAGTTCAGAAAGTTCATGTCGCGTTCGTGTTTACAAAAATTTATCGAAGACAAATTATTCGTTATTCTGAAACATCTATTTTTAGACGACCTGCTGTTTACGGACATTTTTATAACTAATTTTAGTCGACTGCCCAATAGTGTTTTAAAAGTATAATGCATTGACTTCTGGATTCAATTAGTTTGTTTTCATGTTTGTGCAAAAGTAAAGTTTCTACTCAAGAAGTTCTCATATGAAGTATTTCATTTTAGGTAAACAGTCTGATTGATAATCTAATAATTGGTCTTCGAGATGATCCAGCTGTGACTAGACAACGTTGTGCATCCTTCGTGAATGCTTGCACCTCGCATGGGTATGGTCAATCAGATAAAATATTTGAAACTGCAATTCTTGGATGTACCATGGATGACCAGAAAAGAATTAAGAAGAGGTTGCAGGGCTTATTGGATTACATTGATAAGATGCGCAACAATTCAATTACTGTAAGGATACACTTTAAACAATGCAATTTTAAAGAAAGCATACAAGAAACTCCTGACACGAGCAAGTAATCTATGTTAGTTGTTCCACAGGAGCTACGAGGAAAATAAAAGCTAATTAAACCAGGGTGCTTGATGATAATTCAATGGTGATGTTTTATGGTAAATATAGAGAAAGCTGTTACTTATAATGCATAACTGTTACCATCTCTGCATATATCATGATTTTCTACAATACGGCCATTGTAGAACTAAGTTTCTGTGAGGTTTGAGAAAGACAAAACCATAATAATACTTCACAGATATTCTTCTGTTTGTTTAAAAAATTTGGTGAAGTTTCCAGAATGAATACTTATAATATAATTTGAGAAACTATGGCGAGTCAACAGCGTTCTTAGAATATATATTTGAAGTAAAACAAACTTGATGCAGTATTCGTGTCTAGGGCACAGTATTTTTTGTCAGATAATCTTAATGATTTGATACTATTAGAACAAAATATATTTTTTTGTTTTTTTTTTTTAATACCAGATTTATGATGATGCACACATTATTAGAATCACGTGAAATTTTATCTTTGTGTGAATATCATACATGCGTGACTGCTGGTTAGTCATTTTAATGTGCCTACAATGTAATAATAATTATTTCGAATATTTAAAATTGTTAATACTTACTATAATTATAAAAATTTACAAAACTGTTCAAGGAAACTGAATACAATTTCTGTGTTAGAAATCTGGCTTCGAACTTCTTTGTATTCTAAGAAATTATGTAAGTACGTACACTTATTGTAGTACTGTAGATGCCACTATTATATTTAGTGCAAATTGAACAATTTCCTGTGTTACAAACATTACGAAAATGAATAAGGATTCTATGTACAGTCTGGCATAGTTTTAAGGGACTGTTCAATTTACTTAAAAAAATATTATTTTTTATTTTACGCTGTATACCTAAACGCTTAATTCTTAGAAATAGTGCCAGGCTATCTTATTCATATAATCTTTATTCACTTGTGTTTTTATAATTCTAACTGAAATATACTTCATGGCTGGTATATACATTAGGTCAGTTTTACTATGAGCTTCGAGTACAGGATCAGTGTATATACATTTTTTCTATGTGATAGAAATAAAGCGTTATCTGTACAACAGAACAGCGTTAAATTAACATTTACAAAATATGCTTCATCAATGCTCTTTAGGGTATTGATTAAAACTCTCTAAGAATTGCAACATTTTATTTTTTTGTATATTTCTCGTTGTTACCATTCACTGAACTTTGATGGCTTCTAACAACATAATATGTTTTTTTTTCCCTTATGATCTAGAATATTTGGTTAGCTATTATATTGATATTTGTTTATACATAAATTAACGTTTATCGTATTTTCCATGATTTTAAAACGATTCGAAACGTCTCCAATTAGACATATTTTTAGCTAAAAAATTTACCGCACATATTACCTACGCTGATCACTCGTTACAATTATATTGACTCAACATGCATAAAAAAAACGAGAGTACACTATACTCCAGTTCAACATTTGTCTTCAACACACGCAAATAATATATTTACAAAACGTAATGGTGATGCTAAAGGACAAAGGACATTCTTCTCAGTTCGATCATGAGAACGTACTCGATACGAATGTAAAACATCTCAAGAAAACCGACTTAAACGACTAAGTGCTTCAAATGGAAATAGAGGTTAACCTTACAAGTATTTACACAGTGCATTTGTTATAGTTATGTTGCCGATTTGAAAGAACATTTGATATGAAGATCTACGTAGAAAAATGCATAAGATTCTTTCAGTATAAAATATTGTTATCGGCGTTTAAACGTTCGAAACTTACGTATTCGTTCTTCTTAGGCAAGTATAACAAACGTTTCCTTTGATTGTATAAATTAACGTTTCGAACAGAGTCGTATTTCTCGGTTTTTCGATGTTAAACGCTAGTGCGTATTGATAATCGATTTATCGAAGCGATCGTGTATCGTAAATTGATCGATATATCAATACTGTTCGAAGATAATGAACCATGTATATACTGTGCGTTCATTTTCAATATCGTGATTACCCTGATGTATTCAGTTGCGCCTTACGTGGTCAACTGTCGTCGTACCAATCACCGGCACGGAATACATAGTTTTGCTTCTATTCACTAATAAATCCGAATAATTAGTCTGTACACGGTTAGAGATTAATTCGTAGGGAAGCTTCACCACATATTTATCCACGCAAAGACTAAAGCAGCCTACAGGCGTTTTTCACGAAATTCCTCTTCTTGTGGTTTTTTGTCTTGGCACCCGGCCGTAAAACAATCGTACCATTCCCTGTACTCCGACCACACGTGGATCCGTTTGGACTAAAAGCACCTGTAACAGATAGACGTATATTTTCATAAATCAAAGAGAGAGAGGGAGAAACGAGCGAGAAGGTTTTTTTCCAGTTGATAGTACAATTTTTCTTACACTCCAACGAGTTAGGCAACCACTTGTCTTTATTTTTTTTATTTAAAACAGACATACGTTGATACGAGTCAGTGCTGTCTGTAGATAATCCCAACGATTTCATCCGTTGTATTCAATAGAAAACTTGGCAATTGTGTACTTCTGATCTTTTATATACGTTACACAAAACTTCTGTATTTACTTATAATCGTTAAACACAGCATGTGGTACTAAGACTTTGACGGTTGACACTTTTTAAAATTACATACAGTTTTGTATAAAATATATATTAGAAAAAATGTACAGTGGTATGTAAAGAGTACTGGATAACAATGTTTTTATAATGAATGTTAAATATGACAGAGCTGAAGCAAGTTTGAAAACCGCAGAGATTTTTGCGGACAGCGCTGACTGATAATCTTACGTGTGTTTACTCGGCGTAATATAAGTAGGTTACATGTACATGCTGTAAAACTTTTGGCGGCTATTTCCGGTGGGGCACCGTTCTGAACCTTCCATTTCGTTACGACTAAATGTTATTTAATTTTATTTAAAATAAATTTCAATTTTTTAAGATTTATGTATTTTGTTGTTCTGTATTACAAAAAATCCTGTATTCCTTCTAATCATAGCTCTATCATTCTAGCATTGATTAACATTAAAATTCGTTATAAATTGAGTAGTTGTTTAAATTAGGCCTAATAAAAAACCAGACATGTTTTATGAAAAAATATAGCTTCAAAATTTAATTACATGTAGTTTAAATTAGGCCTAATAAAAAACCAGACATGTTTTATGAAAAAATGTAGCTTCAAAATTTAATTACATAGAATAAACGTTTAGGAGTCTAAACAAGGCCCAAGCACCGGTGTTTCTGCGGTTACCAAAAACGTCCTGTTTCCGCGGGTTACCAAGCTTCCGGGTAGAAAAGTGTTAACAGAAACGATTAAAGTAGATGCTCAGTATAAAACAGTGTGCGCTTTCTGTTCCCACACTTTTACCGTGTGTGTACCTGTTATGTACAACACACCTTGAAAATCACAGACGGAAGATCGAAATTGTCTCTTCCACTTGACGTGAACGTAGATTCTTCGAGCCTTTATTGTTCTCGTATTCCACTGAACATGAGCCTTATTAAAGCGCGTTGAAATATTCCTTCGTGTTGTACGTAACGGTAATTACCATTTTAAATGTAACTCAGTTCCTTATTTTCAATTTATACCACTTCCACCGCGGGAATTGTTTCATCTCGAATCGCTCGACGGCAGGTAGGTTAACGTAGAAAGCGAAATGTTCTTTTCGTTCGGGCAACGTCCAGATACCCGGCGAAAAATGTTGTTGATGTGTTCACTTGAACGTGCAAGGCACGTAGACTGGCGCGTTATTCAAGAATCAAGATCGATGCTAGCAGTCACGCGATCAGAAGATGTGTAGGTACTTATACACTGTACAGGAACGCTTTCGATGTTCTCAAACTCGAACTGACGTAGACGAACGAATTTAGTTTCTTTTTTTTTTTGAACACTCTTTTCGCGAAGTATCAATTTTTACGAACAAGATAACAAGGAAGGAATCATTACGAGTCGAGTGTTTGATCAGCTTTTCGAAGTGCTACCGGAAACCGGAAATTTCAAGCGGCACGGAAGATGTTGAACGTGTTCGTTAAACCGTGAAATTATATAGGGTGTTGAAGAATTAACTGACTCATAGTCAGTGATGATGGGATTAAATTCCATGTGATGGAGTAGAGAAGATTCGAATGGTACGCGTAGAATGACTACAGTAAATTCTCGATGAGTGTTCGAAGACTCCTCGGTACTGACACGAAGATGTTCCAAGATGTAATGCTGACTTTTTAATGAGGTTTAGTACAGTGATAGAGCTTGGAGTTCTGAAGCCAATAATATTTTTTTCAGTCGCATGTGGCCATTAGTTTATGAAATATTTAATGTTCAGTACCGAGGACCTTTCAACACTCATTGACGATTCACTGTAGATCCAAAATATTTGGTATCATTCAGTTCTTAAAATTCTTGTTATAGTTATCAACTTTTTGTATTTTACCCGATCCACAAGAGTCATCGATCTAATAACGAGCATTATCCTTGTTTGATAAAGTATTCACATAGGATACGAATGTGTGGCATTAAGTTTCGCTTGCGATGCGTTTAGTTCCATCGCTACCTATAAGTACTCGCTGGTCTCAATGAAAAATGATGTTGCTTCACCCTGTACATACCCAGCCGGTTCATTGAATGCGTCCCTGCTCGGGGCGAAACAGAAAACCTGCTGATCTATATACATACACACGTGACTGCCGGTCAAATACCGACCAGAGTAGACCACCTGTTAAATCTGGGCCAACATTGTGACCCTCTTCCCCCCTTTGTCTTGGCCCCTCCGTTCCGAGTACGAGGTTCGAACTGTCCAGAAACGTGACGCAAGTTCGACGAGGGAGAATCAAAGCAAAAATAATCTATTTCGAAACAGCACGGCTGATACATCCGCCGCATCATGAATCGCGAACGTGATGACGATATATTTAAGGACGATGCAGGATCAAGCCGGAGCTCTACGTACAGAAGAGTGCGTATCCGGCACAGTTAATACATTATGCATCTTCTCCAGGATGAGTTTCCAAGAAAGCTTTTAATGTTCCTTTCACACAGTCATTATCGTTTTAAACGACTGGTCAACGACTACGTGTCGGGTCTACCACGTGTGAACCAGCCTCGGACTATTGTTCTCGCTGGTACAACTTCGTTGCAACAATGGTCGATGTTGGACTGCATCTACCGATGTTAGATGATAGGGAATTACGATTCTTACTTATTATAGATAGAGACCTTGGCCCTAAACCTAGATAGAGACCTAGACAGAGACCTATTTCGACGTCAGACGATAGGAAATTGGGATACTTACTTATTACAGTCGAGGATCTAGGACCTAGATCCTAGACACAGACATATGTGAGGGATGATAGAGGATTAGGACACTTACTTATTACAGATGGAGATCTAGGCCCGGACGAATACAGTCTCAGGTCGTCCTGGTAATCGTCGTCGCAACGTCGCATCTCGTGGAGACATCGCGACGCCAGGTGCCGGAAGACGCCTACGACACCGACGTCCTCTTTCACGGAGGTACGGAGTAGTTTGCAGCCGAGCGCGCGACCTAGCCTCTCGGCCTCGTCCCTGAAACAATGCTATGCTCGAGATTACTCGAAATTGCACGCGCTAATTAAGCGAACACCAGCCACTACGCTTACGGATCAATGACGCACTGATCAACCAGGTCCATTTTGTTTTGCACGAGTACCGTGGGAATCTCGCCGCACTCGTTCTCCACCTGCAACCGAAAAGAAACCGTCTGCTTCCTCATCCAGTGTCTTATCTCGGCGACACGAAACTTCGTGGTATTTTAATTATTATTAAATATTTTAATAATTTTAACGATCTCGCGGATGACTGTCCTTTATTTGCGAACTTTGAATGGTTCTGTCCTGTAGGAATTTATAAGATTTCTGTGTGAATATTTATTTTAAGTACTCTGTGACGACAGAAGCAGAGGAATGTATAATACGGAATAATAGCGAATAAAAAGTTAAAAGAAGACTCCAACGAATTGGATGTTTGTTATTCCACTTTAGAGTCTACGTGAAATATCTCTGGAAGATGATTCAAGTGTCTTTTGACAATTTCGAGCAGTGCTAGTCCAACTAGATAGAAGATGACAATATCGATGTAGGATACAAGATTCACCAACGACAGTTATTCACGTTGATTCGTTCGAGGCACAGCTACACCTTTCCCGACAGTTTCTCCGCGGTTGATGAAAAAAAACCAAACGCGCAAGTTTCTACGAAAGGAATTCGAGAGCGTGTCCGGATGATCTTGGTACGGTCCTCGGAATTGCAGTTGTAACATTTTCTTTTCGTGTTCCGCGATACGTCGATGCAAATCACGTTGCGCTAGATATCGAGTACTCCAGCTCGAGTTGCACCGATAACGTCGTCATTGGTAATAATTATTATAATTCCTGGAGGCTGGACGTTTCTGGTCACTATAATGGCAACCACATTTGGTTTGGCTTGACAGTTCGTCGTCCTTTTTTTTCTTTCTCTTTTTATATAATTATTTGTATATATCTTCTTTAAATATAATATTATACGTCAACCACCAATTATTTCTACGACCGAGACACGATGTCATTTCCGTTGAAGAGGCAAAGAACACCGTAGAAAACTATACGATTCCGCGGGAGTACTTTTAAGGTATCACCGTGGGTAGGTTGCACCTACTAAGTACTAACTGGGAGAACAATCGCGTGCATTCAATGCACCAGAGACCCGTTTCGAGGGACGCTGGAGGAAAACGGGCAAGCATGTCGACGATGGAGGTACAGACTCGATACGAATAATAAAAATCATTTTGTACTAACTATAGTATTGAAGATTATTTTGAATGTAGAGAATACCTGAGTACTATCCATGTGATGAGTACATCCAACTGATTTTTCAATGACTTTTTATAATTCCGAGTTAGAACCTATATACATTTGTTATAGTGTTATACTACGAAAAATAAATGACCTCTATGGAACCTAAAAATAGGCTTCCCGTTCTCTAAAAGTGAAATATTATTATATATATTTAAATTACTAATAATGAGCTTTCAGGTAGGAAAGTTTTGACAAAAACAGACAATGTTATAAGTCTGGCTACACTAATTAAATGTGCACGAAACGTACGGTAGAATCGAAGATTGACACCTGAAGACAACAATTCTCGGTTCAGTGACCGAGTACCAATGTCGCGATGGAGGGCGACGCACACACTGGATATCGTCATCGAAGACGGAAACACCCTGTATAACGTGAATTTTCACGGAATGATCTAACGTCGGGCGGGAATGGAGAGATGGCGACGCGGAGCGACTTAAAATCAGCCCCCTGGCTTTAATGGCACCTTCACTTTCACATTCCGGCCATCCGTCGTCGTGACTGCCCACGGAAACGTGCTTGCACCGGTTCCACCGCGAACCGTATGTACGTATGTCTGTCTGGTTGCACGCGAGTCGTCCGTACCTTCAGCTTCCACGAAGGTATGGCGTCGAAGGAATCTCTGTCGGTGGCTGAATAAGCGAGGACGCAGGCATGGGCGCCGCGATAATAAGCCGCGGTGATTGCGTCGAATTCCTCCTGGCCCGCGGTGTCCCACAGCATCAGTCTCACGTCCTCGCCGTCCACCCTGCGGGAACACAGACACGTCGAGTTAGAATACCTTTGGGAACCTGACTGCCCAGGGGAAAATGAGAAATCTGGGATATTTCGACCGATTTCCCGTCTGGACGATCGTTCCCTAAAAAGTGGGGAAGTTACTTAGAAACCTCTGAATCATCTCTGATCTCGAAACTCCCAATAACCTTTGCCTGACTTTGGAGGTTTTGAATAGTCTATTATATCTTCAGTCAAAAATTGTCCGGAGTCATTAGAATTAGTTATGAATTGGGTCTACGAATAGGTAATTCATGAATTTTCTCAATATGAAAACACCGATTTTACGACTATTTTTTGGATAATACAATTTGAATTCGGAACACTTTCCCGCCATTTTCTTTAAAAATGGCGGCGGACGTTGAAACGACGCAGCCGTTCGATTTTACTAAAAGTCAATATTAAATTTAACAGAAAAAAGAATGGATTCTGACACACGATAGAGCTATTTATTCGTGTTTAGCGGTTAATTTGAAATTCAAATTGCGAGGCAGCCGAAATTCCATCATTTCGATGTTCGAATCCGTGTCGCCGTAAATCGTCTTCGTTCGAACGTCGGAATTCCGTTGATTATGAATTCCGCGCATGAATTATTTGCATACGGATACGTCGAGATCTTTTTTCAGAAGTAATTGCACGTTTCTGGGTGCCTGTAAAATGTTCCTCTTATTCGTCTCGACACGAGCCATCTTGGGATACTTCCTGATGCACTTTTGCCTCCCCTCCTTCTGGGCCCCCGATATTCGCCTTTGTAAGGAGGGAAGCATCATTTTTACCTCTTCTTTCATTCAAGAAACGCATCGAAAATAAAAAACAACCAATCAGATTGCTGTATCTCTTGCCACAATTGCGAAGACCCAAAGTGGAACCGTGTTTTTTTTTTCGATGGAACGGTAACTAACATCGATACCTTTCGACCAGGTAAGCTCAAGAAACATCCTCTTTTGCGCTTCTAGGATCTCGCGTACTACTGTTCAAACGGGGCAAATTTAAAATAGATTTAAAATCGTTTACTTCGAAAATGATGGGCTTTGAGCACAGGAAACCATTGATCCATCCTGAGCAACATTAATGAAAACCGTGGTAACTGTACACAGGCTAACGAACGAACATCAAGGGGCACGAATTCCTCGGATTGAATAACGGAATGCGATAATGGTTCATCGCGCAACCGAGTTATGGGCGCATTTGGGAGAAACGCGGCCGAGTTTTCTCTTTTCCCTTTTTTTCACGCCGCTCAAGTAGATCAAGAGCACCGGTTTGAACGCCGCTGTCACGCGCGTTACGCTTTACCCCGCGCGTGCTGCTCGTTTCACACGAGGCGCATCATCCACACTTCTGCCGATCTGGGCAAAAACGATTTTTACTGCCCTTTATATTAAATTATAAATTATTTAAAAATATTATTATTTAATATAAATATAGATTACTTTGAAATATTATTTTTTACAATGGCGGAAATTTTTTGTAGATATTTGTTGAACAACAAAAGTCTTCTGTTTTACAAAAACTTTAATGTTTTTAAAAAGAATAGTAAGAAAATAAAATATATAGGTAGGAGATAGGTACTTATTTTTTAAATATAAAATAAAATACAACTCTTATAAAATATTTGGAAAAATCAGTAAAACAATCTAAATATAATATAGTTCAACTTTTGTCTAATGCAATTTTTTGTGAAGTTTAAAGAAATTCCTGCGTGGTGACATTTACGTGGAACAACCTGTATATGATTGAAGTTTCAATACTTCACTGAAGTACAGTTGAGTGGAAGTAAAAAGTGAATACCGCTGTATGACGTGCAGACAGCAGACTGAATTACCACGTGCAGGGTCTGGGTTCGATTCCCTGCGCACGCACAGTTTCTTCCCCAGTTTCTTTTTATGGTTCGTTTATGTAATTAAATTTCTTCCCTACGTTACTTCAACTGTACTTCAATTGCAGTTTTCTATTTTTAACTGAATCTTCAATCATGAATATCTCGGAGAATGTTGAGTGTCTGACCCTATAACGGGGTATTTTCGTAAACAGAATGACAAAATCTACCAATGTTCAGAGTTTTAACTAAATCGATGACTCGAAGGTATTGCACTCTCCTTGTTAGTCGCGAGAGAAGTTCTCGATCCGTAATGATAACGCAATTTGATGACCGTACGGTTAAAAAGAGATCAATTGAGAATTGAACGATGACGAAACAATTGAAGGATCACCAGTGGGCCACTTGAGACTCAGACATTAAGTTCACGCTACAACGCAGGCTAAAACTTTAGATAAACCGTTTACACGAAATTTGGATATGGGTCAAAAGTGACCCAACCTCGCCTTTCATGTTAGTGTTCCGAGTGTTAAAATACCAATAGTTCATGGATATCGATTCGGTTATCAGCACATGAAAACAGCCCTTTAAATACTTCGAATTCCAACACACACTGAGTCCGTAATCAAGATTCACGCAACGGAATTGCTTTTAAGAAAGAAAGAAAAAAAAGAGGTAAAATTGTTAGAGGCTCATGCATATGCATTAGTTTCGTTCGGAATAACGTGATACTCTAGTCGCCGAGACCTTCGTCGCGGCACAGACTTTTCGACCGATTTTATATTTAATATTCCACCGTAGTACAGTTTAGTCGACCGAGTGAATACTTCACAGGGGGCAAAAGGGTTCGTGCGCGACATTCTGAAGATCGCGTGATATTTCGAGCTCTTTACGCTCGGCCGCTGTAGTGATACATATACATAATGGAGGGGAAAAAAAACGCAAGTGTTCGCGTCCTTTTCATTTTCATTCGGGCTAATCAGACCGTCCGTCCCGTTTCTTCCTTTTCATGATTATTGCAATGGAACGTTCCGCCATTTCTCTTTACAGGGGGCGAGGGGAAGGCGCATAACTTCGTTCTAACAAGGCCATTATGGTCAGAGGTCTCGTTTGAACTGTAGCGAAAACCTGCGGTCGTTCAGCGTGGACACCGTGGATCGGATTGTACTAATTAGTCGCACACGGTTAGCAATGGAAATTATGTCTTGAGCGGTGCATTTAAGTTTTTATACTGTTGGATGTATGCGGAGGTAATAGACAAGACTGAAGCAAATTTACAATTTCAAATATTAATATTTGAATATTAAAATGACGTAGAATTTTGAATTTTGTATTAGTGGCAGGGACAAATTGATACAAGTAAATACGAGTACATTACTCGATACCTTTGTTTCGATACAGAGTACTTTTGGTATCGATATGTACGGTTGCGATACCAACCCGGATAGCACACAGACCTAAAACACCCGTAAAATGGACGTCTTCAAGACGTCATGTGCTATCTAGGTTAGGTATTGAAAAAATAGCAATATTTTATATTGTAATTACTTTCAACACGAAACAGTGTTGTTTATATTAATAATTAAGCAACATGTATTTCAATATTTTCAATATTAAGATAATATAGATTATGATATGTTTACGTGTGAGCTTTCAACAATGGTATTTTCAAATATAGAATAAGCTTTCCTGCAGCATCTGCATTTACCACCTATGTTATGTTTGACATAACCTCGTTCAATACGCGTGCGGTTCGGTATAAATACATCGAACAATTCACGTGAACAGAACCGTAACGGGGTACAGCACCAAAGCACACGATTTCACCTTGATCGTCGATCGAAGGAATAACGACGAAGCGTTCCATGAATTTAATCGAACAGACATCAAAAAAGATACTTAATGGAACGGTCGCGTTTTACGAGCCAGATCGACGGAAAAATCGGATCATCGTGCCCGCGGAATGATTCAGAAATGCGTTCGTTGATCTTCCAGAAAAATGGCCGAAGAAGAGCCAGAACGTCTGCTAGGTACATAGTAGCGTAATTAGCTCGACGATCGTCTGTGTATGCTCATATACAGTGCACTTATTATGCATTCTTCTTTAATATGCTCTTTAATTATTCGTCCGACATAGCGTACACTTATTCCCCCTATATTTTCAGCACTGTGAAAAATCAGCTTTTCTATCCCGGATATTAATATTCCCACAATTCTCGCGATATTCACGGATAGCCTCGTTGAGAGGTTGCAAATTTTAGTTACATTTGATGGTGATCGGAACAAATGTTAAAAGTACTAATAGTAATAATGATGATAACATAATCACAGATCAAAGTACACCCACGAGCAAACTTTTTTTATATTTTTCATCGTGGATAGAAGTAGTTTAGTTTTATTGTAGTAAAAAAATATGTATTATATATTAAATTATTATTATACATTAAAATACACATTTTTTTACCACAATTCGTAATTTTATACTACTGTTAACGGGTTAAAGATATTTTTGGGTACAAAGTAGACTAAAGTTCATACTAATCTTCACGAATAAATGTATAAAATACGCAGTCTAGTAATGATCTTCGTAGGGACAAGTGATTTACAGACAAGACAGCACAAAGGAATAATATAATCGTGAAAAGTGGAGGATTCGTAGAGGCGAATGGACAAGATCGATCGTTCGATCGTCGAAGAGATCTCCTAGATCGATTCGCGATACGTTTCACGTAGAAACAGAAGAAAAGTGTATTATGCGTTTCGCACGCAAAAGGAAGATCTCGAAGACCGATATCGTGCAGCGAATTTCCTCGTCGAGGTAAGCCAGATCGAAGCTTTTTGTCTTTTTATTTTTCTTGACGAAACGACATCGCGATGCCATTACTGGCCAGCTCGAAACTCGTTCGAACGGATATTCCTCGGTGGATCAATAAAGATCCGTCGATGATCCGATTAACGTTGTGCAAAAACCGTCCCTCCCGATAGATCGTTTACTATATCTCGTATATCTCTCGAATATTAAGAGCGGCGTCGTTCGATCTATGTTGTTGATCGTTGATTTTATCAAAATGTTAGACGATATATTACAGAATATTGATAATTTATGTTCCGCGTGTTCGTTTACTCACTCGATCTCCCGCTCGAGAAAATCGACGCCGATCGTTTTCTTGTAGTCCCTCGTGTACGTTCCCTTGCAAAACCTCTGGATCATCGATGATTTCCCTACGGCGCCGTTACCGACTATCACCACCTGCAAATGAATATTTCCATGTAATTTCAAAAACCTTAAACGTTAAGCTTGTTTTGACTTAGTTGTCAGATTTATTGTCGACTGATCTAAACAAAGATCGACATTGTTATCGAAGACCGATTTTGCTACAAAGATTATAGCTGACATGTAGCTTTTACTTAAATGATTCAGCATCTGACACTAATAAGTACGATGTATAATAATAAGTAATAAAGTAGATTGTGATGTATTTATGCAAATATAAATTTGTAAAAATTGGTATCAAGTACAAATTCAATTATTTTATTAACCCTACAGATCATCAAAAACAACGACTGAGTCTATCATGACACATAACAGGCACGTATACATGTAGAACGATATTCCCTTCACCAGGTCACCAGTAACCCAGTCATAGGAAGACAAAACTTAGGAATTCTATCAGAATTCAAATAACATGAAAATCTTCGTTAATTTTTCAGTAAGTTTTATAAAAAAAAACATTTTTACCGATCGCAGACTGCACTTGTAAGTTCTAATGAATGCAAAATTAGGCATAAGGTCAATGGAAGCAAAATTCTGGAGCGTCTCGACACTTATCTCACTTTCTCCCTAAGCATTCATCCAAGAAATCACTTCGATCATTTCCCCCATCTACGATAACTTCTTTAATCAGTATAATTGTAGACATAAAAAGACCCGTATACCGTCTCGTGATTAATTTCAAGTTGAGCGTGGATGGTTAAGGTTTTTGCTTGTTGACTACCGTCTCGACGGTGGACTTTCTAAAAGCCATAGGTCGAGTACGAAAGAGGATGGTTACGCTGTAGTTAATTTCTCGCGAGACTTTCCTGAATGGTGATTACAAGGCGATAAAGTAAAAGTGGTCAGTTATTCATCGAAGATTATTATATCGAGGCAACACTAGTAAATTAATATTATAACAAACTAATCGGATCTACGTGTACCTATATGTTCATCCGAGCGTCTTATTAGGCAAATGACTACTAGTTAAAGAATCCTTAGATCCCTGAAGAGTAATATACCTCAAACCGTTAGACAACGGTAATAAATTTTACATCTGCTATGACACTATTCTGTACATATAATTAGCTCACTCACAGGCAAAATACAACCTCTATAGTTAAATTAACGTCTCGTAGACTATCGAGTTTATACACCTACAGGACACACAATCTAACTGTAACCTTTCCCTAAAGTTTCATCAAGATTAAATCAATTGTCAGCGTTTTCTGCACCAGTAAAAGTGGTAAAAACAGCGAACAGAACCGAACCATCAATAGGATTAATTCATTAACCTTTACCTACAAACTACTCAACTCACAGACGAATTGGAATTTTTCTTTCATTATTCTCCACCTATGTAGTGGAGAATTTCGGAATTTCTACGCGTTTAAGTGTCTTCTATTGACAGTAAATGGCATAGTCGTAGTCAGGTTATCAGTCAGGGAAGGGGACAAAATTGATCTTAAAGTAAATTTAGTAATATGTTTTTCTCTTTGGGAGAAGAAAGACAAAATCCAATTTTTCCCCTCTAGGATATGGCAAAGGCCACTTTCTTGCCTCCAGAAGGGAGGGGCAAGTCCCCCTTGGCTACGCTCATAATTAGTTGCACCCTATTTCCGAAACTATAACGAACAAATAACATTCGGTTGGTTATTCAAAAACTTAACGAAATCAGTCGTTGTCGGATCATTGACCCACCATGAAGGGTTATTAAAAAAATCAGTAACAGCCCGACCACTCGCTCGACGACCAAACCATACTGACCATTTCACCGAGTTCACCAGAAACTGATCGATAAGCGTCCGGTCAACAAGAACTATACACGGAAATCAATCGGTTCACGATTCTTCCGCACGGTGCAGCAAGTTTGTAAAACACGAGCGAAGAATGTTATCGCGGGCATTAAAATTAATTCACCGGCGGAACAAGTTCCACACATCGTGTCGAGCGAGCATCGCTCGATAGACGCATTTAGCGTCATTCCACGTTTACTTCCTCCGGGGCGCGCCGGCCGCCGGACAATCACGGATGGGACCGAGAAATGGAGAAATCTATGTTATTACTTAATCATTAATAGACGAGAAGGCAGTAAAAACGATTCCGATATACGACGATAATATTCATAAGCATTAAACCATCCGAGCGAGACCGATTCGACCTCCTTCTCAATGATTAATGTCGCCATTAAAGCGGCTCGTGTCGGACAGGTTCGAAAGAACTCCTCGAGGGGCAAAAATTGAGCGGGCCTAGATTGTCTATCGACACGCTAAAAACGTGTGTGCCTGTGTCTGAAAACGAAGAGAATTCCATCGATCACCACCAGCCTTGCCGGAAGTAGGGGAAACATGGCCGCGTAGGGACAATGTGACGTAATTAGGGAGTAGTAGAGGGGATATATTTGTGTGGGGATGTGATGCACAATGCAGCCGCCAATGGACAAAAGTAAAAAAAAGATCATTGTTTAATAACGATCCGATAATATGTTGAACATTGATCAGTTCAAAAGTTATGATTTTTGTCCCGAACGCCCATATACTCGCCGCACTGAGCGACATCACGCTTTCGTGCGTAGTACAGTGTTCCGTCGATTATTGTCAAGATTTCTCCGCGTCGAGACAAGCATCGAACAGGAGAAATGCTTCAAACCCTCGTAAATTTGTTTCTTGTACGACGTATGAGCCTTGACAACAAAAACGGGGGGAGCAACAAAGTAAAAATCGAGTAAAACCAATCGGACAGTGATCAACGGAATACTGTATTAGCATAGTGTGCATAAGTCGAGTCTATACATAGCTCTGCGGGATGTCACCTTGTCTCAACCGATAGGAAATTCTCCGTAACTCTGATCACTACCAAGGTTGCCAGGAGTAAGGCCATTGAAGTTCTTATTACGTAAGTAGGGAGTAGTGCAAAGGGAACACACCATAGCAATGGTGTCCATAAATTGTGTATTAGTATACAGATGTATAGACGTACTGTTACATCCACATAACCCTTATTTCGAAACCTTCGCCAGGCAACCCTGATCACCACATACAGACTCCTCTCGATTATCGTCCGGCTTACTCTACACAATTATTGTCCAGGCGTTATTCCCAACACTAGAGGGACGTGGAACTTGTCAGGCGCATACTTTGTTGCCTATTCGCTTTTCTTACAGAGGCTCGGGCTTCGGAAAAAAAACGAATTTACGAGAGTCTGAAGCATTTTTCCCTATAAGATTATTGTCCCGGCGCGGGCACGAGTTCAGGACAATAATCGAGAGGAGTCTGTACGTCAATCCGCCACTCATCGTGACGGTCATTTTGATTCTGTAGCCCGAGTAAAAGCTATAAGAACACGACAGGCGTCACACGAATGGGAAAGAAGTGGTCGTGCCGCGTGTGCGAATGGCTTTTATGATTTCAGGTTGATTAACAGTTTTTCATGTACAGTTACTGCGAAGCCTGCCTAGTATATAATCTCAGGGGAAGAAACGGGAGGAAGCGGTTAATTACGAATACGCTCGCTCTCGCTGACGATATCACGGCTATACGGTTTTCATTGCGTTAATGTTTAATTCAATTGATAGGCAGCGAAGCGATGCCGCGCGTTAATGCCCCTAAACGATATTACGAATGCAACCGGTGAAGATATCTGATAAACGTGGGATCTGGAATCTACTTGTTTTGGAGATATTAGTCGATTTCGGGGATTATATAAGTGATGATATTTTAGTCAATACAGAGTCTTGATATTTTAGTTCTTAGATGCTCGATACATTTTGAATGTCAAGAGTGTGTCCCGTTAAAAAATTGCATTCTATATTGTTTTCTTAGTTTTTTTTGCGAGGCACGCGTGCCAGCTTGTGCCATTTTATTCGGCCGCACTCTGTATGTAGCGTATTTTATAATGACATACCTTGAAAATTTTGTCGCTAATAATTCTTCCAATTTTTCACAATAAACTTATATAAAATAATAAACTTATTACAATACGTATCACTGTAAAACACTTGAAAATAAAGGAAATAAAACAGCAGACAAAAGATGTATAATATTCAACTTAGAAATACTCAAACACGTCTACTCTGCTCGAAGTTCCGCAAAAAACTGAACTATATTGTTAAATTCCTGTCTTCGGTTCAAAGAATACAACGTACAGTTGTGTCGAATAGAAAGAGAAAGTTAAAACCGATTAGAGGGTCTTAAATAACGGTCATTGCTGGACGGATACCTACGTACCCCGGTCATGAAACAGATGTGGAACTTTTAGGTCACGTACACTAGGGTTCATACCTTTCCTTTTCTTTTAATAATCCTACAATATGTTCCTTCTTTGTCTACTATCTTGTAACACTCTCTAAAAAATTACATGTTTACGCAAGTATATGGGTATGTACATGTTCAATTAAAATTCAATTTTACTGTCGAGTAAAAGGGATGAAACAAGCGAATGTTAATAAATACGTGCATGTCGAGTGGGCATAAAAATCCCCATCTGCATATTTACGCGTCCCAGCGAACACTTTCCGTCCCCTCGATTACACGTTCCCTCGGGTTGTAATAATAAATCAGCCGAAAAATAAGTCCCGTAGATCGTGACCGGTCGTGGCGTTCAGTGTGCTTTAAATAATTCCGCCAAATTCGAGATAACGGTGCGCCTAAAGCGAGAAGTGGGTTAAGTCGATAAGGGCCCTCGTCGTGTCCACCTGAACCGGTCCTCGTGTTCCGAGCTTCTGTATATGTATATAAGTGAGGGGAGAGAGACTACAGGCATTACACATATATAGGAAACTGGCACAAACCCAATAAACACGCGTGGCTTATCCAGAAAACATGTAAATTCGGCGTCCATATGCCTTGAGAACTTTTATACCCGTACAACGGTGCAACGCAACTGCTGCGCACGCATAATCAACTGGAAAAATGGTACCTGCTCGTATTTTTGTAAAACTGAAACGTAAAAATCGACGAAAGTTTCTAACCAAATCGAACTTGTTGAAATTAGTTGGAAAAGTTTCTCAGAATCTTTTCACTTCTAATTTTGTTATAATAAATATATACTGAAGGGGGTAAACAAGGTACAGCCCTAAAATGATTCATTGTTCGAAAGCTTGATGACGGTCGAGGTAACGTAAATGTTTATTGTAAATCACGTATAAGTGAATAAAATATATATTGCAAGTTCATATGGTTGGAGACCTCAATGGCTGCGTAAACAGCACTCGAGACATTGTACTGAGTTGAGACATAAAGGTATTTTAGTTGTTTATAGTATGTATAATTGTATGAAATACAATCGAATGAGAACTAATTTTGAATAAATAAAACAGAAATGATTTACAATCCGACCTAATGATCGCACAAAGAAATTGCGTTAAGTACAATTTAAGGTGAACTTCGTTAGTGTTTTTGTATCGTTCGTTTTCTTGATCTCGGAAATACTTCTGGTAATACTCGGAATGGATATACAATACATAGTCTTTCGACCTTCAAACTACTCGACATCTGCTCCGAAGGACGTTTCGTTATGCGTGCGTGACCTTGAATGACCTTGCGCGGGAGGACATTGAACTTATTCGAAAAACGACAGCCTACGGGATTAAAGAACGGGTTGTTCTATTTAACGATTCACGAAGTTGTCTTTTCGTAGGTCATTGATCCGTTTACTAATCGACTTCCCTCTTCCTTAAATCCCTATAAATTCCCTCTTATACATTTCATACATTATTCGCGTACAGCCGCTTTGAAACGAAATATAATCATTCCAATTCCTAGGTTGAATTGAATTTTAAGTATTCTTTTTACTTCGTAGCGTCTTGTTGCGTGCAGTAATTAACTGTTGTGGGATAAGTTTCACTGCATCGAAAGTGGTAATATCTCGTAAACTGTTACCATTAGACCACACATAGAATTCATCGTTCTACAAACTTCCACTGTAAAAACAAATTATTCTATCTAGAGATGTTATTGATCTCACAACGTTAAATACTCCAGGAAACCATAAAACCCTGTAATATCAATTCTTTCCTCTTATATAAACCAGGGGAGACGTTTCAGATAAATTAGTTGTAAGTTAGCGTACCTATATTAAACAATACAAAGGGTCAGACAGCAGTGACCATTTCTAAAGTCTTTTACGTTTGCATAAACATCTAGACATCTGGCAGCCTAGGCAGAAATAATTTCGATGATCCATAGCCACCCATCAGAGACGCCACGGGCGGTCAATCCACGGAGTCCTCGTGTCACCTGCGCGGAACGTCTTCACAAAGGCTTCTTCTAGCAGCGAATACCCCCTTTAATCGTGGTAGATCGGAAAATCGATGAATTGGTAGGCGAAACGAGATTCGTGAAAACGGGTCGATCCATTATTCACGAAAAAGTGCCATTACTCATATGCCCATCGACCATATGGCTCTCCACGTAATAACAGTGAGTAATGAACATTTTTATTGGACACTATCGCGCCGCAAGCTTAATGGGGTACAAGCCTTACACTATACGAAGCAGGAAACCGATTTAACACGAATGTGCAAACATTCTCGAGACTTCTTTCTTTATGGGTATCATAAAACCCGCGATCGTGCGCAGAAAAATATTTATCGGAAATTGGCGGCGTCGGCGACGGCCGAACCGAAAGTACCGTTTTCTTACATTAGCATTAACGAAATAAATCGAATTCGTTTGTTGGCCATTCGCTTGCAATTTACTCTTTTAACGAGACACACGAACAAAAAAATCTCTTAAAACATCGTGTTATCGAAGAATTTTTAAACAGACCCGACTATATACACTCGGTATGTAACATTATTGAGACAGCGGTCTTAATTACGCTTCCCTTCTACGCGCACGGTTAATTAGAATTTTCAACCGCGAACGGTTATTGGAAACGAGCGGCACACCAATTAAACCGGTGTATGCTAATCGTGCGAATTTCTCGAACAGGCCCTCCTAATTTCATCGCCAATTTAGTAAGCATTCCGTCGACTTTATCTCACAACAGTTAAATCGAACGTCGAACGATGCCAAATAATTACTATAAATTAATTTCTGTAGTCAACACCTTTCCTGTTTCTGAACATCGACGATCACACTTCGCCAGGACAGACTCTGGACTTCATAGCTACGTTTCTATTCGTTCGATCGTGGTACCAAAGTCAATGTCCCTAGGATAATTTTAATTTCGAATTTGAAAACTTTAAACATTACACAACTCATTGAAAATACTGACAGATATAGAATTCTCATCTCATTAGTTCAACTGCATCCACAGACACGTGTTTGCAGACTAATCAACGGATAACGGTGGCCCGTAATCAGTTTAACGAACGTTACTTTATATATTTAAGAATTGACCTCGACACACGAAGAATTCGGAGGCGTAAAAGTTCTTCCATCCAATAGGCGGCCTTTGGCTGCATGATTTAACGGCTAGAGCAACTTGTTCACCGTTAAAACCTCTTTGCCGTTCGAAGAAAAAATATCACCGTAAATCGTCGAACTCCACGCGAAACAGTATCGCATACGATCGACAGACGAAATTGGTGTTGGCAACAATAACGATACCAAATGTTAACGCGAATATAGGGAAGCTGCTGATAAAAAGTATCGCTTGTATATTATAAACGATAGAATCCTAAAAGTGATTCGAACCTATAAGGAGCCACAGACGAAGAGTTTTGTCATTGCAACTATTATTACATACATATGTAATCTGTATCGTTGAATAACTCGCAAACATTCGAAGCGGAACAATAAAACGTGAATGAAATGTTTCTCGATCCATTCATGATCCTACGAAATATCATTAAAATCTGTGTGTAATACTTTACGTGGTCTTCTTGTCAATATTTCAACACGAACAACCATTAATTCCGCAAGCAAACATATGTATATCTCCGGGCGAGGAAATAAGATGTAACGATGTACGGGCGCAGAGACGGCTTGTTCCAAGTGCAGACAACAAGAACAGTAAAAGTAATACGCGGTCTTACGGGAGCACATGCTATGAAAATGTCAGTGTGTACCGTTATAGCAATCGAAAGATAAACCGCAATCATTGGAGCCGGACCATGCATCGTACAATAAGTTTCGAAGTATGCAGATGATCGGTGCCAATTATATGCAATAATATCGTTGTTACATTAGACGTAATGCCTCTCGATAAAATTAGTACGTTACTTAGACATTATCAGAACTTTCAAAAATATCTTATTCAAAATAACTTCAGTGCCTGTCACACAATGCAAAAAAATCTCAATTTTTCATAAACATCCCCGCAATCTAGTAATAATACGAACTTTTTTGTACGTTATTACACGCAAGAAGCAATTGTTGTTAATTCTCTTTCGTTTATATCTGTTCGTTGAAAATTATCCTTAGTAAATGTTCCCTTCGGTGTAAGGAAGCAAAAGGCACAAGGATCGCAAGTTTTAAATTCCTAACCTATCGGATATTTCAACCGGCATTGGCTGTGTATATGGTACACTGTATATATCAACAATATAGATCTGTCACTGCGCATACGCATTTCCGAAATTCGATTTGAAAGCTCGGTGAAACGTACCCGCGGTTTGTAAAGCAATCAACGCTCGATACTCTCGGTTCTGCGTTTCTGATTAAATCTTCGATTTCCGAACAAGAAGCGTCGATTTCAGTAAGAGTGGTTACGCTTCGTGTAAACAAGTAAGTAATCTACTTCCTCCTCATTGAGAAAACGTTGGTACATTCTAATGCCTTTCGAGGCGCGCCAATTAAAAAGTCCAGTTCCGCACAAACGTGAAGGAAAACCGAATTACTGTTGCCCCGAGAGTATCGAGGCGAGAATGAAAATTGAATTTTTGATCACCTTGAGTGATATCTCGAGTTCTTCCTCCCGCATTCTGACCGTAACGTGATTAGCATAATATCCAACTGCAATATATCCCGCGATGTCTGCCGCTGATCTTTCGTGTGAAAATTCTACTGTTGGCGATGATCACCTTTCCCGATATTTCGATTGTACCACCACACGCCGTAACCGAAACATTGTTACGGATTTTCGAATAGAACTCACGCGCGTTTCGTTTTACTCGCGACCGATAGCGGAGAATTGTTCGTTGAAAGAGCAACGCACACACCGGACACGCGAGTACGCGCCACTAACCGACTGAACACCTGTACGAGACACCTGCCGTCACTGGCTGTTTGGTAACTTTCTCTAGTGACTTTTCAGACACTCGAAATCGGTTGCCAACCACTACGGAGCACCATTGGATGAATCTATTTGAAATGACAATTTTAAATAACGACTAATCATTGTTTGATGACTACCAGATGTTTATAAATTCATGAATTTATAGAAACCAAAAACAATAAAAGAAACTCTTATAATCCATTAAGAGTTACATATGATTCTAAAGTAAATAAAAATCGCATTAAACTGTACTTATGCATATATAAGATCGCTTTTTAAATGCATTCAGTTATAAGAATAAAATAGAAACTTGCTTCCTTAAAATTGATTAAAGATAATGCTTCATTGTATTTTTCTTTAATGCATTTGTTATAAGTGCATAAAATCGGCAGTCTATTAATAATAAACACTGGCAGTTTTTACATCAAAACACTAGCAGACTATCTAATGATTTGTTATACGATTCTAATACTTTATTAACTGAAAATATATCATTAAGATTTTATACATATGCTGAAGATATTTCGGAAGATATTTACAACAAACATTATACTAGCAAGTAATTGTTAATAAGTATTGAAAATAAGACAGTAAAATACATACGTATAATGAATTCTATGTAATTCAGTCTGTAGAAGGTAATTAAAAATTAATTTAATGCATCAGAAGAAATACATAATGTAAAACTGTTTAGGAAGTAAGGAAAAGTAGCGAGGATATAAAAAATTGCAAAGAAGGAAGTTAAAATTACTTTCTGTAATATCTCTGAATATACGATATATGTATATGTATACATATATACGTATACATATTCATATATACATGTGGTATGTGTGTATATGTATATATATATGTATGTATAAGTAATTACACAATACTGATGTTTATGTATATTGTGTATATGTATGCATACATATAAAATTATAAAGTTGTATATAATATAATAGTTGTTACATAATACGCTTATACATGAACAATTTTAACGACAATACTATTTCATTGACATTACATTTTTTTTTCTTTTCTCATCCAACAATCTTCTTGCACAGAGGATCATGATATTTCACATAGTTAATACTCATACACCATTATATCCTCTGCTCTCTCTATATTGCTTAATTAAAAAGAAAGCTATCAATAAAGAAATTATTGAGCTTGTATAAAAATCGTATATATATCGTATGCATCAATGAAACCTATATATAAAAGAGCATTCCATTATGTCCAAATAAAACTGTACAGAATATAAATATGTATGCTTATATAAAAATTTATTTTTGTACAAAATCGTTTGACATACCCTACATAAAATGATTTCTGAAATCGTTCCTAACATGAGTTTCAATATTACTCACTACGTACAGTATGACATTTCAAAAGAATAACCTGACAAAATACTTTCAATTATCAGATGACCACAAAAAGGTAATCGAAGTTCTTTCGTATTTATTTTTAAGGAAAATACTGTTCTTGATTTAGACCCTAGTATAATATTAAGTCGTAAACTCGTATTTCTTTTTTGACTTATCATAACATAGGTAATAAATCAAAGAACTTTAAAAGATACAATGCATTTAAATTAGCCAACGCTAAGCACGATAGTAAAGCAATTCTCCCTGCATACGTTTTTGGCAGTATACGTTTCGTTCTATTGCTTAAAGGGAAACAAGTTTTAAATGTTCTTAACATCACGAAAGTATTTGCAACATACAGTGGTCTCTGACTAGACACATTTTTTAAGTCAATGAAGTATATGCACTTGAATAAAAAGCAAAACAAATTATATCAAACCCTAAATTATACAATTCACGAATTTTTAATGTCTTTCTGTAAATAAGATAGACTTCTTTTTAAATATAATGGAACAAAAGTACATATTGTATAGAAATAATGAAGATCTTTTAACAGTAAATAAGTAAATAAGTATTAGACACATCATGAAAAATCTTTACCGGAATTGCAGATAGGTACACTAAAGCACGTATAACATGTTTATTCTAAAAGCATACGTGATATAAAAAAACACTATTGCATAATTTTATACTGTATAACTGTAAAATTATTTCCTTTAAAATATAAATATTAGTAAAAGACGAAAATTATCGAACTAGTAAATGAATAATAAATGTTAAGTGTAATGAACAAATATATAAATGAAAATTTTAAGAGTTCGAAAATAGCAATTTTAATCAATATGAAAACATGATCAAGTGCAAGATTAATAATAGTTAATACTAATTCTGGATTTCTAAGACTACAATGTACCACATATAACGAAATCAGAAATTGGGGCATTAACGGTTTACACACTTCTAACCATATTAACATTAATACCCTTGTGTACTTTCTTACGGTATCTTACACATTTACTACTTTTACTATGAACAGTTACGAATTTTCGGATTAGATGCATCGTTTCTATTTAATAGGTATTTGTCCGAAGTTTATCTGAGAGTTAACATATTCGAAAAATAATCAAATAAATGTTTCCAACGATGTTGAAAGTTGAAAATAAAAACATTGTTTTGAAAAGTATATAAGCATGCAATAAACCACTTGGTGTGTCTGATTGTATTAGAATAAAATTTATATATTCATTTTTCAGTCAATAAACTAGTTTGATATAATAAAAAAAAAGAAGGATAAAGAGGAAAAAGGAATGATGAGTGAACAAGGTGGATGACAATCCATCTTATGATAAGTGTATAATTTAAATTCTAAATAAATCATGCTTTCGAAAAGATGGAAGATTGATTTAAATGGTCTATCTATTGCAGGTTCCTTACCTACATCAAACATATATATAATGTCTTTGACAATTATGTTATCTCGTCAAGTTTCATATAAATAACAAATTCCTATTTTAAAAATGTTAACTCCCATAAATGTTGCCCAACAACACTAGTAATATGCGACATTTACATGTTCAGAAGTTTCCTAAAATAAAATTCAAACGCGCTGTCGCTATTGTTTAAAAATCATCCAAGTACCGATCGTAATTCTTATATCATTGTTCATGAATTGACGAACTTGCTCTACAATTTTATGGCAGCCAGAACATGTAACGAAAGCAATCCGTGTAATTGTATTGCTAAAAAAATAAACGACGTCATCTTTCGTTGCAAGAAGACGTACCGTTTAGTATAAACTGTACTCTGAAATATCACAAACATCCGTGTCTCGAATAAATTGTTAATTGTAATAATCTGCATTCTTCTGGTTGCATGTACATACAGAATATCTATTGTATCATGCCAGTGCCATGATGAAGCATAGTATAACAAAAGATAGTGCTTCCATTTAGTGCTTCAATATGCAGACGCTTCCTTGTACTCAGAGCCTTCCATGGTAAAGAAATCTTCAAGCTTCCATTGAAGCGTTTCGAATGTTGGCCTTTTCATTGGATCTTTGTTCCAACATTCTAACATAATATCATATAATGCATTCGGACAACCAGGTGGACATGGCATTCTATATCCATGTTCTACTTGATGAAGCACTTCAGCATTTGTCATACCTATGTAACATGATATCAAATAAATTCGTTGTAATGTGTCGGAAACAAATATTGACAAACGAAACATATATATTACAATAAAACGTTCTACTTATTTACCCGGATAAGGTATTCTGCCATAAGTGACCAATTCAGTAAGAAGAATACCAAATGACCACACATCGGATTTAATACTGAATTTACTGTAGTTCGCAGCTTCAGGTGCAGTCCACTTAATAGGAAACCGAGCTCCTACTCGAGCTTCATACTCGTCTTCTTTGATCAACCTAGCTAAACCAAAGTCTGCGATTTTCACAACATTCAGTTCGGCTACTAAAACGTTACGAGCAGCTAAATCTCTGTGAATGTAATTCTGTGACTCGAGATACGCCATACCAGCTGCAATTTGTGCAGCCATATCGATTAATCGTTGCAAACTTAAAGTTTTGCCTTTTCCTAAAAACAAAACCAATTGCAGCTTATGATACTTATGCACAAAATAATGGACACCGAACATGTGTGCATATAATATTATTAAATATTACCTTGCAAATATTCTAACAAACTACCATTCCTCATCAATTCGGTAATAATATAAATAGGTTCTTCCAAAGTGCAAACAGCGTAGAGTTGAATCAATTTTGCATGACGAAGTTTCTTCATGATTTGTGCTTCCGCTAAGAAGTCTTTAGGATCCATGGTCCCTGGCTTGAGCGTCTTTATTGCTACCGCAGTTGTGTTATTCCATGATCCCTCCCATACTTCTCCGAATTGGCCTTGACCCAGTTTCCTCACAAATTTGAGAGACGAACGATCAATCTCCCATTGATCCCGTGTGCGATGGCTTAGACCCTCAGTAACAGGTTTCTCAACCTATTAACAAATTTAAGCACAGGCCAGTTAATGGCTGCTGAATTCTGAAGTTTTCTTCAATAAACGTGTTCACTATGTGGCTTCTTTACAATTTATACACTAATGAATAAGATGTAAAAAGATAGGTGTATATTAGCCGAAATTCTAAAGGCCCTTTAAAATGTTTGAGCGTTCATTTCATTTTCTGTTAATACAAACCTAATTGGAAGCCCTTTAAGGGTGTTGCATAGGCTGTGTATCTTATTGTTAAGTTTGTACAGATCTCATTAAAAGAAACAACAGCAAGCATAGCTAAATTAAAATATCTATCCAACGATCGTACGATAAAGAAGAAAGCAAAGAAGAAACCAAAAGAAAAAGTGGCTATGAGGCAGGATGCAAGTGATCAAAAGCGAATGTGAAATTATTTAATTTCATGCCTTTGAACATTAGATGGGCCTTTGCGAAGAGAAGCTATTCTAATAACATGTGATAGCTAGTGTGTATTGATCTGTGATTAAAGAGTCGTTGTGGTAACTGCATCTTTATTACAAAATGTAACAATACTTTTGGAAAATTATTAATACTTATGTTTTTATAGATGAAAATATGAAGTCATTACATACAATTTCAGAAACTTAGTAATTGAACACTTGTGCACAGTCCAAGATATAATTTAAATACCATTCGTCAACTACATTTCTACTATTTTATGAAAGTAAAGTAGGAGTTCGTAGATAGGAAAAGGTAGAAAATTTGTAAAGATTAACGAAAAATTGTAGTCACCGAGAACAACTCGGCAAAGATAAGTCTTCTTATTTATATCATGAAATTGTTTGCGTGACGGCTCGTTAAAAATTTTTTCGAAAATATATAAAGTTGATTACATAAGAGGAAAGTCTGTTTTAAAATTCTTTAATGCGTATACAGGTGCGAAAAAGAATTTCAAAAATATATATTTTTCGAAACTGATTTATGAATTTAGAAATCATATACAGGATGTTTCATGTATCTATACAAAATATACTATTTATTATATTTTTTTCTTTTGTATTTCGAATTTTTGTGCAGTTCTAAATGAAAGACATTGTAGGTAATTCGGCATGAAAATTTGTAAATATATATTTAAAACATTCTGTATATTAAACAGATTTTAAGCACACAAATGATGGTACAACATCCATCGTATTTCATATAAAAAATTTATTCACGTGTTATTTCACAATGTCGTAATTTCAGTAACTGTACACCAAAATAGCACATACAGACACACCATACGCGAATCATTTTCATTCTTAAATGTGTGCTTTCAATCGTATTTCTTCTAAGAAGAAGTGTACAAGTTTAGTAAAGTTATTTAAGATTATACAAAAGAAGCGAATCGTAAATGAAAAATCCCTTCAATTAAAAAGAAAATTCACATGTTATGTCATATTGGGACATTCAATTTACCAAGAAAATCCAGCGGGAGGTAGGGTAAGCAATAACAGAGAAACAAACAAAGTCTACTCAGAGATCAAACTTTGCGAGATTGTTTATGTAACTAAAAGCTGTTCTCAAACGTTAATGGTTTTCAAAAATAAATAGTAATATATAGATTATGTATGTATTTTTCAATAGATGTTCCCTTTGAAAATCAATTACAAATTTAATAAAATATTATTCTTCCACAAATCTATAATAGATATTTGCATTACTCTCTTTTAGTTGCTAGTGCATTTAAATGTTTCTTGATAGTATTGTACATAATAACTAAAGATTCATCCTATCTTTCAAAATGTAATTTTGTTACAAATACAATGTTTTTAAACATTTTTTAAATAGTAATGATTATTATTACACTAGTTACATTCATTACATAATTTCTATTGAGCAAAGTCCAACTGGAGTTTAGACAGTGCCATAAATATGTAATGCATACATATATATGTTCCAATGTAACTTAAGAGTCAGGTACAATTGTTTACATTGCTTTATCATTTCTTTTATGTACAAAATTAATCAAACTGTATGCTTGTGTACAATATAAAGATCAATAGTATCATGCAGTCATGTTCTCACTTTCACTTTTAGCATCTTATTATATTCAGCTTACATTCAACCTCAAGGGATTTCTATAAGGCTACTAGACATCTGACTACAAAGTCAAAAAAAAAATTGTAAAACTTCGTCAAAAAAATTTGAAGAAACCCCTTGATGGTTGTTTTCAATGATAATATTCAATAAATATAAGTCATAATTAAGCAGTACGTCATATTTCTTAATACAGTAGTTATATATCATTAAAAACCAATTTCATACATGCAGCAAGCTGTCTAAACTCCATTTATATAATGTAGGATTATCAAAAAAGATAATTTAATTTAAAAATCTGTCTTACCTGTACACAGGGTTTGCAGAGACTTACGCAGAGCCCATCAGCATCTTTACTATAATGTTCAACAAGATCTTGAAGGCTCCTGAATGTAGTTCTCCTAGCAATGAAGAAACCACCTTCATCCAATTGTCTAATGCGATAGTGTTTAACTGTGTCACCATCGCGTACTATAAAAAAAAATTAAAATACCAAATATAGTTAAGGTTTATCATCACAAAAGATGATTAAGTAATTTATAGAATTATAAAAGAAATATACTTTTTACGTTTAAAAAACAACATATTTCATTATTAACGTTATTATTTATTAGCTTACCTGAAAGAGAATAGTCATTATGTCGACTTTCAGAATCTCTTATTAAAAATGCACCATGATCATTTTCAGGTAATAACAACTTTTTCTCTGCTTCAATTCGTTTGATCTTTCTAAAGTACCATCTACAAAATAATAATATAAATAATTATATTATAATTGTTACATTTACATATTTGACCCTCTAACTCCCAGCAAAAAACGCCCTTGTATTGTTAAAAGTACCACGGGAGTTATTGCATGACAAATACGAACTACGGAATCACAAAGAAAATACCGAAAGATTTAATTTAAATTGCCATTTCAAAAATTGACGTCAGATAATCGGCCGGAAAGATGATCGTATATGAATCACATCGATTCAAATCGGCCCACAAGATTAAAAAAGTTAAAAATTAATTTGCAGAAATAGGAATGAAATATGAAATTTTTAAATATTTGCATATGCTGTAAACGCATAAAACTTTCAGTCCGATTAATAAATTTCTAATTTAGTTAATAATTAATCAGTGCAAAATAACAAACAAAAATTTTGCTACAAGTCATAAAAAAAAAAATGCTGAATTTTTAATTTACAGTTATACAGGAAGATGAAAAAGGAAGCATTGCTTATCTAAACTGATTGATAGCCAGTAGTGCTCAACTCAAGTTAACAAAACTGGAGACAATGCAGGCACTGTTAGTGAAAGCAAGGTCACATTGACTACTGGACTGCATGGGGAGAGAAATTCATTAGGTGAAAATGTAACAAAGAAAACAGAACAACTCAAAATGCACTGGAGTCTTTTAATCATAGAATGTGATTAATAATGTAGTCTCTATGATATGTAGGCTATAAAGTACCATCAAGCAATTTCCTCTTGAATACATAACTGTAAACTTTCGTGTGACTTGCATTCTTAATACAACCATACTAAATCAATATATATTTAACCATATGCTATTAATTCACATTTACTGTAAGGAAAATATGAAACACTTTTATAATACTATGATATCATGATGAAAAAATATAATTATTTTAATCTATCATTCTGCTGCTGTAAGATGTGCAAACATTATTTAAAATAAATAGTTATTTTAAAGGATAAAATAGATATTTATACGACTTACGGTTCTGCTTCAATAGACTGTAACTTTGCAACATAATTGCTGGGAATATATCCTTCCTTTCGAGTTCTTTTACTCCTAGCCAGCCACCAATCCCCTTGAGTATCGTTTAGAATCTCTAGATGTTCGCCTTTTCTGAAGCTTAAATCTTCATCTGTACGTGCATCATAGTCATAAAGTGCAACAAATATTTTAGCAGTTGGCACATCAGTGTCTGGAATTTGTGGAGTAGGCCTGATAGGATCTGGAGGTGGTGTTGGCACTGGACTAGCTTGAGACGCAACCGCCTCTATGTTAGGATTGCCTATTCTATCAGGCTTTTCTTTTTCAGTATCTGTTGGGCTGCTGAAACAATTACCCATTTTTTATGTTTCACTTCAAATTCCGCCAGCAAGATATATTGACTGTCACTGTGTCATGAAACTTTGAGATCCTGTCTGTCAATTGTCCCTCCAATATTCTCACGTTTGATCCTTTTGCATGGATATTGGGATACGATCGCGAGAATACGAAATTTTCGAAACGCACATGTCTCTCGATAGTTTTGATGCAGTTCTACGACATTGTTCACACACCCATGGGTCCCCGTTTATATCGGATGCAGCGCGACTGTATAGGATGAACACATATAAAATGCACTTTGGCTTCTGAAATGTTTTCTATGAAAAATCACTATGAAAAGATCGTGGAAAATGCATAACGTCTTGAAAAATGCAGTATTATTCAGAAAATCCGTGATTCTCTTCTTAGAGCTTCTTCTCTTCTTCCTAAGAAACCTGCGACTCTTCCGTGGGTATCTAACATAATAAATATCAAACACTTAGAATTAATTCAGACACTTACTAAAAAAACATACACGATAAACGCGAACGTCTATTTGGCCAGTCGATCGTTCTTTTAACAGTGACACTTTCCATCGCGTATCCGTGTACAACGAACTGTGATATGTATAAAAACAGAGGTATGCTCGATTGGTATACGCATTTTCGTCGAGTTCGCGCTGATCCAAGCTTGACGTCATAATATGGCCCTTTTTTGTAATGTCAGGTTAGGTAGCAGAGCATCGTATCAATTTCATTATTATCAATATTTATTGTTATTTACAGCTATTTATAATAATATTAGATGTCATTTTTATTTACATTAACATCATTCTCTCGTCTTATTTGTATCGATCAACAAATAAATTTGTCTTAAAATCAAATTTGAGTATACTTAAAAAATGAAATATATCTTAATATTAGATCCAAACAAATGCTGTAAAAAGATAATTGTATTTTCTTCTAGACCCTATTAAATCCAAATCACTGGAAAAACAGAAACTCTTTGGAATGTTAAAAGATTTACTTTTCAGGAAGAATTACTTTTACCAACAAAATCTGGAAGTTAGATATATATTCTTCGACGTCCCGGATGCGTGTAGCCCCTTAAGTTAAATGACAAATCACTTAAACTGATATAGATGTTAATTCAAACACTTCCGCTGGAATGACGCGCTTGGATCATTTCTGTGAGATTCATTTATGCGAACATATGTACATATAAGCATACCCTGTTTTTCTGTCGAGCTACGAATGAATAACATGGGAGCGTCTTCTTCGAAATAGTTTGAAAAAGATGGAATTGTTTAAGCTATATAAATGACACAATTCTTTCTGGGGAATGTTAAATGTGGCACGGGATAAGATGCAGATTTCAATTTCCAAATCAGCAATCCTAATCTTCCACTTATCAACGCGATGGAAGGACAATAACTATCGATTGAATAATAAAAAAAACCATGTGATAGTATCGAATAGAAATTTTAAGACAATGTTAGAGAAATTTAAATGGAAAACACTTCTGAGCGATGTTAGCCCGCCTGATTTAAACTCGTTTCACGGACCGGTGCGTCAGAATATTTTGTAGCAATTTGTAAATTCTCTTACACGGGAAGTTCATTTTTTTTTCTTCTTCCTACAGGTAATAGTTTAACACTGGCGACGTATAACAGTACGAGTCCCTCGAGGCGCAACAGCGAGCGACGGTTGGAAACAACGTGGACAACATAATGGAAAGTAGCGACGTTGTCGCCATTGCATTAAATCGGATCCGTCAAAATTCAGATTTTCACATGCACAACAAAACACACTGTGGATCACGATACGGAAACACACGGGCAATTCACTGTTTAGATATATGGATTACGCTACGAATGTGTTCCGCACCGTGTTTCACGACACCTCGACAATCGCTTTATTCATCTTTACGAGCGAACGCGAAAGACGAACAGACTTTTCACGAGAACATGACGGAGAGGTGAAAACACCCATGGTAAAGGCAGCCAGCAGCGGAATGTATGTAGCTTTCGGACGAGTTCGGCTGTGAACACGAACTTGGCCGAACCTTTACCATCCCCAACCCATATCATCTTTATTCGTTCGGATAATCTCGTCAGATTTGACGAATACCGATGCTACAAAAATACATATTTAATGATTATCGTATCACATTATATACATTGGTAATTGACATTACCATTCATTATATTCATATGGTATAACAGAAATCTCAAAGTTCATGACACAGTTTGTCAGTATAATAAAAAGACGTCATAGGACAAAACTAAAATATACAAGAGAATTGTAATGGTATTAAGAACTCAGAATTTCGTGTCTACTTAATTTGAAAAATCAAAATGATGCAATGCTATCTTTGTTATTCTAGTATTCTAGTTGAATCCTTTATCTTTCAATTTTTTTCAAGATTATTAACCGTCTGTCCGAGGAAGATAAAAAAATACTTTATCGAGATTAAATTAAAACATTTATTATATCATTATTAAGATACTTTTTAAATTTTAGCAGTAAATTTTTGAATATATAATGTTTAAAAACCGATTAAACATTTTTAGTGCTAGTAATATAATTCTTTATAAGCAATAATTATAAAGTACAAAATTGTTATATAAAGACGTTAGCTTCACAAAATTTCTCATCAATCGCGTTCACATATTTCTATATTGTTTTAAAATGATTCTAAAATATTATTGCGGTAATACGTATATCTATATACTGTTGTAATGAATTTTCAATAGATAAAAGATATTATCAATTTAATATTACAATTATCTGCGTTACTGATATAGCATATTTATTACCTTAAAAATTTATGGAATAAATGTCGAAGGGTTTTACTACGAAATGTTTTTGAATGCATCTTTTCGCACAATTCACTTCACACGTCATGTAGTTATAAAATCGTTACATGTATTGTATTTTATTTTTTGTTAAATCATACGACGACGACACTGCAACGCTTACGACTACAAACGTCGGTATCTGTACTTGTACTGGTTGTTACCTATTTCAAATTATCTACCTGACAAGTTTTCATGTATACGTGTATGTATAAGAATACAGCGTATCGTCTTTTTTACTTATGTGTGCGTCTATAAAAGCTCGTTTATTACATTATCAGATTTCCTCGAATTATCCTCTTATATCTATACATATGTATACATATAGAGAGTATAATATAGATTATATGAAATAACTAATTATTTATTTAAACAGTACGAAAAATTTATCGTAAAACTTTGGTTTCTAATTTTAACAGATTAAAATTCTTAATTCATTAAAGACACAATAAAATTTTATGGAAAATATTGAAGAAAGATTCTTTAATAATATTTAATCAACGTCGTACCCCATAATCTTTGTATTGCGTGAAAAGAAATATGTTCTTTACAATTTTCTTCCAAGAAGGACAAATACAGAGGTGACAAAGAGAAGATAGAATTCTTAGGATATTGGCGGCTTTTTCAATATGCTTGTACCTGGAATTACGTACAAAAGGGAACGATTTCCCCTCATACATAGGTATAATAGCACTGGAATTTTTTCGAAACTTTCTGTAACGGTCGTTTCCTTCCAACTTTTGTGTTGTGACGTAAATACAGTAGAAGTTACAAAATGTTCTAATATTCTTCATCAATGTATATTGCATAAAATTAGCAAATAAAAATAATCGGATAATTTATATTTACATTTAGTACTGTCGTATAAAGTTTTATGCACGCATATTTTAAAGATGTTTTTAAATAAAATCCGATTTTATGAAGAAAATTTTATAGTTGCCTAAAAATATTGATATAAAGTTAATAGGAATAGTTCTTATTTTATGTATTTTTATAGTTCTTATTATATAAGAACACATCAATGGTTAGCAGTAATTAATCCTTTGTATTTTATTCTAAAGTTTATTATCACCATTTCTTTCGTGTAAGCGTATAGAACCAATGAACCTATATAGTCCTCATATATTCAGACGACACAGAAATTATGAATGGAATTGTATCTATTATTTGATTTTTATGATTTACTTTATTGTTGCAACAATTTTTGCAAATTTATTTTTAGTACCATAAGATGGAAATTATGTTTAGACATTCGTCTGTACAAAAAAAAAGAAAATGCATTTCCCTGGCAGATTCAAAGAGCAATTGTTCTGTTACAGTTTTTTAGTCTTTTTTTGTTACACAAGAAGTAGCTGAACCTTCATTATTATCTGTATCGGGTACTTCTAAAATTTTCGGACCATAAAGAAGAACATATGCGCAATGCCAATCGCCACCACCGCTGAGTTTTAATACATCTTCACTGGTCACAGCGCTAACAGTTTCATCGTCACACTTTAACCAGGTGTCTCTTTTTTGACGAACCCAGGCTACATAATGACCACTACTACTTGACCGTCCCCTATGAGTTAGCACTGCTTGTAATGTATAGTAACCACTGTTGTTTGATCCTAAATCTGTAATTAAAAATAAGTGATGTATTGAAACAGGAACATATTGTTTAAAAGATAAATTGATTACCATTTGAAAACCAAAATGGTTCCTCTTTCATTTTCTTCTCATTAGTTTCCTTGTCCTTTTTATCTTTCACATTACGCGTTTCTTCCAATAAACTGTCTTCGTATTCTTTAAATTTCTCACGCATTGGAGTCAGTTTACTTTGAAGTTCACTGCTGCATAATTCAAAGGCATCGAATTCAAGAGGAAATTTAACATCCTTGAGAATTTTTGCGTTAATCGCTTCTTTCTCTTTATAATAAAAACGTACAAATTGGATAGTTAAATATGCTGGCAGTCTACTAATTTTTGACTATAACACAAATTACCATATATGTTAAATATAAAAACTTGTTATTTTAAATATAAAGTCTCTTTTCAAATAGTACATAATCCTTTACCGTTTTCGTATATACAGCATCTCTGCCTAAAGTTGGAGACATTTTTGTAATTTGTTCTTGCATTTTATTCCTAAGTCCAGAATGCATGTACTTAACTTCGGTTGATATGAAACAACTTAATTGTAAAAATTCTTCTTTTCCTTTAGTAGGTTGTTCATCTTCAGACTCTACACATTTTAAATCCGTATCAAAAGTTCCTCCAAAATATTGTTCGATCAATGAACGAGGCTTATGACATTGTCCATCATCTTCTAAAGCTGCAGGATTCTCCTGTGATCATTTTATATTTATATCATCTATTGAATAACATGCACACATAATGTCTACTATTTTTTGCCAACATAATACTTAGTAAACATCTTTTCATGTTGAATATTTGAAATTTTGAAACTATAACTACAATTCATACGTTTAAGATCATTCACTTACAAAGCAGTGAACACCGATTCTTTAATGGAAAAACTAGGAATAGATATTTAAATTACTGTATTGCTTTTCATTCTTAGTCCCATACAGTACACTACTCGAGTAGTGTAGAAACATGAAATACTGATCTATATTATTTATTATATCAATTTCTTTCATAAATCAATGAATATTTTAATAACCTTTGCTAACAATTTCTGTTGTAACATTCTAATAAGTTCTGTCCAACATTCATTAGCATCCTGTTGCTGAAATCCACCGTGCTCAGATTTTTCAGCAAATCTTGGAAATGCTAGATGCATCATTTGCACAAGAACAACAGGTGGTAAAGATGTTCCTTTGTCCATACTCTCGTATAGATCTCTTAAAGCAGCAGTTATACTTTGAGCAGGTACAAGCGAAGAACTGCCAGCAGCTGCAAGTCCACCTGAAAAATTCTTCAAAGCATCTCGCAATTCAGGGACAGTTTTCAGGCACTGTACAGTTGCATTGAGATAACATGTATTTCCTAAATTTGTTAAACCGGCAGGTAAATCTAATGCACTGGCTAACTCAGACTCATTCATATCTTCTAAAAATAATGGTTTTTCTGTGGGCTCCACTGGTACATCTTCCTCTTTGGAACCCATCATTAACACAGTAATACCCTATAATGAAGTAAAAACTTATGAAATTCATCGACAAAATTTTAATCTTTAACTTTTGTTACTTATAAAATATATCATTGTGAGTAGAAATATCAGACAATTCAAATTATATTCTTACATCTTTTAATTTCATGTTACCCCAGTCATCATCTTTCAATGTCATTCCTTTTAACATGACTTTTTGCCTTTCTGGCTGTACACCTGTCAGTGCAAAAAGTTGTGCTTTGAACAACATTGGTTCTTCGTCCGTATTAACTTCTACACCGGGAAAAAATTCCTTTCCCCATTTTACTTTAACTAAAACAGAACATCTTAAATGACAATTACTGAAAATCAAGTGGTAGAAAGTTGCAAAAAATATTTGTAGGTTAGACGTTTGAAATTTTTGAATTTTTGCAACACATACTCGAGTATTGAGGCATATTTCCTTAGATTTTTAAATATATGTATTTCGTGTGAATATATACTAGTTAGTGAACTTAATTTTCACAGTATTTGTTCACTAATGATTGCAAACTTGGGTAAAATGCACCGTCAGACAGTCACATGTATATGTAAGTATATATGTATGTAAGTAGAGTAGAGTAGTATACACATTCGGCGCACAGAATTTGTCGCTGGTAGATGGCCAAATGCAATAAAAAAAATGTACGCTACATTATTAAATTTCATTTCAACATAACGCCCGAAATAATGAATAACAACATAAAACATTGTATTATTAATCACATAAAATATGCATGAATCAATCTTTTATTATGTTTTCTGTAGGATAATAACATATTTGCTTAAATAGATGTACTATTCGCGCGATTTACTATAAATTAGGACCAGCCTAAAAATTATTAATGTCAAACTATCACATTGTTATAATCGTGACGTTCAATCACGATTTCTAATCTCACTTATTTGCTATAATGTCTTGTGTAATGACTATAACAATACTTTTATGTTACAACAATTCACATGTCATGGTATTTTTGGAGTATTTGTACATTACAATCAATGTATGCAGTAATCTTATTGTGTAGGTTTTTAAGATTTACATTTTGCACAAAGAAACGTTTGAATTTCATCTAGTAGTATAATGAGATGGCAAGTGTAGTATTTTTTTTTTAACTAAGCCCAAACTCGTAGAGTTGAATCCCAGCTTCCAGTTGAAAGGGCAGTTCCATCCGGAGAAACTCGTAAACAAGATACTCGATTTTCATGCCCATACAAAAATGCAACTCTTTGGCATTTCAGAGTATCCCATATATTTACAGTGTAATCATTATAACCGGCAAACAGTAGGCGTCCACTGACACTTAAGTCAACAGCGTTTGCTCCAAATATTATACTTTCTTTTGCGTAAACGGCTATTTCTCTATCCGCGCGTAAATCAAAAAGACGACAGGTTGCGTCGTCAGAACCGGTTGCGACTGCATCACCACCAGGATGAAATTTTACCTAAACTCCAGATGAGATGATTATTTTTCTTTTAATACTGTTACCTTACTTCTATAAAATAATAGTATAAACTACTTGTATACAGGGTGCGCCTGCAAGGATAGTAAGAGCGAGCAAAAGGTGAAATATTTATGCAAAAATAAATCAAAAGTGTAGAATAAAATGCGTTCATCTACTTTTGATTTCTTTTTGCATAAAGAAATACCTTCTGCCCGCTTGTACCATCTTTTCGGTCGCCTCCTGTATAGAGGATGTTACGGAAATAGGTGGACAAGCTTTAGAAGCTCATTCTACTTATCTTAAGGGTAAGATTATCCTTAAGCTGAGTATAATGCACTCCTTTCGTTGTCCATCTACTTCTGTTACAATCCTCTACATCAATGAATAGTTTGTAGAATAAACTGTTACATACAGAGTTAACATCAGAATGATGTCCTTCGAAACTTTGAACACATTGACCGGTGCGCATATCCCATATTAGAACCATTTTATCGCAACTACCGGAAACGAATGTGTTACCAGTTTCACTTGGCGCTAAATCGATAGACATAACGTCACTGGAATGCCTGAGAAAGCTCTGCAATAATTGTCCGCTCTCTACATCCCATAAAGCGCACGTGCTATCTCCGCTACCAGTTAAAATTTGTTGATCGCTATTAGGAAATACACAACATGACATATAAGATGTGTGCGTAGCAACGGTTTTTTTGCGAGTCGATACATCGTCTTCCTGACTTAGAGGATATACAGTAACTTTATTATCTAGTCCTCTGTAAAGAGCAAATACAGTATTCAAATCGTTATGATGGCAATTATCCATAAACATATTAAAATTGATGCCAAATCAAATGATCACCATAGGTCATTAAGGACAAGTTTGACTACAGTATTTATGGGACAAATGTGTGTTTATGGACAGTGTCAGAAAAATGACCTCGAGTGACCTATTGTTTTGATAATGACTTTAGTTCGACTTATGTTTAATACCCGCATGCAACGAGAGCACCACTTGGAGCATAAGCACAAGCCATAACCCAGATTGTTGGCATAGTAAGGGCATGTTCTTTGTTTGTTGTAAATGCATCCCATATTATCATTTTGCCATCCTAGAATGTTTGTTATATGAAGAAATATTGTGAAAGAATAAAAAAAAATATTGAAGTACATGCTAACCTGTGAAGAGGAAACAATATGTCGTTTATCAGGTGACCAATCAGAACAAAGAACTTTTGCTTGATGGCCCTTTAAAACACGACGTGGTTTCACATTGATACAACTGATTGCTTCAAGCCTATCCGCAACACTGGCAACTGAAATAATAATATTAATAGTTCAATGGTTTAAGTGTTGTGAGTTCTTTTGAAGTTATCAAATGATACATATTTTTTTCGTGTACTCTATAAGACTTAACATTTTTCTTATAATAAAATTAATATGACAATTACGTGTAATATCATTTAACTTCTGTCGTTCTTCCTCTAAGCGTACTTTCAAAGTTTCAGCTTCTTTCACTAATTTTTCTATAAGTTCTGATTCAGTGGCAGCATCCATATTCTCAGATGTATGCTACTAGGTACTCGTTAGTAAAGGGAAAGTGATTCCACTATACACAGTGCCATTCGAATTTATCTTCTATAACAAATCAGCCTTCATTTACCTGAAATATGCTCTTTAAATAAGACGGTCCTCGTTTCATTTTGCATAAACTGTAAACAATAAATTACCAGTCTTGTCACCTGCCATTTCTGAATAAGAAACACGGCCGAGTTGTAATTATTAAGAGAACAACCTATGTCTTTCTGCATGGACGAATTTTTAAATCGTTTCTCACTTCTTTGCCGCTGATTATTCATTTGTTTTTACTCTGAATCAGTACCAGTATTTCTTTAAAACACGGTCAACAGCAATAATCAATACGATACGACAATAACAAACTTTAGCGCCGGTGCAATAACGCTTTCATACTCGACCAACTTAACCTGAACGTTTGACAGTTCATGGAAATTATAAAATCGTCCACTTTTTTATAAATATTGATTTATTCCCGCGTAATAAAGTCGACGATTGATAACAATCATTACTGAATAAAAGAATTTGTCATTGTTAAACAACTATTTATATACTACCCCTGATTCTTACTATGTATATCGAACCTTATCGAATTCAAGCACTTTCACGTCCAACAGTTGAATTCTTACTGGTTTCTGAATAAAAAAATATTCAATGAAATGCTTTTGAATATTCTGTAAAATGAATAAATGAAATATAAAATATGAGAGGAATAATTTTATATAAATGTATAAACAACTGAAACATGAATATTACATATTTTATACAGTTCTAAAAATGTTTAAAAAATAATATTGTTTAGAGTTTTTATTCAGTTCTTGTATATATATATATATTAGAATGTTTCATAAATTTCTATTAGTAAACGGTGGATGTTAGTTAACTTCATATCTTCGTAGACTTATTTACGAGAGTAGCATTTAAACAGATATTTCTTGCTTTTATTGATGCTTTTAGTATAATAAAAGTAAAATATATAATCCATTAAAGATAAACTAAGTTTCTATTTTACCGTATTTTGCACAGTTGCAAAAAATGCGTAAAACCTACAATCTACTTATTACTTAGTAAAATAACTTCGTATTTCAATTGTAAAACAATGAAATTCAACTCAATTCAACTGATTTTGTTAGTAGTCGATGACATTAGTTACGGGTGTCCGTTGTACATTTATACATATAAATAATAATATAATATAAACCTAATTTCAAATTTAACGTTATTAAATGATAATCGTATAATTATTGTACAATAATATGCATTTTGTATCTAAATTTGGCGCTCATTTCTTAATACTGGGCTGTGCAGTTGCGCATAACCTCGTATCCAAAATCTAATACGTTAAACTCGTATATTAAACATTAGTTAATTAAGTATCTCTATTTATAAAACTCTATACGAAATATAAGTTACAGAGAATTTTTCGCTTAGAATATTAGACGAAATATAAATTATTCGATGAATTAGCGCATGTATCTGGATACGAGATTACGGCGCAAGTCGATGGATATCGACTTCCTGCCGGTGTGGATGTCAGAGTGGGGTTGAACGGGACGTTCTTCTGCTCGTCCCCGTCTTGACCGTTCTTCGTTTCCGAATTCATAGTCCGGTTGACGGACTTTCGACACATCAAAATGGCTCAACTGTCCCTCCGTTTGGCTTCTTCGATAGCGAGACAATTACCAAATGCTTCGATCCAGGTAACTTCTTTTATTAAAGTCTTCTTTCAACGATTTATTCGTGAGAAAAACTGCCGAATCGAACACGCCGACATTTTCCACCTTGCGACTACGACTCGGGAACTTATGTACCACTTCTTGGATTCTCTGTTTTCATAAAGTGAAAAGTATTTCTTGTTAATCAATGGTGATCTTTCTTCGAACTGTGTGATAATAAAAGTGTTCATTTTCTCACAAATGCATTTCTTATGGTCTATTACATAAACAGAAGAGCACCAAGTTATGTAATAAGTATTTGGGTGGTATTGCCCATGGAGTACAACAAAACTAAATTGTAATTTTTCCTTGTAGATCAAGTGGCCTGCTGTCAGTGTTGCTTCCTGCAAATACCATGTATCCTGCAGCCGTCGCTCTGCTGAAATCTCTTCTATCTTGGAGGAACGTATACTTGGTTCTGCACCAAAGGTATACAACTAAATTCTATCAGTAATTGAAAACACATTAGATAATATGAATATACACGATTAATTGATTTTTCAATTAAATGTTATGTAATGGTTCAGTTTTGGTATTTTCTATGACATAAGTTATGTAAATATGTTTATGACACTTCGATATAATTTTCAATTTGGTATTCATATTCAATGAAATTATAGACCAATCTTGAAGAAACTGGGAGGGTCTTGAGCATTGGTGATGGTATTGCTCGTGTCTATGGGCTTAAGAACATTCAAGCCGACGAGATGGTGGAATTTAGCTCGGGGCTGAAGGGTATGGCTCTGAACTTGGAACCTGATAATGTTGGTGTCGTCGTATTCGGTAATGACAGGCATATCAAGGAAGGTGACATTGTTAAGCGTACTGGTGCCATTGTGGATGTGCCAGTCGGCGAAGAATTATTAGGACGTGTCGTAGATGCGTTAGGTAATCCTATTGATGGCAAAGGACCCCTTAACAACAAATTGAGGTTCCGTATTGGTACCAAGGCACCTGGTATTATCCCTAGGTATTTATTTTTTTAAGTACTATTAATATTTCCCATACAATAATTAGAGAAAGTATAACTTTTCATTCAAACATTTTATTCTGTTATGTAATTTTTTTTTTATAGGGTTTCTGTAAGAGAACCTATGCAAACTGGAATTAAAGCTGTGGATTCCCTGGTACCAATTGGTCGTGGTCAGCGTGAGTTGATTATTGGCGACAGGCAGACTGGCAAAACTGCTCTTGCTATTGACACAATTATCAACCAGAAACGATTCAACGACGGTGGAGAGGAAAAGAAAAAACTGTACTGTATCTACGTTGCCATCGGTCAGAAGAGATCGACTGTGGCCCAAATTGTAAAACGTCTGACAGACAGCGGAGCCATTAATTATACCATCATTGTATCTGCAACTGCTTCTGATGCTGCACCTCTGCAGTATTTGGCTCCTTATTCCGGTTGCGCTATGGGAGAATTCTTCAGGTATATTTCATTTATATAAACTTCATGTATGAGGATACAAAGACATTGGAATTTTTAGTAAATGATGCGTTATTAAAATCTTCCAATTCACAGAGATAATGGCAAACATGCGTTGATTATCTACGACGATTTGTCCAAACAAGCCGTTGCCTATCGACAAATGTCTCTGCTGTTGAGACGACCACCGGGTCGTGAAGCCTATCCTGGTGATGTATTCTATTTACACTCCCGTCTTCTTGAGCGAGCGGCTAAAATGAACGAGAGTCTGGGTGGTGGTTCATTAACCGCTTTGCCTGTTATTGAGACTCAGGCTGGCGATGTGTCCGCCTATATTCCCACAAATGTTATCTCCATCACTGACGGTCAGATCTTCTTGGAAACTGAATTGTTCTACAAAGGTATTCGTCCTGCTATTAACGTAGGTCTGTCGGTATCCCGTGTCGGGTCTGCTGCTCAGACCAAGGCCATGAAACAGGTAATTATCTACTTGTATAATCAAAATGTGTACATATTTGTGTCTATTGAAAAATTCTTGGAGTGGTTTTTCTTATTTTATCTACATTCCGCCCGATAGGTCGCCGGTTCCATGAAATTGGAATTGGCCCAGTATCGTGAGGTAGCAGCCTTCGCACAGTTTGGTTCTGATTTGGATGCTGCGACCCAACAACTTCTGAACCGTGGTGTCAGATTAACAGAACTTCTGAAACAGGGACAATATGGTAAAAATTTATACATACAATAAATTGAAATATCGGAGATATTAAACCAAGCCTGTCCAACACATGTGGCTCGCGGGTCACATAGCCAGACGACGCGGTCCCCACTATCACTCAGTCCATTCCCCACTAGTCGCCTGCGCTGCGTTGCAATCGGGGAGCAGGCGGTACGTGCAGGTAGGGATTTCGAGAGTGTCGGAAGTAGGGACAGTCAGAGCATGCGCACGCGCGTCCTTGCCTCTATCTCATTGGGTTTCTTGTGGTGGGGGGTCATTCCCCTCAGCTGAAAGAGCAAGGTGGTAGGGGCGCGATTCGATTTTGACCCGCAGGCCACATGTTGGGCAGGCCTGTATTAGACAATAACAAGTACATATATAACATTCTATAATAATTTTTCTCAGTACCCATGGCTATCGAGGAACAAGTAGCCGTTATCTACTGTGGTGTCCGTGGATACCTCGACAAGATGGAACCCTCCAAAATTACTGCCTTTGAAAAAGAATTCCTTGCCCACATCAAGTATGTATCTTAAAGTAACTATTATATTCACTATTATTTAACCGTAATATTAATTGTACGTTTGAATGTTTTTAGATCTTCACAACGGGATCTCCTAAACACCATCGCCAAGGAAAACACTATCAGTGAATCCTCCGATGCGAAATTAAAGAAAGTCGTCACTGACTTCCTTGCGGCTTTCTCCGGTTAAAGTGTCAGTGTGAATAATATTTCTCTGCTATGCAAGAGCTATGTGCAAATGATACTCATTGTTCTGAGTTTCTAATGTATACCATTTGCACATTATAAATATTATTACGAAAGAATTCCACATTCAAACGCTAAACATGATAGTCCTACACTTATACGCATTACATGTTGATCGTTATAAACGGAAAGTATCACAATTGGTTATTGAGAACATGTACTTCTCCTGAAGAAAATTCCATTCATAGCAGAAGTGGGAGAAGTATGAGAAAGCGAAGAGTAATAAAGTTCTAGAATTTTTTTCATATCTGTGGTCATTCATTTTCCCTTAATATGAAAGCATCTTTATTTCATTACGCTAATGTATGTTTTCAATTTTTATCATATAATATTAAATGTATATCTTGGTAAGATGAAGATGATCTTTGAGATACAGCGAGGAGGAACTTCAACATAATGGGGATAAAAATTATAATTCTGTATTAAAACGTGCCGGTGACTATGAAAGTAGTAATGTAAGTCAAAAAACCAAAAAAATTGAATTTTCCACAATTTTCACACCATTTTATAGTTTTCAAGTTATCGTATTATATTATAAAACAGTTCATACATTTGAAAGTTTAAACCGAGTTTGCGAGGACTAAAATTCTCCTATACAGATCTTATTGGTTTTACACATGAAATTTGACCTCGTTCATTTTCTTTTTATTAACTGGTATTGCAGCAAACACTTTCGTAATCTGTCCCGTACCGATCGTACTCTTGTTGTTTTCACGTATAGTAAAATTTTGACCTTCCATTATTGGCATTTTACTTAATAATGTTATTCTGGCGGTTGTAAATTCTCCTGGCATTAACATACTAACTCCTGGTTGTAGTAACAAATCAAAGCGGCAATATATATTCCATGTTGAGCTATAAATCATCGTGCAGAATCCGTTTGCCTACGAGAACAAGCTGCAGTTAAAGAAAACGAATGCGAAATTGCATTATGTAACATTTATCAAAATGAATACCGCCATCGGTGTCCGGCGTCCACCTTCTTTTGTAGACAATAAGTAGAACTGTGCTTCAAAATGATTAGTAATATCTAAACTGTTGCTTTGACATACCATCATTCCTCTACGCACAGAATTTAATTTAACACCCCTTAATAAGAGACCAACGTTTTCACCAGCGTGTACTTCTGGCACGCTGTTCTGGAAAATCTAATACAAATACATAATTTAATAATCTTGACAATTAGCAGTTTTGAATCGTACTATATACATCATATGAAATATTGATAATATTATAATACAGAGTGTTGTATGTACACACATAAATATTTTCAAGTCTATCTTGAATAATGTCAACGAAATATACAAATCGAAAGTTACTGTTCTATTTAGATAAATGGAAATAATCTCTGAAAAAAAGCAGATGATATTTGGGTCTTTAGAAACTATACATACTGAAATAAAATTAAAGTTTTGTCTAAAATAATACGTTATTATATAACCCTTATTATTTTAAATAAAACAATAGAATACTAAGTATTACCTGCATGTCTGAAATACGTGTCTTAATCTGTGTATCAAAACCCAATAAATCTGCTGTTACACCCTTCTTTACAGTTCCCTGTTTCAATGTTCCTACCACTACTGTACCTCTACCTGGTACATTGAACACATTATCAATTGGCATTACAAAAGGAGAAACATAATCTCTTGTTGGAGTTGGAATATGCTTATCCAAAGCATCCAGTAACACCTGTATAGAAGGAAGACCATGCTTTGATGTATCTCCATTCAAAGCACACAAAGCTGAACCACAAACGATTGGAGTTTCTATACTATCAAATTTATATTCAGACAGTAATTCCCTCATTTCGATTTCTACAAGTTCAGCGATTTCCTCATCTGCTTTGTCAACCTATACATTATTCAATATGAATTGACAATTTATAAATGTTTATCATTTAACTGTAATTATTTGTGTTATGTATTAACCTTATTTATATATACAACAAGGTGTTTAATTCCGATCTGTTGGACCAATAATAGATGTTCCTTCGTTTGTGGCATAGGACCATCATCAGCAGCAACTACTACAATTGCACCATCCATCTGTGATGCTCCACTAATCATATTTTTAATGAAATCGGCATGGCCTGGACAATCTGTATGAGCATAATGTCTCTTCTCTGTGGTATATCCAACATGTGCAATATTTATAGTGATGCCACGTGCCTTCTCCTCAGGTGCTTTGTCAATTTCATCATAAGATATATATTTACAATTTTTACGTTTTTCTGATAAATATTTTGTTATAGCGGCTGTTAGTGTTGTTTTACCATGATCTACATGCCCTATTGTACCTACATTGCAAACCTCCGGTGTCACTGAATCTACTTTACTACAATAATATTGTAGATTCTGTTTAAATTTTGGTAAGTTACTTCTATGTGATAATACTTGTAATAGATTATGTTTTCCATAGAAATAATTTATGATTTGTTTTGGTTTTACTAATTTATGAAACGCCATTTTTATATTAATATTCTATTTTATCATTGCATACATTTTACACTTTCACGTTACATGGGTGTAAAGTTAAAATTACCTTTCACTTTCAATTAAAACTAGTTTTACTTAATGTTTAAATACGAATTGTATCGAACAATAACATCGAATCATATGGATACCAGCATTCCTTACTACCACTACAACAGGAATTCGTCAGTAGACCCACTAGACCTAAGGACAGAACTACAATCGAAACTTATTTTACTGTACATTTTGTATGTATACACTTACAATATCCAAATAAAACATATTAATATATACGAAATCACCTGAAATACAAATTTATAGCGCTATTATATAGTTAAAAGAGAAGTTGAAGTTCCTATGGTCGGATCATCGATGACTTATTGATGATCTGTTACCAACTGTCATCGAATTGTACAGAGCGACGAGTTCACGTTCATTCAAGTGCTGTAAAATTCTGGTTACGGGTGACCATTGACCCAGCCGTCGGTTCTACGGTCCATGCTCCGAAAATTAAATCGATCACGTCACATGTTTATCTTTTTGGTGGACTGATGACATCATATGGTTTTAAGAATAAAATAAGCACACAATAATAGTGTTTACGAACTGAATAGATAATACACATACGTAATTATTACATTATTCATGTACGAAATATAATTCAGTTAGGTATACTTCAGGGTGCGTAGTATACAACAAACGTATTATTTTATCAAGTTGAAAAATTATCAAATATTGGATAACTTTATTTAATAAATTTTTCTCAAATTTTCAGATGACGAAGCTAATGGAGTGGCTATTATTTGCAATTTTATTTTTTGGTGTGTGGCTCAATGCCATCACAGGAAACATTAATTCAGTGGTCATAGCAGAATGGCACCAAACTATTGTGTTCTTACCAGTTATTGCCTTATTCTTGTTTGGACTATATGCAACTATTACCATTTTGTATAGGGTTTTTACATTCAACAATTGCGAAAGTGCATCTGTTGAATTACAGCAAGTAAGTATAAAAATAGATGAATGGTATTGTATCAACTTTTATATTAAGCATATCTTTATTTTAATCACTGTATTAATTTTTTTTTAGCAAATAGATGAAGCTAAAAAAGATCTCCGAAGCAAAGGTGTGAGTTTAAAGGGCAAAATTGCTTAAATATTTTTACATTAACTAAACAAAACAATGCGTTTTAATGTATAAAGTTATTTTACATAGGTAACATTGTACATACTTCTTAAGAATATTTTATAACAGTTAAGAAACCACTGAAATTTGTGTAATAAAAGTATTTGTGTTTATAAATAAGGTGTATTAATCCTTTTGTTCTCAGCATAAGGCTCCTGTACATTGTTAGAAATACATAAATGCTATAGAATAACAAAGGAACATCAAAAAAGAAATCTAACACCCCTATCAATTGTAAATAGAAACATTTCTACTTAAGAACTTACATTAAATAAGTGGCCACAAACGATTCTTCGCACATGAATTGAATCGTCCCATGGGATTACAAAAGGTTCATACAAACAACGAAACTTTTAGTTTCATATGTTTATTAGATACAGAACAATAGAGGTTGAAGGTGTTTAGCATTGTGCTTTAATATTTAAATTTGAAGCATTTATTTATTATACCACAAACAAAATTTGATGAACAACAAAGAATATGATTTTGCTTGTTAACATTTTAGTTTTTTGGTATTTCATATGTAAAGATAGCTGAATCGAAAAGGTGTTATTGTAACATATCCTTTGTGTGTCTTAACTCTTCATAATAGTGGAAATTATGAGATTGTTTCCAAGCATTACTGCTTTAGCATTGACAGACATACCTCTACAACAAAATATGGAATTGAACTATACAAACTGTGCATAGTTTATCTGTATAGGAAGTATGATTTTACATACGCAAGTATGTATTATAAAAGAAAAATGCCACCAAGCTACTGAACCCTACAATTTTGCTCTTCTCTTTGATAACTACATGTACTAGAACAGGGAGACTAACGTATTCATTTGTGCCTAGACTTATATCAGTTTTATTTATTAAATATGCAATCTTTTAGTATTATCTGTTTTACATTGTGTTATATTACTAATAAAATTTTATTATCAGCACTAGTATTTTAAAAATTCAAACGGTTTCTAGTACGTTACGTATTACTATGTTAAGGCTACAGTACATAGAATGCATTCTCGTTATAATAATAATAATCTCATTGCCTGCGCTTTTATAGAAAGTTAATTACAAATTTTCTTCATAGATTCATAATTCTAATACGTTGTCTCAAATTTATTTGCTTTCAAGATACTTATGTACGTTTAACTCTTATTAACTAGTTATAAATTATACGAGCTTCCGTTTCAATGAAAAAAAAAAAAAAATGGTTCTACATTAAGGTCAAGAACAGAATTTAAAAAGGTTTGCATGCATATGTTACTAAAAATTTCATTTTTCTTTTTTGTCCTAAGTATTTCTTACATTTCGTTAGTTGTCACAAATGAAATGATTTGTAATGTTTTATTGATGAACAACTGTCTTCTTCATTTTTGTTTAAAAAATACAAGACTTCTTTTTTTTATACATACATACATAGGCGCAAGTTATACGCAAGTACACACATATATACATATGCAATCATACATATACGGATGCACTTACATAATTTTTACATTAGAAAGCCTATTAAATGTACAAAGTATATGTTTCGTACACATATATATACGTTTTGAATACACTCTTGTCAGTGTATACAAATTTGCATGTATGTGTGTCCATTGTATAATAATTCCAACATATAAATACAACAAAGAATTTATACTTCTTTTATATTAGTTTATTAAACAATCAGGCTTTCTTACATAAAAATGTAATTACACTGCTCCATATTCAAAAAACAAAAATTTTTGCTGTAGGGCAATTTTTCAGACTGCAAGGATGGATCATAACACCGATGCAAAGTACCAAATTCCAATTTAAATACATATACATATTTATATATACGAAACACGTGTAATTTATATTTTGAAATAAAATTATTTAACACTACAAATAATTTGATATGTTGAGCAGTTGATAAAATAGTTCTATTAAATTTATTATGATTTACCAGGAAAAAAAAATGCTGATACATCTAGCTAGTGGATTAATAAAAAATAATATAAATATGTGTGCATACTTATATACAAAATAAAGATGACCAGTCGAAAGTAATATGCGGCGTCTGTGTAATTACCCACCCTATATCAGTCCTTTACTCCTTATTGTGAAATCAATGAGACGCGTTGCTTCAGTCGTCGAGACTTTGCGAGAGCAAAAAGTTAGCAGCAAGATTCTCATTTTTCTCACATGCAAAGTAAGCTTGTATAACTAAGTGTTCAGGAAAGCCTAATGCCTTCAACCTTTCGATAGCTTCCTTGTCTTGTGGTGTTATCTGAATTATACCAGACTCTATACCTGCTGCCCCTGATCCAGTTCCGACCCCTGTTCCTATTCCTGCACCAAGTCCTGCAGTTAAACCAGCAGGAGGAGCTGCTGGTGGAACAGATGGTGCAGATACAGGTGTAGTTCTTGTACTTGTGCCACCCGTTGTTTCCACTATTCGAAAATAAATGGTACAAAACATTGAACACATGTAAGAAAATTAACAGAATCAATGTTTTCATTTTATAGTAGAGAGCACCGACAAAGGTAATTATGAGACAAGAAAATACAAGATAAACTAACTAGGCAACCCTGTTGTAATATGCAGACATGTTACGAATACCTAGTATGAGCTAAGAAGTTGATGGTAAAGTGCAGGAGAGTATTTAAGTACTTCCTCATATATACCACCAGCTGTACTCCCTAGTATAGTGCATAGGAAAAACTAACCGGGTTCATTAAGCATGCCCACGAACGTATCTTGATTTTCTGAAATAAGTTGTAACAGCGGAGGATTGGTTTGACCGATTTGCTGAAGCAAAGCATTCAGTAGCCGCGGATTCTGTTGAATAACTTGACGCATCTGTTGAAATTGAGGCTGCATTCTCAGGAATGCTAGCGAATGTCGGCCGTGAGTTTGGAGTTCTGGTGCTTCTGGTGGGTCTTCTGGTGGATCTTCGAAAAGCTGAGCTGGTATACCAGTTAAAAGATATTCAACAGCTCTATCAGGATTGTTAAAGCTGGCTCTGAGTGCCTGTTCAACTTGATCACGCTCATATCTGATATGAATTACATCCAGAAGATACGGGTTAAGAAAAGTAGTAACTATCGAACCGCAACATATGTTTTTATGAAATATATATTTACCCCATGTCCATAATGTTGTTTACCATGGTATTATAATCTTCACCCATTAGCAAGGCACTTGCAGCTTCACCTCCGACATTCTCAGCAGTGGCACTTCCAAGTTGTTCTTGTACATTACTAGCAGGCTGCGATTCTGCAGTCTGGGCAGTAGGATTTGTACTAGGTGGTGGCACTGAGCTAAGACGAAAGGCAAACACCAAGAATAGCTTAACACAATATGACGAAAATAAACAAATTAGGTATAGCTTTTGCTAATTATTATATTATACTGATTATATTTATACTGATTTCAATAAAATGATTATTACCAATAAGCATATCTTAATGTAGCTAAATGTAATCTTAAATATTTTAAGCTGGTACCTGGTCGTACTACTTTCTTCTTTATTGTCTCCTTCCTTGTGTTCTTCTTCAGTTGTTGAAGAACTAGTACCAGTTTTCAGTTTTGTAACCATAACAACTATAAACTTCTTCTCATCTATATTATATTCTGTTAGCGGATGATCATCTGTTAATATCTTACCTGTAAATACAGTTGTACAAGTATACAGTTACAGACTGCAATTCATTGTTACAAGAAAGCAATATCATTCTGAACAATTAACTTTTATGAGCTATAATCTCATCGAATATTTTCATGAATTGATAACGACTTTAATAGATGTACAGAAAATTAAGTGAATCGTAAGTTTACAGAAACATTTGATAAATCGATTATTAAATGAAAGTAAGGTTATGTAAGTTTCATTGCTTACCAGCGTATATTAATTTCTGATGTTCAGCTGGGAAACCTTTCTGAGTTTCGATCTTTTGTTTCAGATCCTTTACCTACGGACAAAAATGTTACAATATATGTTACACTACGCGAAACAGACAGATTATGTGCCTACTATGTTCGCCTACCGTTTGCGATGGATCAATTTCCACTGTAAACGTTTGTTGCTGCAAGTTTTTCAGAGTTATAATCATGTTGAAAGAGAAATAAATTGGAACTACGTTGCCGGTCGACGAAAGGAAACCTCAAAAAATCTTGTATAACAAAGCTACAGAGATGTTTTGGTAAAGATCTTTTCGGCGATGAGTCGGCACTGCCCAGGGTAAGTTCACTCCCATAGGAGAACTGTTAACACGATTTAGTACTAACACCCCTCTTAAGAGGTCTCTGAAAGCAGTATTAATTTTTGGATTTAGTACTAGGTGGCACATAGAGCGTTATTCAAGGGGGATGGTAGTACCCAATGCAATCACCGCCGGTCGCTGTGCTGCAAGCAGAGGAAGATTGATGTCACCAATGTCACGTTTCCGATTCATAGCGCGTGACCTTATGATAGGGCGCGCATACTTTCGTTATATTCACCAAGATTTTTTGTAATAAGACAGCTCGTACTTAATCTTGCAAATTAAATATGTAGAAGTATTTAACCGAATCCTTTTCGTGTTTTTATTTCGTAAGTATCAAAAACCCCCACAGTTCTGTGGTAGCAATAGTAGCTTTGAATATGTATAGCACCCTCTACTTCCGTTTTCCTATGTATGTAACATGAAAAATCAAAATTACAAGTATTCTTTTTGTGGCATTTTTAATATTTATATTTTAATTTGTATAATTTTTAATATTGTGTATATTATTTGGTAAAATACACTTAAATACTTGGGTGTGCAAGCACTCAAACTTACATGAATCCAGGATCTATTATCTATTTATCTATTACCAAGCTAAATAGAAAGATCCTTTAATATAACAATATACATATATTTTTATATATTCGTAAATCTCGTATTTGTGTATATATATTATATTTGAATAATTTTTAACTTAACAATAATCCATACTTCAAAAGATAATGAACCTTTTTTTGGTTTTAGTTACTTTGTTATCGTATGTTCTTAATAAAAAATAAATAGTAGTGTTAAGAATTTAAAAAAAACTTAAAAAATTTAAGGAGTTAAAACATTTGTTAAACATTTTTGGCACTGTCCTAAAAAACTTACAAGTAATTAACTCATGATAATATGCAACTAAAAACTTATGATTACATAAAGCAGCCTTCTCAATGGTGAACATTTGACTGTACTGACATGGTGTGTACTAAAATCAGCCATCATTTCAAAACTAATCTTGAATACATACTAGAATATTAGAATTTTAGAATATAGTTAGCCTGCATTATATGCACACATTTATTGATAAAAATTATTCAAATGGTCTAAGTCTAATATGTTATTGTTCTAATGTTAAAGTTGCAAAACTTAAAATTTAAACTATTAACTATTGAATTAAGTTTTAATTTTTATTAAAACTTAATTTTAATAAAAATTAATTTTTAAAATAAAATAAAAATTAATTAACTATGCCATTCATATCTATTTTTTGGTCTTTTATATAATATAAAAACACATAGTGAGGAACAAATAAAATCATGCGTTTAGGCCAAACTCGTGAAAAGTAAAATTTCGCAACTTCACGATTGGAACGACGATATCTGAATTACATAAAGTATACAGATAACGATTACAAAAAAAGAATCCTTAAAAAAACAAAAAGTAGAATACTTGATTAAAGATTAATATTGATATTTGTTTCATTATTAAGTTATATATTTTGGAACTATTTAGAAATATGTATGCATACAAGTGTATTAATAAATACGAGAAATTTTTTATTTATATATCTATACATTCATTTGTGACTAGAGTAAAGCTAAACATATTTTACAATGTTTCATAGATATTACATACAAATATATTACAAATTAAATAAATTTTTGTAATGTATTAGGATACTTGAAAAAGTACATTGTACATGCATTACAGAATTTTTTGTTTTTCAAGAAAAAACAATTATGTTCTATTTGTATTTAATAAAATAATCTATACACAACAACAACAAGATCTTCGCCTGTAACAAAGGGAATAAATTTACGAATTTTCACAGCTTGTTTGTGTACTGTCAACTTGAGTATCTCAGCACATGTACATATAATTAAAAATTTATTTATCATGAACTGTATTTTTGAAACGTATAATCACATACTTTATAATGTGTAGATATAATGCTTTTCATATTTTTTTGTACATAAGATAAGTATGTAACAAAATAGGATTGAAATGTTATATATAAAAACACTAATAATACTAATTCCAAGAAATAGAAAAATAACAGATAGATAGCATTTATAATACGAATTTAGTTATTGATACAAATATATTACGAACGTTTTATTTCATTATTTCTTTAAAACAACTTTCCATTTTTCAAAAATAAGAAGTATTCTTCTTTAAGCTGACTATTATACTACATTTCATACATGTAAACCTCAAAGAAACTAAATAAAAATACTTTCTAATAACTTAAATTAAATGTTGAATGACTAAAATGCTATTCGAAGTTTGTGATACTTATGTGCAATTATTCTTGGTACGGTGTAGTTGGGCTCACATTGATCATCTCTGTTACACTACAAAAAAATATAACATAATTACACATATTTTTCTGATAATCAGTTTCATTGAACGTTCTTATCGTTACATTATTCAACAATTAATAAAATTGCAAGCTTTTGTTATAAAAAATAGATAAAAACGAAATTTATTCATTCAAAGCAAACAGAATGTCTGAATTTCTACTAGAATATTTACTATTAAATAATAATAAATATTCTATGCTTTACCTTCTACCTGATTACATGCTACATACATTTTCATTCATTTTCACGTTTCTGACACACCAAGTTATATACATATTTAACATACTGGTGAAAGTTCTATTTGTCAAAGTAATGAATTCAAATGCACGACTAGAAAACTAAAACTGTTATTAAAATAAATATACTTTTGCTTTATAAATAACATGTAAAACATATATGCTCAGCAGAAAATAAAATTTAAAAAAAGTAAAAAATTATTATAGAAGTTTCAGTTAATATAAAAGAATCATTTAGAATAATTATTAACTGAATTCTGTGGAAGAAGCAATACATTTTAATTGTATTTCTTGAATTCAATGTAACAAACATAAAACGTAACTACATGCAAATGGTTTGAACTGTAACCAAAGTTTACATTCACAAGATCAAATATATTTATGATAGTTCACCAAGAAGCAGTTATCAAGAAAATATTTATAAAGCCATACCACGTATACAACAATGTGTCATTAACATTCTTACAGACTTAACAATACACAATATCACAAACACTTACAAGAACAATTACGGTGCCCTAAGCATACTTTCTTGCAGTCATCTTTACATTAGTTTGCTGTATAACATACATTATATAATAGTTTATTGTCAACTTTGAATTTAATATATATGTATATGATTTTATCAACATTAGTTCATGAAGTAAAGCATGGCAGTGAAATATATGTTTAAAAGGTGACTTCGGGTAACTTCAGTTGATATAAAGTATTAATATTCATACCATTTGATATGTTAATAAAATTTCTAAAAGTTACAAGGGAATAAACAATATAGTAACATGTTTAATAAAGTGCAATTGCTGCTAGGACTATCTTTTAAGCTTCTGAATTCCTTAACACTCTGCCGGCCGCTGTCACGCTGGCGTGACTTTTGCTCGCCAACGTTTATCGGCCGGGGTCACGTACGCGTATTATTTGCCGGCGGCAGCGTAAAGGCGATGCGAGAAATAAGCGGCCGGCAAAGTGTTAAATTTTATACAAAGATAATGGACATTAAGTAATATGGTATTAAATTATCGAGTAATAAAATTTAACAATGGACAGTAAATATTCGACATATAAATAAAAATATATAAAAGTTCGATCTGTATTTCCATTTACATTATAGTAGTATATTATAAATTCAAAAGAAATATAATTTTCAAAACAATTGCACTTTCAATTGTTTGAATCAAAAGCCTCATTTAAGCATAACACCATTTAGTGACAAATGAAACAGAAAAGATAGAATTAAACATATTAAATTTATCTTTACCTTTTCGAGCATTTGATGTGAATTATTAGCAGTGTCAGACCTAACAATAAACAAATACACCCTACAACTATGTAAGCAATGCCAAGGAAAGGATTCTTTCCACCAAGAAGAGATGTGGTACTTAAAATCATTCTTTTCTTGCCATCAAAAGCTGATACTGGATATGCTATAAAAAAAAAATACATATTATATTATTTCTATACAACTGTATCCATTGTAATTTCTTTAGTTGCACATGTAATTTTTTACTTACAATAATGCACTGTAAGTCTATAATCCCCTTCTAATAATCCATCACTGAACCCATCTACAGTATGGTTTACCCTACGATAAAGTTTTCTGAAAGTAGGTAAGGCAGCAGTTCTCATCCAAACAATTAAATCTTCATTTTGAAAACCATTATTACTCTCATCTTCTCGATCTAACTCATAAATATACTTAGTCCAATTCTTTGGCTTAGCATAATTCCCAAATGCTTTCTTCAAATCACCCTCTGGATTTCGAAATTTGATGTTCTTATCTGATGGCCAAGCTATACCAGTTTTCAACAGTGGCACATCCGTTTTATGGCTCATAGAATATAACTTTAATTCATCACTGAATAAGGAATTGGCAATAGCTCCACATGGTACGATTACATTAGTTCCATTATTGGCAAAGGGTTCACAGTCACCAGACACAACATCACTTAACTGTCCTAACAGTTGATTATCATCACGTGACTTTACATACCTTCTGTGATTCTGATAAAAATTGGTTAGACCGTAATACATATAAATCTTCCCATTAAAGTCAGATGGTAATGTGAAGTTTATTTCACAAGTACAAGGTGGATCAGGATGAGGATCCTTTGATATATATTCAGCGCATGTATAAGGTACTTTATTAGTACCTGATATAAAATAGTTTGTAGAATTACAGTCTGTGTAATCTATAATATATTCTTTGACTTGATCCGAGAAGTAGAGCAATCCAATTCCAACTGGTATGAAAGCAATTCCTATTACAAAGAATGTTGGTAATACCGTTCCAGCTGTAAGTATTGGTTGCCAAGCAGGTAAACGTTGCTGTTTGAATGCACTATCTGTTAAAAGAGAACATATACTATTATAATGACCATTTGTTTCACAATAGTAATTGTATTCAATACATTCTTTATTAACATGTATATATTCATTTAACAAACTATTCGTTTAATTAAAGCATTCGAGACCGACGTGTTAATACAAGACTATCTTCAGTAGTCAGCAATGTTTACATAGTCTCACAAGACCCATATGAGGAGTCATTGGTTAAACAGGTCCCATATCGTATGGCTCGTATGTTGGGTCATCGGACTCGAATGTTCTAACACTTAATCATTAACAAATATTTATAGCTCTTTTCCCGCACATGAATTGACTGTATATTCTAAGATGTAACCTTCGATATTAAATTAAATTACTGTTTTCTCAAATATACCAAACAAAACATAAAATATATAGTTGCTACGTATTAAACTTACCCGATGGTTTTTTTGTTGTGGGTATCGAATTAACTTCACTGATAGAAGTCATGTTTCGTGATTGAACTAATTATTCGCGCTATCAAAACTTTCAGCAACCTATTATTGACATTTGTGAAAAAACAATTACAATAGCAGTTATTCATCAAAGCTGATCAAAGCTTTCTGATAACATGGCATAGAGTATCAATGAACAGAAACGAATGCAATACGTCAAAACTTGAAATTACCTACCTGCTTCGGGTTAAGTCTCATTTTAATTAAGTGTTTCGTGAATTATTTTGAATATATACTTATATAAAAGAATTGTTTGTTTGACCAGAAAAACAATCTAAAGTCAAATTACTTTACAATTTATCAAACTATAAAATTTAATTGATAAACGTATTTGTACTGCGAGAATTTGTTTCCATTCAACGTCCTCTAACAACGAAATCAAGAAGTTCATTCGATTCATTAAACACACGTATATCTACGTGATCAGATTTTCATTCGATTATAGACGAAATGTATCGTATCTGTGATATAATCTTGTACAACATTTAACTGCCTCTTAAGTGTTGCATTATACTAATGAATGAACTAATGATTATTAATACATAACATAATATATATTTTTTGCGATTAAAATTGTAGAATATTTTAATCAAATCTAAACGCTCATTCGTTATTTCTTTATTGGATAATACATGTATGTATCTATTCAAGTAGAACAGAGACATTAGCATAGCCTTTGTATTTATAGTCTGTGAGATTGAATTAATTTTAACTTTATATTACGATTATATTGTTGCATTAAAATTTCTGGAAAATTTATATTGTGCATTTTTATTTTAATGACGTTTTATGCAATTGTTGATTTGCCAATGAATATAACATTTTCGAACATGAAAACAAGTGTATTCCGTTGTTTCATTTAAACTGAAAGTCATAAAAATGTTCTTAAACAGAAAGAGCTCTACTTTTATGAAAAAATACTGTAAAAGTATATGCAAAAGATATCACTTGCGATTCAATTCCACAAATCTGTAAGTATAGTAAAGAATTATTGGTATATATTGTATATTAGAAGGTAATATACGAGGAAATAATAAAATGATTTTCTATAGGTCAGAATGGAAGCCTACAATAGGTCTAGAAATTCATGCTCAAATTGCAACAAATTCAAAATTATTTTCTGGAGCTTCAACAAAGTTTAATAGTCCAGCTAATTCTTGTGTGTCACTGTTTGATTGTGCAATACCAGGAACAATGCCAGTAAAGTATAATGAATATTTTTAAAAAATGTTTTTGTAATTCCCTCTTGTACTGTGGTTGTAGGTGTTGAATAAGAAATGCGTAGAAGCTGGAGTATTAACTGCCTTGGCTCTGTCTTGTAAAATGAATGATGTCTCAATGTTTGAGAGAAAACATTATTTTTATTGTGACTTACCAGTGAGTGTCCACTGTGTTTTCTGAAGAGTACAGTTGCTATTGGACTATAGATTTATTGTGGTATAATTACTATGGTGAAAAAGATATAGTTATCAATAAGGTAAATATTTTTTGCAGGCAGGATTTCAAATTACACAGCACAAAAAGCCCTTGGCTATGGATGGGAAAATCAAGTTTATGGTATTCAATCCGAGTATCCATAAAAAAGCCTACTTAAAATCATCTACAATCAAACAAATACAGTTGGAGCAAGACAGTGGAAGAACATTCCACAATGAACTCCTTGGAAAGTACTGTTAACTTTTAGTTCTATTTCTTGACAGTAACAAAATGTATGTAGACATAAGTATATATTTAAAATGTGTATGCGTTTATTGAATCTGTAATAGGAATCTCATTGATCTTAATCGTGCTGGATTACCACTGATGGAATTGGTCTTTGAACCTGATTTAACAGATGGAGAGGAGGCAGCTGCACTTGTGAAGGAACTTGTGCTGATTCTAAAATTGTTAGACACATGTTCATGTAAAATGGAAGGTCATTCATTCTTAAAATGTTATTATATCGAAAATAATTATTTATTATAAATGAATTCTTTGCGTTTTCGCAATCACAGAAGGGGCATTAAGAGTAGATGCAAATGTTTCTGTGAGCAAAGATAATACTCTTCTGGGTACTCGTACGGAGATAAAAAATATTGGAAGTACACGTGCTGTATGTAATGCTATTCAGTACGAAATAGAAAGACAAATTTCGGTTTTGGAATCAGGTGGTCGAATTGTCACTGAGACTCGCGCATGGGATCCGATTATGAAAAAGACACTTGCCATGCGTGAAAAAGAGGACAATCATGTAACATAGTAGATTGCCGATAGTAATTTTTAATATTACGTTTGTATTATTTTTGTAGTTAACGAAAAATAATTTTAGGATTACCGTTTTATGCCTGAACCAAATTTACTTCCCTTACGCTTACATGTTGACGGGGCGAAAGAAAACAAGTACAATTTGATTGATGTTTCGTCAATCGAAAAGCAATTACCAGAATTGCCAGAAAAAATTAGGCAAATACTAATGGAGGATTTTGCTATTACACCTAATATGACCGTAGCCATAATGGTAATTCGTATCTGTGATTCAGTAATGCGGATTTCAAATATGAAATACCGATTCTAAATTCTAAGAATATTAATTTTTACTTATATATTGTAGAATGATCTAGAAATATTACAACTATTTCGTGACCTAGTATCAAAAAATAAGAATCGTGATCCTCAGTTGGTAGCACGGGTTTTTGTGACCATTCTCTTTGGCTTTTTAAAGAATAATAACTTGGATTTTACGTTTTTGTAAGTAGTGCAGTACAAAAAAAATAATGTTATTATACATGCTATTTAAACGAGAAATATGAATTTATTAAAAAAATTTTAGGGTAAATAATAGAAACTACATTGGACAATTAATTGACTTACTACAAGATAAAGTAATAAACTACAATATAGCAGGAAAGATATTAAACGTACGACTTGAACAACCAAAAAAAGAACCAAAACAGGTAACAAACGAAGTATATAAAAATATTAAAATCATTGTTTTCTACTGAACAACGAGATCTTCTTACATTCTACTTTCCACAGATTGTTGAAGAAAATAATTGGTTCATGATAACAGACGAAAAGGAATTAGAGAAATTATGCTTAGATATATTGAACAAAAATCCTAAACTTGTTGCAAAGTACAAAAGAGGCAAGACGAAAGTATTTAACCAGTTTATGCGGGCAGCAGTTGTAGCTACTAATGAATGTGCAGATATGGTTCAACTTACACAAATTTTCACAAAACTGTTAAATTAGTTAAGGAAAAATAATTTAGTTTTGTAAAGTATGGTGTGTTTTGAATAATAACTTCTATAAGTAATTGAATGCGTCTATTTTCTGTTTTCAGCATATTTACACATCTCCACATTTAAAATATCATATAAAACATGTAATCAATTTTCTTCTAGCATTTACTTTTATAAATCGTAGTCACAAATACAAAATCAAATGAGAAATAAATATTTACGGTTTAACAAATCGGAGACTAGTGCGATCGTAATTCCCCTCCGTAACTTCGTAATTTTGTCTAAACCAGCACAAGTTTTTATTTCGTAACAGTGTTAATTATATTATAAAATATTTCACAAAAACGTCAGACCATATTCAATGACTCTTTCATCTACATAATACCTGAGGGTGGGGCATGTTCGTTACAGTGGTACAAAGTATGATAACAGGAACAATCTTTATCAAATTAATAAACTACATTTACAGGTAGATTACTTTCGTATCATCAAAAATGAAATTTTATGATAATGTACATTTGGCAAATGTTTTATAGTTACAGTTACAATTCAAAATTTCATTATTACGAACAATAGATTTTCTTACACGTTATACTTATAAGTATCTTTAGAATTATATTTACAGCAAGAGACGACGTTAAAAATAGTCATTAGGCATAAAAAGATTTGACAAAGATTGAACTGCTTATCACAAGTTGTACAGGATAATTCATTTTGTTCCGATATTTATACAATAACGTGTATTGTATAGTGTGATGCTAGTTCTCCTCTAAACATTTTTCAAATACAATAAGCACATACATATTGCTATTATACAATACAATGAAGGTATCTATATAGTAAACAGTTACACAAAAATTGTTATTCTGTAACAAACGTCGTTATGAAATAACTATTTCGACTTATCCTTTTTACAATTCTTTAAAATATAACATCGTTAAAAAAAACATGTCGCCTACACATTGTCATTTGTTCCTTTCTTCATTATCTATAAACTTTTAATTTTCATTTACTTTAACAAAAGTAAAACTTCGTTACAATTATTGCTACCTAAAAGTAAGAAATTTCCACTTTTTTTTTGTAATCGAATACATTAAATCAGTTATTTAACGTAATAACACAGTTTCCATTGTTGATATTCAGTTACTAGAAACCATTGTCAACTTGCAAAAGAATATGTTAAAACATACAGATCGTTTAATACAAGAATTTTCAGTTCATTGCAAAAAATGGCAATGATGGAAGGATTATAAATTGCAGTCTTCCAGGAAAAGGCCACTTGAATAGTATCAAAGTCATCCTCTTAATATTCACTCCTTTTTATTGTTTTACTGTAACCCTTGCAATACGTTACGAATGCTTTCGCTTTGCATTACAATTATGGAAACAAGTTTATACAATAAATTTAATATATATATATATATATATAGACTTCTGATGAGTTTTTCATTAAGTAAAAAATTTCTCCTTATTCACTCCTAAAATGCCACATTATCATTTTATCTATTACATATTTACAAAATGTCCTTACAAAGAGTCAACATTGATAACGTGATTTTTTTTTAAAGAAAAAAAAAGTGTCGTAATGAACGTTTGCCTTTCATCGATTTGAATGAAGTACACATTTTGCTTCATAAAGCGTCGGCTCTAAAATGAACCATGAAATTTATCTTCGAGAGGAAGAGTTAAATTGTGAGAAAAAGAGTAAAAATTCTAGTTCCTTCACGGTCAACTATTCACAATCCTAAGAATAGGAGCAATGTCTCTTTTCGCCCTTGGCACAGCCACGCGAGATAATTTGCTTGATAATAAATTAAATTACTAGCATTAAGAATAAATTCATCAGTAATATGATGATGTAAAATATACATTTCAAGAATACTAGCAATAATGATTGTGATAATTTATAGTCTAAAACAATTCATTCAATGCAATTGTAATGCAACAGAAGAAACGCTATGCAGCCTTTTTTCGGTTTTCTTTTATTTTTTTTTTATTTCAAGACCACCGGAGTTATTTGGATAACTTGCTGATTACTCTGATCAAGGCACCATTTTCATCTTTTAGCCTCTGGTTTTCGCATTTTAATTGGTCCATCACCTAGAAAAAAATGTACAAACTACTTTATTTATGTCACCATCAAAGCACGCTTCTTACAGAAAAATTTACAAAGACAATGGTATTATAGAGTGGATCAGATGAATGCTCAAAAAACAAAAAGGAAAAAAGAACTTAAAAAAAAAAAGAAAAGATGGGGTAAAAGTGGAGAAAGGAAACAAGCAAGTATTATTGCAACTAGAGCCTTGAAGAATTAAAGCACTGTAACAATTGGGTGCATTAAAACCAAACGAGGAACATATGTAATTAAGTGTAACAAGCAGGTGTAATTTTAATACTACACAAAAACAGAAGATAGTATAATTAAGTTACAGAACTTGACCGTGTTTCTAATTTTGTATAACCTTTCTCTAGTATTTCGAATGCACTTACGTATCCGACACTGTGTAACATTCTCTTTTGCATATTTTACATTATATGCATAAATAAAATATTATTTGGTAAAAAAGAAATAAAACAAATAAAATTACATGTTAAGCTACTTTCAATATACACCCCAGCCTCTCTATTTTAGCTGTGATATATTTTCTACTTTTCAGTCTATTATACCTTCGATTCATGTTACATCCTTATACATCATTTATTCAATAAACTATTGAATTGATTATAATGCAAGGAATTAAATGATTTCTGGACGTCTGTAACAAATGTTATTGGATAAATTGTATAATACACGAGAATGTAATTTATAACGTATGCAAACATTTCGGTACTATGTACATAGAATAACGAATATCCTGTTGCGGAACGAGTGTCGCGTGTTAAATGAGGTATAATGTAAATATTTGTATAATGTGGACATTAAGAAGTGATTGTCAAACAATGTTTAGGGCGGTGGAAAAACAATTGTAAATTAAACATGCTCTCTTAGCAAATCTATGCTACTGTTTAATTATTTTTCTTGGATGTAACATTTTAAACAGATCATCTAAAGACATCCAGTATATGCCCAACGCAAAAACCATCTATCGATTATTTGGACAAATTAGGATCATTTTGAAAACAAACTGTATTGTGTGCTGTGTTGTATTTATTGTTCATATAATTGTAGTATCCCACTTAATGCATAAAAAGAAATGTTTAAATTCAATTTAATTCCCATTTGAAGTTCCAAACTGAGTTAGGTTTTTGTTAAAAAGTATATTTAAACATAAACTATATTAGTTGTGGACAGACTGCGTTTTTTTTTTATATCGGAAAGGATAAAACATTGCTAGTAGCTATGAATAACTAAGAAGGGGATGTTACAACCCAAAGTAGTACTTTTTAATAAAACCATATTGAAAAATTCGGAACCAATGAGTATAGATAAACCCTAGAATATTAGCTGCCGATAGCCAACCGTCTTATGAACATTTGACAAACATGTTAGCTATATCTGAATACAAATGAATAAAGATATTTTCCAAAGTTATTGAAGTACTCTGCTTGTTAATTAATAAGTACAATATTCTCTTTATCAAAGTGTTTCATTGAAAAATGTAAAAACTATTACATACCTCAATAAAGTATGTGAAAGAACTGTAAAAATCAAACTTGTGCAAATAACAGACTAAGATGTAAATAATGATTATTGTGGTACTAAGATAATAGGTAGAATATTGTAACGTTCAAAACCATTGTTTTATATAATGGTAGGCCATTTGCTGCTAACACTAGAGGATTTCTTTTATAATCATGTATCCTTAATATTTCAAAACAAATTTCATTCAAAAAGTTCTTGTCCAGGTCATAATTCCTGATAATTTAAAAAGGAAAACAGTTTTTTCATCAATTTCATTAAGCAGTATTTTCCCGAATGAATTAGAATGCAAGGAGTATACAGACTAACCACTGTAAATCTGTAAGTACAATTAGTAACAACAGAAACAGTAGTTTCGAGTAATCGTAGCATTGTGTTTCCATTAAATGACAGTGATTTGTGCAAGCTATCAAATCGTTGCACAATAAAAGCTGTTACAAATTCTTCGACGTGAAACTATTCGTTTTTGTTTATACGACAACCGTAATTATACTCGCGTACGCGTTGTGAAGCTGTATTTTGTAAGATTGAGTCAGTGAGCGAGATCGTTTCAAAGTTTTAATATTGCGTAATCAGAACGTAAAAAATCGTAAGTAATCGATTAATTAATGAATTAATATTGTACGTGGAGTACGATGTACACTGTTAACGCAGATGCTGTCATTATGTCCTTTACCTATTTAGTAGTATTGGTGAGTTTGGATACGACGCGGGTAAGTGCCCGATTTTCGGCTTTCAATCTCTCATTTTCAGCTTTGAGCTTTTGTAATTGCTGTAAACAGTGAAACGATTAGCCCATGTCCGCTTGTCTTGTAAAAGCCCCCACCAGACAACGCTATGTAAACGTTATGGAACATTTGTTACGCTAAATAATATAGTAATATACCCTTACTGCCGTCCCAAAAAGAAAAAAAATATGGATGACGAAAACCACACGGAAGTAGTAATCAAAAGGAAGTACAAAGTGCCAATTGAAAACCATTATACTGCATAAACAATAAGCGTGATTATTTAATAACGATACTAAAAAAAATAAAAGCACCAAGAAATGGCAAATAAAGAAGAAAGCAATGCATCAAAGCCACGTGTGTCTTTCCTTCTTTTCGCTCTTCTTTTATTTCCTTTTCTTTTAAAATTAACCACTCCAGAAATGCCGGCACCTTCCTCTGTACTTAGCCGCAACAATCAAAACGTAATACAAGAAAAAAAAACCTGTAACGTGCATTCTAACTAAGGAGTACATAATGGAATATGTTTTTATTAAGTATGACAAAAGATAAAAATTAAAGTCACGATATTTAAAAGTAATCGTATAGGAAAATTATCTCTTAATTTATTTGCTACGTATATTCGTAAATTTTACGCTTAAGTACAATTGATAGAAATAACAATGAATATTCAGTTATAAAAATTATTTCGATTCTTACCTTCAATTCTTCTTCCATTTCCGACAGTTTCCTTTCCATCGCTCTCCTTTCCCTTTTTTCAGCTTCGGACAGAACTGTTTTATTTTGAGCACTTTGTGCTTTGTCCAATGAATTTCTAGCTTCCTTTAATTGTTCATCCGACCGCCTCAGTTTTTCTTTGAGCCTCTCATTTTCCGCTTGAGATTCTTCGTACAATTTTTTGTAATCTAGTTCGCCATTCTCAGAAGTTGTAGATTTTATTCTGGCCGACATAGAGGGTGCTTCCGATGATAACGATGATATGGAGCCTAGCCTGTTGGATCTTCCAGAACGATCATTCCCACTCTATAAAAACAGAAACATGGAGAAAATAATATATTAAATGGAATTAAAATGTTTTATTTTCTAAATAATCCTGATTTAAATCAGTACAAAAGGATATCGTTCGATACAAAATTTGAATCTCTCTTACAATATATCCCTCAGAACTGGCCAAACTTTGCAGGCTAGAGCTTCTAGATCCAATTTGAATATCTGGTTTTGTCTTTGTTTTGTTAAAGCTTTCGGTTCTCTGCACTTGCGAATGATTATTCGGATTAAGATTCAAATAGTTATAACTTGTGGAAGGTGCTAAACGTAGAGATGTAATACTCGAAGGCAAAGTTATGCTTCCGTATCCTGATGCAGTACCACCGTATGTCGTGTATGGATTTTGATAATTCAGGTTACTCGTTGAATTTGAGTACGGAGTTTTTCTAAACGAGTCACTAGTTTTTGTATTTTTATTTAGAAAATTCGGCAATCCAATAGGGCTCGATCCGTTAATACTCAACAGTCCCGAATAGCTATTTTGATTCAAAGGAAATAATCCACTTATACTTCGTGATCTATTCCCAAAAATTGAACTTCCATTCGCTGATGCTTGAGCTCTTAATCCTGCAGCTGTTGTTGGCTTTCCTTGAGATCTCTTTCTATAGGATGACATTGTTTACTAGATAAAATTATTTCACAAATTTTATTGACTCGAACACACGTTTTCTTAGAGTCCCCACGATATTTTTACATATTATTTTTAAACGAAAGGACTAGAATTATGCTGCAATTTTACAGTTAAATCACTTTGTTGCGATACACACGGGTTTGGGCGATCTGGTTCTAATGACAGTAAGTATTTGACTGACGTAGACTGGGTGGAGGAACTTAAGACATCAGCCAGTTTACTCCAAAGCATCGGTTTGGTATGCTATTTATAGGACACATGCACAAACTTACACTAATATCAAGGTTGTGTGATTTGAAATAAATATATTCGATGTTTCACTCTTAAAGACATTTTCAACGTTCGTTTAATATTATTAGGTATATATAAATTTATTGCGTAACTTTAATTAATATGTCGATTTAAATTAAGACTGTATTTTTAATGTTAGTAACGATATTTTAAAATGTTTCAATTTTTAATGGAACATGTACATGTCTAATAATAGTAAGAAAGTTTAAAGATTCGAAAATTAATTTAATTACAGTAATTAATAATTAATATATTTATGAAGTTTTTATGGTTCATAATATATTATGTAACAGATGTAATTTCAGTGTCTTTGTTTACGGAATTTGTTTTTTCTTTATACATTTAACTGTTTTTAACACTGTAATGCAAACAATAAATGAATACATTTCAAGCTGTTCTAAATGTCAAAGAGTCAGATCGTTCCAAATGTCGATAGAATATTTTTAGCCACTGTTAGGCCACGTTCATGATCAATTTTTTTTTTTACTTTCGATTCTTATTTCATTTCTACCAAATGGTCTTTAAATATCAATTGGACTTAAATATTTTACTACTACTATCCATGTTATTTAATTACTCAACACATCTTTAATGTGAAAAAGAAGTTTTTACTAGTAAAACAATTTACTTATTTCCAATTATTTTTAAAGGCTATATAATATTTGTAATACTTGTAATAAACGAAAATTAAATAATAACAAAAATATATGCAATGGTATAAAAATAGTATTTAATTTGTAAAGTGTACAATTTCGTTGTGATGTAAATATAAAAAATTTAAAGATTATGAAATGACACAGTATTTGCAGCTATAAATTTCGTTTAAATACATGGTCTGGTGGTATATAGAGGGATAAGAAATGGAAAACTATTTTTAACAAAGCATGCACGAATAGAGGTTAATCTTCCCAGAGACTAGCCCAAAAATAACACAAAGCTTCTGTGGTTCGCTAAATTACATTCATATTATAATAGTTACATAGTATTATGAACCAGTACAAAAATTAGTTTAGGCAAAAGTTTCTTTTATTAAAACGAATAAAGAGACTAAACAAATAAAAAATTGTTATTAAAACAATTATTGTACTCTAACAACACGATTTTTCAGTTTATAATCATTTATTTTATTTTTTTGATACGCGATGAGCAAAGTGAAAAATTCAATTATACACAATTAGTAGATGTAATTAATGAAGTTGAATGACTTACCTCGTTATGATTGATTTTAGATTCATCACAATCACCACCAGCAGTTAAGTCTTGCTTTTCAGGATCAATTTCCTATAAAACAATAATTAACACTTATTACAAGCAAGTCATTTCTGGCGTGTTACGGTGCTAATTTAAAAATCAAAATGTTAAATGAACTAAAGACGTACAGTCAAAAAGAAACAGAATTGATGAATTTTAATATTTAAAGCTCATTACACCAGTTATAAATATATTAGGTATATGCAAAAGTAATTATTGTCGTATTTAAGTTGATACGGTAAATTTATGTTATTTTATCGACCATCTTTCCAAAAAAGTGGAAGAAGTTATAGAAAAGAGAACTATTTTCAGTAATAGATGCTATAGCAGTTATTCGATATAAATAAAAATTTTCGATGTACCATTACTTCTACATATACCTGATGTAATTTAGTTTAAATATTATAGTAATTGCTACTAACGTCCATATCAACATGAACAACGCCTGTAGACCTTCTTTTAGGCCTTCGTCTCCTTTGTATGACGGCTTGTGTGGCTTGTGCATTTCTGCTGTCATTTTCTTTATCTTGTTCTAAAACAGATCAATAGAAACGAAGGGATAAATTTTCTTCATAACTTTCAATCGAGTAAAAGATCCTAAATGTAAGTTATGTGTATACCCTTGTCTTCGGGTTGTTTTAATGATCGTCTAAGTGGTAATGTTACAGTTGTTTCTGCACTACTAGTTGCAATTGTTTCGACAGGAGCTGACGACGGTCTAGGTACACTCGAGCCTGCGGAAGGTCTTCTCATATACGCTGTGGTAGTATCTGTATTAGGTAGGGCGGAGGTCCTGTTATTAGCATCTTCTAACTGAAACTAAATAATTAGATTTTCTCATAAGTTTCACGTTCAAAAATGTTACATTGCTTGGTAAAATTCCTCATTCAGAATTTAATTACAAATATTACATTCCATCAGATTTGGTAATCTTTTATCACGATCATCAATAATCTGTTGAATGATATTCATAACCTTGGGTAAAATTATAACTGCTAAGGCTTCACAGCTGACTTCATAAAAAATCAAATGACACAAAATCAGTATCAGTGTCGTTCCATCCCTGATGATGAACCTAGCGACAATACTATTAAAACGTTAGAATAACATTTCAAAGATTCAAAAAGCTTCAACTGATTCGATAAATTTTTTGAACGTCGCTAAATTAGATAATTCATTAATAGATCGGTGGCTTACGACACAACTCCTGTTCAGACCATCGACGATTTTCACTATAACCTCAATACATTATAATATCGATTATTTCTGCTTATTTAATAAAAATGCTCGTCTTGCTACATGGTGTACGTTGTACGTTATATTTTCATTCTTGTTAACGTCTTATGGATACAGTATAAAAGTTTATAGTACGATCTGCTGTGGATCATCGATAGATACGGAACGTGTTAGAGATTATCTTGTTTTATTAATACAACTTTAACTTGTGTAGGTAAGTATGCTGTGAATGACAAACCTTGCTTCCATTATCAACTTTCAGCCTCCAAGAAGGCCGTCTGTCGGGTAAGTTAAGTTCCTCGGAGGGTTTGTTTGCAGTCACTGTAGTAGGAGTTGCTGTTGTTATTGTAGCTGTAATCGAGGCTGTATTGCCGGTAGTGGTTGTTGGCTGGGTTAATTAAAAAAAAAAAATGAATAAATACTTACAAAGCGATCTCATCATTGTTAATAGAACACGTAGTATTCCAAGAGTGTCAAAACAAAAAAATAAAACATACATAATTTATAAGCTCGAGTTATATTTCTGGTTAAAGAAAACAAATTAATCCAACTGTAAGCATAATGATTTCGCTAATGAAAATCGGGAAATACTACCTGCGTTGACGATATCGTAGAAGGGGTTTCATTGTTTTGCTGCTTTTTCTTCACCAACTGTTCTGCACTTTTGATTTCGTCTAAAGTCACACCCTGAGTCGAGCGTCGAGTTTCTCTTACTCTCTTTGCATGTGCCTTTCTTTGCGTTTCACTTTCTTCATCTCGAACAGGTGGGACGAAGGATCTGAACAAAAATTACATATACATTGTTAAGAATAATAATGTACAATAACATTTGTATACCAGGGATACAAGTAATTTATGTAATAATATATAATAAGATTTGAAAAAGCAATAAACATTATCATAAACACAATCCATAAGCAGTGTTTACAGATATCACATAAAACAATGATGCCTTCAACTTGCGATAATAGTAATAATTCTATTGTTTATATTAATGTTGCAATTGTAGTGTTTAAAAATAAAAATACTATTTGAACTGGAACAAAAGAATTCGATAAATTTTTTGCAATACATACACACATGTAGATATAACTATGTTTCAAGATATTTCAAACATGCTGAAATTTCATGTTTCTGTAACATTTAAAGGACAATTCGCTAATATGTACACATTATTTTATTCTGTTTTTATTATCCACAATTCCGTCCATTTGGAATTATAATACATCCTCTCTGCTGGAGTAGATCTCTCAAAAGAATCTTCAGTGTCAAACGTGTGAAGCTACTTGGAGGGCTGAGAAAATCAAATTGTGTTTCAGTGGCCAGAGCTTCTGAACTAGAAATGTTGTTTTATATTAGCAAAGACAAGGCAGTGGTTATTAGGGCGATTAACATTTTTGAGGAGAAACGTGTGTAACTCAAAGAAATAATCACACTGCAAAGCAACTGTCCATGCCGCTGCCAATAACTTAATATTGCGTGTAGAAATATCGTAGGATATATGCAAAGTCACACATTTCAAGAGAATCTTCCCAGGTCAAGCATTAAGTACCCACTTGAAGAAATTCTTGAAGATATTTCCTGGACTTAGCTTGCTCCCCCCTGGTGTAGTGGGAGTTCCAGGAACTGCTACTGAATTGTTTGCACTCGATAGAATTGTGGTTGTAGCTTCCACTGGTTGAACACTACCCAGCCATATTAACAACATTGCACGATGCAAATATGAATGCAAAAACTTTAATTTTAAATGCATTTTAAAATAGGCTAAATTATGATATTTTGGATAATCAGACTTTTAACAGAATTGGATACTTGTTCTCGTTCTCTTCAACTATATAATTTACTATTAAAATTTTTATGCCAATATGTGATGATAAAACATCTCGAAAATCTCATTTTATTATTCCTTGAACTTAAGAGCACGATACGAATAAATATTTCTATTATTCTGTCTGGTTTTTTTTAAATATTTACCTGCGCACTTGATTGGCTGGAATAGGACTTGTTGTTGTAGTTGTTGTTGTGGCAGTTGTAGTAGCTGTGGCTGTAGTAGTTGGCAGTGTACTTGACACTATTGTTTTAGATGTGGATGTTGGTGAAAGTGTATTGCTTCCCTGTGGCAGTCTTGACAGTTCCAAGTTTAATTTTGCTTCTTTTCTTCTAAAGTTAAAACAACGCTCGTTACAATACACGAAAATACAAAGTGATTTCGGATTCAGTTACTTGAACTCCATTCTATCAATCAATCCCAATGTTGTACAGATTTCAGAGAAATTAAATAAAATCGTGTGAGATTGACATTTGATGTTTCGATGTACATACAACAGTTGTGATTCCATATTGAAGCCAAGCAAAAAGCAAGGAATGAGGAAGGCTTGCTAAATTAATGATCACAAGTGTAAATGAACGATTCACACACACATAAAAAAAAAGATATACAAATTATATAAAACTCGTGGTCCAAACTGTGGATATGTATATGTACCCAACAATATGAACAAGAAAGTATACATTTTAATAAATATAAGCTTAAAACTAAATGTATTAAAATTTGTGTCGAGAAATCGAATAATCGTTCACTTTGGTTTTTAGAAAGACCCTATTTATACATCTAGGATTTGGGCCACTAATCTTAAAATAGCCTTTTATGTAGATTATACGAAGCTTTGATACTAGACACTCGAGTCAAATTTTAGCGAGCAGTTTCTCCGTTTGTTGTACTTATGTATAATTACTAGTAGAATGATACATAGTGAAAGCATTAATATATATCACGTACGAAACGTGCGCACCTGTGGGTTTCGCGTAGAGATGCAGAGCGAGTCGTAGTATTGGTGTGAGTAGGAGTAGCTGCGTTGCAGCAATGGAGAGTAGGGCAGGAAAACGCCTTGATGCGAGCTCGTAATGCCAAGTACTGCTCATAGAACCTGCATAACATGCACCATGCCATGCAATACGACTACACTAATGTTTCTTTTAGACGTATAAAGCTCAGAGACAAATGTACTATGCTGAATCTTTGAACATGGAACTTGTTTAAACGCGAAAATATTTTCGTCATAAAACTGACATTGACTGTAGTATAAAAAAAGAGAAAAAAAAGACTATCAAGAAGTTGAAGAATTTTATCCAACGCAAATAAATAAAACAACAAATTTTAGAATACTACGAAAACGTTGTTACGTGTAACATTTGGTTTCAACTCACTTTTCATCCGTTTCAAAACTATGCGTTCTAGTTAAAACCACATCGGATTCGGTATTGTGTTTGTTCGACATGGTCGGTGACTTAATATTCTTGTCCTTTTCTTCAAGCCCTGATTGCATATGAGAAATTAAGTTATCACTCTAATTACATGAAACAAGTATATAGCTTTCCTAAAAGAAACTTACTCGTAGATAAAGAATTCGTTGCTTCTGTATTTTGTATTCTATTTCTGAAGGAGCCTGAACGTCGCCATGATGGTATCACTCCTTCTTCGTTATTATCAATCTGTTGCTTTGGAGGCAATATTGGAGCCTGAACAAGTTACAAAATCGTGGAATCGTATTCTAAATCGCGTAAAATATATATGGCGTATTTATAATTACATTACCTGATTAGGAACTTTATTAGTGTCGGTAGGGGATGAATTGTTCTGGGTTGTTTCTTCTCTATTCGCTCTATTTTTCTTCTCTGTAATGGTAAAATGAATAGAATGTATTTACCAGTAATTTTAGTACGAAACCTTTTTCTAAGAAGGATAGAGATTATTCGATTATTTATTTATGCAGCAGAGAAACTTATTATTCAATAACAGAGCTTTTGACAGAACATTTTTATCAGGAGAAAGAATACAAAGGCATACGTATATATTTTATAATTCATGCAAATGAAGTTTAATTTTAATAGTATAAAAACAGTCTTACAGACAAAACTCACCATCATCTGTAAGACATGGAGAGTGGTTTGATTCGTTAGACTTATCAGATTGATTGGAGTAAGTGGAAGAATGTGATTCTGAGCTAGTCTCAGATTCACCTTCACCATCACTCTCTTCCATATCTGTTTCACGTGTCGCTTCTGTCCATGCAGCATTGTTACAAGAAATACAAATTGCTGTTAAGGTAAGTAAAATAGACTTGCGAAACTGAACGAAGTGTGTAATACATTTTTTTTTAATAAGAAACAAAAACTACTACACCTAATTCAGCATTTCCCAATCATTTATAATTAATAAATTAAAAAAAAAAGAAAAGAAAATACTTGTAACAAATATAACAATAATGGATCAAAATGATGACTGAGAAATACTGGTGTGTATATACTTTTGCTTTCTTTCATTCACAGAATGTTCTAGCAGTATTACGTAGGTATTAATTAAAAGATTGCTACACTAAAAATGAAGGGGATAATATTTTGAATCTTCGTGTTTTCCTGCTCTATAGTAATATTTTTGGAACATTCTGTGCACATAATAAGCTTGGAAAATTCATCACCATTTAGTATTAATATTGAATAATTCATCAAAATGTTTAAATGTGATCATGCAAATTGTCAAACGCGGTAACGATTAATATAAATGATGAACATACCAACATCACTATTTGTTCCAGTACTAGAATCTTCTTTGTCAGACTGAATTTCTAATTCGACTTTTTTAACTTTATTTGGCGTTTCTTCTTCGAAGGTTTCCACAGATTCTTGCATAGCTATCATATTTTCGTTACTCGTTGATACACTAAAATATAAATGATGCAATAAGTGAAATTTATTTTTGTTTTTCTTAATAGCAATTGATAATTCAGTTTTACAAACCGTTTCTTTGGTATAGTTGGCTGCTTTTTGTTTATAATTTGTGGATGATCTTTCATCATAAGTTTCTGTTTCTCTTTCAATTCTTCCAAAGCTTGTAATATATTCGCGTCGGCGATATCAAATGCCGTTTGATCCTGTCAATGTAAAATTGTGAAAGAGACAATTTTGTTTTTAGTTTTAAGTATAAAATAATGTTAATCTTACCGCATAGTTCTTAATGTCCATATTACAGAAATTTTCTACCAAAAGTTCACAGGCTTCCAATTGACCCCAATGTGCTGCAGCATGCAAGGGTGTCCAACCGTCAAAATCTTGAAAATTAACATCACACCTAGCCTGTAGTAAAATGCTGAAAAACACAAATCTCAAATGTAATAAATAATAGATGAAAGTTCCGTTGAATATATTTAAATGCCATGATAATTTTTATTAATTAAAATTTCAACAATCTTACTTCATAACTTTAATGTAGCCCTTGGCAGCTGCAACATGTAGTGCTGTAGCTCCTGATTTAGGATGAATTGAGTCTTTGCCTGTCGCTCCTGATCGCCATGCTCTGGCATCATTTAACATTGACCTCTCTTCTTCACTTCTAGCTTGGTCACAGTCTATGCCTGCGTGGAAACATGTTTCATTAGAAAAAATATATTGTTTTTTTTTAATGGTTACATTACTATTAATGATCAATACAAACCAGCTTCATTTACATGTTGCTGTAACATATCTTCCATCTCATTGCTTTGTGCAATATCGAGAGCTAATTCACCATCATTGTTAACTGCTGCCAAATTACATCCTTTTTCTATTAAATATCTGTAAAATAGACCGTCCCGTTAACAAAAATATCCGAAGATTAATACGACATTGCGATCGTAAAATGGAAAGTAATTACGAACTTAGCAATAGATATCAGTCCACAAGATGCAGTCGCGTGCAGCGGTGTCCATCCTTCATTATCACCACAGTTGATATCAGCTCCTTTTTCTACTAAAAATTCGACCATGTCCAAATCATCATTGATACATGCCTACAATCGAAATATAATTCTTTTTAACTATAAGGCATAATCATGTAAATGAGTAAATAATATGAGATATAAAATAGGTTGTGTATTAACCAAAGAGTACATTAATCCTTTTAATGCCATTGGCCGATTTGGGTCGATTCGATTCATGCGCGAAGAATCTTTCCGACCGATATCGGCCGATTATTCGACGCTAGTGTTTCAATGGGAACGTTTTTGTTAAAAATCCATAGTTAGATATCTCTTTGGGTATTCCTTTGTTAGTCTATAGTTATTTTATATTTTAACTTAACGATATGCGGGCGTCTTGTGTCGGGAATAAGAGGGTTAAAATTTATGAGGAAAAACAGTCATGGAGGATACATTCGAGTGCTGATAAAAGATAAAGTCTTATTCATGCTTATACTATGCAGCTGTATTACAATCAAATATTAATATGTACATTATATAAAAAACTTGCTCGTACACTCTAATTCCAATTGAAAAATATATACAATAACTTATGTGTTTAATGAGTACAACTGTAGAAACATTGAAAACGTTAAAATGTTTACTCATAATTTTTGGTATAGGAATCCTAAATTTACACTAAGAATATTTAAAAGGGGACTTTCTGGCTAAATTAAAAAGGATGTTACATATAATAACATTTTAAGACAGAGGATACATAGAATACAGATACTGCAGGCTCTGACTTCTAACAGAGAACTATAAATAGCATTTGATGCCTGATGTATTTTCACATTCTATTTTCGCAAATCCATGAAATGCTTAAACTTCCTCTTCACTTAAATAACAGTAACAAATAGGATACATTCTATGTAAAATGCAGCATTTAGAAATTTTTTAAATAAACTATTTCTGTACTACATACAGATTATGGGTATTTTATGAATGATTTGGACTGTGTGCAGTAATTACATAACTATAGTGGAATTCAATCATGAACATTATAGTTAAATACTTTTCAAGTTATAGTTAATATATAAATATCACTGAGAAATCATTGTGAATAAAGCAATATTTAAAAATGTTAGATCAATAGGACTTTTTTCTTTCTCACTTAAATGTTCATAAAATTGATACATACAATTGTTGTTTTAAAAGTCTTTGTTTAACAGGTATATTATTTTTTTGACTAAATATGTATTTAATTCTATGTGTATAAGTAAGATTAAACTGTGCGAAATTATGAGTCATGTTAAAAGAACAGTTTTTGTTAATCTTTGTAGAAGACTCCAATATTTTTATGCTTTGGTCCACTACTAAAACGAACATCTTTTAAAGATCTATTTTTAGCCTTATCATAACTTCAACCTATTTTAGTAGTCTCAATAATTTATGTATTATAGTAAAAATTATAGCATTTGTAGAAAATAATACAATAAGCAAAATCTATGAAGATTTTCATCCATCATAAAACTTATGTTACTGAAGTTAAATGAATATTGTATTATTGTATTAAATATTTAAGAAATGAGTTTCAGATTTCATGTTTATAATTTAATTAATGCCAATCTTTCCTTTTCAGTATTTATACACAACTAAAAAAAGGAAGAAACTTAAACTTTAACTATAGCTGACCTAATTATTTCTTTTAACTATGTATGACTTTAATGATTGGCTTTAGTTCAGATTAATGGATACATTTGTATATGTGAAAGTGATAAGAGCAATATTACTTATCAAATGCATTTTTTCCAGCATTAATCACTATGTTACAAAGAAGAACACGAGTATATGAACTTATTATTTCAATAAACTTCTGTGCTAAACTATGTGGCAAGATCTAAAATTAACAAATAAAGTTGAGTTTCGGAAACGTTGTTATTGCTTTCATTGATTCAACATATAAATGATTGATATTGATAGTTCACTGAAATAATATGGAAGAAAACATTAATAATCAGATAAGAGATGTTTCTGCAAATACACATATTCGTACAGCAGTTTATAATTCATTAATTTTTAATTAACAAATATATCAAAAATTGGGAAAGTTTATAACTTCCTGTATTTTACATATAGAGATATGGCTATCAATGCGTAAGATCTACAGTTTAGTAGTAACCATTAAACATTAAGGATTATCAAACAGCTGAATACACTGAATCATAAAGATACACATGACATCTGTTGAATTTTCTTTAGAAAAATGAACTGACAACAGAGTAACATTTTTCATTCAAAGATGAACTTCAGCGTGGGTCAGAACAGTGATTCAGGGACCACGGTGAGTTGAGTCCATCGTTCGAGGGTTAAACGCGTGATACCGATAGTACGGAAGGGAAATTTGACCGATTGCACTTAAATTAGACAGCTGGAGTATATTATGTAGTAGCCATATTGTGACAAGTATTTACAACCAAGGTAAGAAAAACATAGGGATGAAAGCAAAAATTCGGAAAAACTCGAACGAAAGTCGTGTGTAGTGGACAGAGGATGTGCAAGTGGACACAAACAGTATTTGCATTTTCGATTAACTGTATCGAGCCTGACTAAAAAAAGGTAATCAGTGATAAAAAAAGATCAATTGTTCGTAAGCTTGATGCCATTTTAATGGTAAGCATTTTCGTAACATAGACCAAAAATTGAATAGATTACTCGAGAGAAGCAAACGTGTACACAGGTACTTTTTCTAGCCACTTTGTATATCGGGAAGGAATCACGGTGTATAAACAAATGTACGGAAGAAAAGAGGGAGAGGATGGAGGAGGATCCCAGTACCTGGTGTAACGCTGTGAGACCGTCAACGTTTCCGGTGTTGATATCCGCCCCCTTTTCAAGTAAACGTACAACCTCCTCCTTGTCGCCTGCCGCGCACGCTGCCAGGAACACGCAATCCGCGGAGAACTTAATCTTACGCGCGACCTGACGTGGTTGGGCCGGTTCACGATTCGTCTCTGACTGTTCCCAACGTTTCAGCTGTTCAGCCCTTTTAAACAGGGCTGAGCTCGAACGGCTCTCGACAGACATCGCCGAAAAAACACGCACCAACCGCACTCGTAGAACCTTCTAACCACTTCGCACGGTCTCTTCTTCTCTTTCTCTCTCTCTCTCTCTCTCTCTCTCTCTCTCTCTCTCTCTCTTCCCCTTGATATCTCACTCTTTCTCTTCTCCGCGTTTTTGGATCTTCTACTATTTCACCGAGGCCACTACACTGTTCAGTTCACTTCGCGTGATTCGACACGCTGAAACCGACGTTTTCCGTTTCTTGCCTCCATATACGATCACGATCACTAATCGCGTGTCCCGCGACGAAAATTATTTTACGTTAAACAGTTCGTTCGGTTCTTGACGGACCACGCAGGGAGCGGTCGGTCGCCTTCACCAGACTCGGTTACAGGGCGGCTAGATTCGCGTGCTCTTTGCTATTCTTGGCCGTCCCGTAGCCGTACGAGCTGTGTCGAAACCAACGAAACAACCTGTAGTGCAGCCAACATCGGACGATCCCCTATCCCTAGCGCGCAGAGAATGTTCCTAAACGAAGAGATATCCGACTCCTTGAACTAGGAAAATGATTGCTTACTACGCTTCAAATTATTTTACAAAAACTGTACTGATAATACTAAATTAGTCGTTGAAATGATTGTTCAATTAACTATATCGTCACTAGTTGAAATGAGGGCTATTCCTTAAAATACAGAAAAATCATTGAGTACATTTTTTCTAATGGTGACGATTAATTTTTGAGTTCTCTTGGTTCGCTGTTATATATTATAAACGATTTTCAGTTATACGTCTTTAATTACTATAGTAGTTTTGTATGTTTAATGATATGTACTTTCGTATTAAAATTTGTCAAAATACGTGTAGCGCCATCTACAATAGAATATTCAAGCTTTTAGCAAATTAGTACCTCAATAGTTTCGCGAGATGGCACCGCTATACTTTTTGATTTTCTATTTTTAAACAATGAAGTATGTATTTATAATTATCAGTTTAAAAAGATAAGATGAAATGGGAAGTGGAATTACCGTAGTAACGGGTTTAATAAACGCATATTTACACATTTTATTGGTTTTCATTTAAATAATTATGAGATTAAATGTCGCTTGTATACGTATAACATCTGGTAATATGTATCAAACTGTTTATTTATTTACTCCACTTGGACCTACTGTTTATCGTAACGTCTGCTAGGCGGCAGCACTGTGATAGAGAAGTAATTTGTATGCGGTGTCTATATATACCTTAGCTGTGTACTTCAACTGTAGTACCTTCATTATATAGATTCTTATGTCACACATCTAACACTACGGAAGGGAACTACCGCATTGAGTGGAGACCAGTCAAGTCCGACACGCTCGCTGTTGGAATATCGTTGAACAAATATTATCCGATATAACTACGAGAATACGTTGAATAATGGTTTTCCATCACATTTTTGTTCGTGTCAATCGTTAAAGGGAAAACCTATGACTAGATCGGTCGATTTAATATTCAATCTCTCGTAAGCTATTTAGTGATTGGTTTGCAGTGCTGTCTGGCCTAAATTTAATTCCGCGTCGTTGAAAACTGACCGCGTACGTGATACAGTATTCCCAGCACCTATTCCGAGTGAAATATAATCCAACGACTTTTGCCTAGCTCTTACTCGTGTTCAAATTTCATCTATACGTAGTGCCGTCGTTTTCAAACGGGTAAACAAAGAATAATTTATACAACCGACTAAATAATAGCGTGTGTACAACTAAAAACCACGGGAGAAAATCGCGATTGATAGTGTATATTTAAGAAGTGTGTATTGAAGAGAAATGTCAATGACGTCTGAATGATTCAAGTGTATGATTTATGAGGACGAGTGCGGCCATGTGACGAGCTTGGAGACCAATCGGTCGCGGCGCGATAGGCTCAGTTTACCGGCAGAGTTTCATGGCCCATGACCTTTCTGTTGGGTTGTCAGTCACACGTGTAAGGTAGCAGCAACCTGTTGCTATCTTGTCAAGCTCTCGAAAAATGTGCACAACGAATATCGAGCACGCCGTTCAGCACCCGTTCCGGCTGCTCTGGCGACGGAAATGGTACGCGATAATTGCCATAATTACGCTCGTGTTTATTGTTTTGATATTACGGATGTCAACGTACGCGCCCGCATCGTCGACGAACCCGAATCTCTATATGGACGACGCGATGAAAAATGTGTACGAGGACGGTAAGTCCGTTTTATGTAATTTTGTATCGGCCAGGATACTGTCACGAATGGATTCACCGAGATTATTTTTAATTGTATGTTTCGAACCGGCGCGTGTTCATGAAACGCTTGGTCGTGGCGTCGTGAAAGAATCGCGTTATGTATGCACAGTGACGTAACTAGCAACAGACGTGTATTTATTTACGTGGATTATTGTAGCACAACACTAGTGCCCAAAAAAATGTTGAAAAATCTTACAATTAGTTGTTACAACATATCTGTATAGTTAAAACATTTCAAAATTTTATCGTTGTTATACTAAAAGCACAGGCCTGATATGAATATACAAGAAAAGTGTGTACAGGTTTTGAATCACCTTTTGAAGAAGCGCGAGTCATCGAAATGTTTCGCTGTGTGACAATATTTCCGCTGATACTTAAGTTTTGATTGAAATTATTTAAAAATGTATTACCTACGTTCTTTTGTTTACTGCTGTTGCAGTTTCGAACAGGTGGTACAACTTTACTACCGGTGAGTTTAAACGATCAATCATTTTTTATCCGTGTCTGGCTAATCTATAGCCGTCAAGATAACGGTTATTGCCATTTTCTCATTTTTTCTGCTTCGGGTTGTATGGACTCGCAGAACTAGCGTATATGTCAAACGATTCTGATATATTATTCAAACATTGAACGTTTGAGATACGTGTGACTGTTTACATATCTCACGTGACTTTATCGTTTCCCGCCATCTAACAGGCTTACGCAAGTTTGCCAACCTTATAACTCGTATTTGTGTTCCCTGCCTTGTGTAATTATGTGTCCTCTCCGTGCGTTTGGACAGTTGCCGCTGATTCATAAGCAATAATGCTATCGATTAAAAAAAAAGACACGAAAATGTAGTAAATCCTGACAATTGCACAAACGTTAGAAAGAATCTGACAGTTTCGATAGTTCTAGGAGTTCTAATAGCTCCGAAGTTCCGAATGTGTCGAAGGTTCTATGATTTCTGGTAGTTCTGACAGTTCCAAAAGTTCTATGAGATCCGAAATCATTGCTTATTCATGTTTCCAGTTTATGTTTCACCTAACCCAGTCCTTGAAGATAAATTCAAAGCACACCAGAACAAACTAATGAATATTTATCAAACAGCAATTCTTGTGACTGTTCGGAACACTTGCCTGAACAATTCTAAACACTATCTAACGATCAAATAATTTACAATGGTATTTCAACATGCTTCGAGTGACAAAAGAGCACTTATCGTGCTGTGTGTTTTATATTCTTTGTTTTTAACAGGTGATCGAGAAGTAGTTTTGTTGACGTTGTGATTAACATATTGACAGTTCAATCTTTGAACAATCTATTAGAAATTGCGAAGTGTAGATGAAGAAAAAAATACATGTAATTATTATACTCGAGATTGGAAGTGATTGTTAGGAGATGACACTATTTGTAATGAAATTTTTTTCGCACCTTTTTATATTCCACTCAATAATTAGTTTCTCTATGGTGTGTCTAAATGCCGAGATATCGTTATTATTACGCCGACGTCATCGTGAACGCCTCTATTAATCATTAAAGGGCAATTAGGCTGATTAATTTGATGTGTTTGTCTATCGATGCATGACAATCGAGACTTGTGCAGGTATTCGTTAGCACCAGTGGACCGATAATAACGAATGTCTGGAATCTAATCGATGTGCCTGTTGTGTGTTGCGAAAACGAATATTAGCAAATGTCACGATGTAGATATCAATAGGAGATTATGCATATTAAGGAGCTTAACAGTATTACTTACGCACATGGAACAAAATTAGACACGCGAATCTACATATCTGAACGGAACGTTGACTTGGTATTCGATTAGAGACCAATGAGATTTAATTTTCAATGTTTATTTTTCATTATTCACGTAACGTACTGATTACATTAGTTACGCACGAAATAATATACACGGACGAGAAAACGGAGTTAATTTTACGTTTTAAAATGCTTGTTGAGTGTTAAACAGCATCTGAAATAGACATTACTTAAGAAGTTATTTAAGACGTGCACCGATGACCCGTAACGTCTAACTGAATTCAGCCAGACTACGACCTACACGTGGCACCGTTCAAATTCCAAATCGGCATACGTGCACATATTTGTTTATTAAGCTTGCAGATTGATTTGAACTAGTGGTTTACGGTATTATTGTAGGCATCGGATGGTACAATGGAAAAACACTGTCCCCGGATTCACCTAAGTGGGACCGTTACCTGGCGGAACTTCGACGAGAATGGATAATTTGGAAATATGATTCGAATCGATCGTACAACCTTGAACATCCAGAAGTTGACGATCAGTCGATGGGCCAGGCGAAAGTTATCCGGGAAATCCTCAAAGACAAGGTACTTTCGGAAATCGGCACACGTTTGTGAAGTGGATTTAATGTGTTCATTGCCAGACACATTTCACTTGACTCCCTCTCCATTTAATCGAATTATTGCACATTGAAAAGTGAATTAAAAAAGTAAACTTGCTTAACGGCTGAAATGAATAGAGAATATCTTGGATGGTCAAACAGTTACCTACATTACCAGCAAGAAATATTAATCGCTCATTAAGAAAAACATCTAATGGCTATTTATACATTCACGAAGTGTAAAGCTCATGGAGGGGTTTTCAAGTCGTTTTCAGGGATACCAAGATCGCTTCAAGGACCTCAAGGTTGTGGAGATTTTTGGGGTGATTGTGCGGCTACGCTCTGATTCCAATCAAGTGACAAAGGAGTTGAAGTTTGAACTTTCTACCATGAATATTCCTTTTAATTAGGTTCATTTTTTGAATGCAGAAAAACGGATTCTTCGTGGAATGTGGTGCTTACGATGGAGAGACGCGAAGCAACACGTTGGTTCTGGAACGAATCCTCGGCTGGACTGGTCTTCTCGTGGAAGCGGATCCTATAAATTTTAGTAAAATGTCGTTGAAAAACAGAAAGGCCTATCTGACACCCACCTGCCTCGCGGTACAGCCGTATCCCTCGGTGGTACGAAAGTTCGTAGCCTGTCGCAAGCAACTACTTACATGTACATTCAACGAAACACGGGATTTCGCGTACGTTATATTCTCTTGAATTACTTTAATTTACAGAGTTCGTTCCTGATGGCGGATAACGTGGGACGTCTTCACGAAGCGAATGCAACGGACATTAATTTGCCGAACTCAGCTGACGTGGCTCACAGTGGCACGCACGTCCAAGTACAGTGTTTTCCGTTTATACATTACATGACTGCATTGAATATCACCACCGTGAATTACTTCAGTCTTGACGTGGAGGGTAGTGAGCTTCAAATATTAAAAACGATTCCATTCGACAAGATAAGCATAGAGGTACGTGTGTTTCTAACTTTTTTTGGATCATGCCCCACTTCGACGTCTCAAAGATCTCGATGGCCCCCCCCCCCAATATAATAGTAAATAGAGTTCTGAAAAAGTTTATCATTAATAGTTACTTCAAATACATGGGCAAATAAAAGGCTGTTGATGAGGTGTCGAATGTCAGTGATCTGTTGATTGCTCCTCAAAATATTAAAATTGCCCCTCGGTAGGGTATACGCTCCACGCTGGGAAACACTGCTCTAGTCAGAATAAATTCAGTCTTTTCATGATCATTTCTGCACATATTAAAATATCATTAAACGTTAGTGTCGATATAAAATTTAATAACCTGCTGTAAATAATGGGATAACGTTACAGACTCTTTCAGTGGAGTTCTCCCATGTCGAAGATGGCCGAAAACAGCTGATCGACTTCATGGAAAAAAATGGCTACTATGTTTACTCTTCTGTCGTGAGATCGGACAAGTTAGCTCACGATATAATATTCTCGAAATATAGTTTAGAAACGCCTGCTTCGATCGAGTGATCTCGCATGCTAGTGTAAATAGAATTCTTCTCGTTATATTCCTTGTGACTTACCGATACGGTCAGTATTGCGTTACTCGATCAGTTAGCGAAATAAGTCATTCCTATGGCCGCTAGTCAAATACAACTCATCGAATATATTTCATATATGTACATCTTCAGCCGTACTTTGGATAGGATATGGTCCGGTACCGTTAGTGTTATTTATAATTTTATTTTACAAAATATTTACAGGAACATACATTTTTCGCATAATAAAATAAAGTGTCTCTCTGTAGGTACTCGAAAACAAGTAGGTACTACGTCTACAACGTTGCGTCGTTAGAATTTTTGCGAATGAAAATAAATAAATATCGTGCAAACAATCAGGAACCAAATTGGGATTTGCTGCAATTCTCTCCCGTGGTTCCGTTCTCGTTCGACTTCATACGGTCTTTGGTGGTCGTATCGGGGATTTTTTAAACAATCGAAGAGACGAACTTAACGAAAGGAAATGCTGTACAACATTTAAAAACTATTGGAATGACTCGATGTACAGTTAAAGCAACTCCGCCCACTTATTGCCACGTTATGAGCAACAAAGTTCGAATAATTTCACCTGCGATTGCTATAACAAAAATATTCATTTTTACACCTCATTTCGTCAACGGTCATCGTTGAATAAGTAATCGTTTAAAGCTCTCGGACTAGTTTCACCGTTTGTTCGTTATCTCTAGTTTATGAAAATGAAAAAAGAAACGGGGACGTGCAACGTGTTTAAGTGATACCGTAGTACAGTACACTAACATCGTCAGTAGACTGCGGAAGTTTATACAAATTTGGAATTGTAGGTACGAATATTTCAAAATTAAGATGGTACATCATCTTCAATTCTCTACTAGATGCTTCGCTGCATTTGTAATAACGCACAAATAATCTCCGTTTTATTGTATTTTTCAAGTTAAGCAATGCTATAACTGCATAAACGTCCGCAGTCGAATTATCAGCCATCATCGTATGCGAGGAGAGCGTTCAATTTCTTCTTTCGTTCGTATTCACTACGCATTTGTCGTGTCGATCGCGAGAGAATTGTTAACACCGTACCACTCGAAACAGTATTAACACTTGCGATAATCGTAATGTGCCTTATCATAAAGGAAAAAAAAATATAAATACATTTATTTATTTTGCTCCCGTTGACTTTTGTGAACGCATTTTATGTTTCTTAACCCTTTGCGGTCCTGTGTTGAGATGAGCTCCGGATAACATCGAGTTACAATTACCGTCTATACATTAAGAATAAACAATGAAAATATAAAGAAGTAACGATATTGAGGTTCTGATTGTACATGTAGGTGATTTGCAATTTCCGTTTCGATAGTAATTGATGGTTACGGTTCTGCTTATATGGTAAACGTTCATATGGTTTTACTTATATACGCGATTGCGATTATGGTCTCCTTCCTGTATTTACTTGTGGTATATAGCAATTTTGTTTATACAAGTTTGCATTGTTCATTTGAATTACGCGTCTAATTGTTGCAATCTTGATTGTATATTCTACTCTGGTACTGTTTATACACGTGAATACGGTTTTCGATGACGATTGTGTGTACGAGGTAGCGGTTTAGATTGATAAACATTGGTTGCGATAACGCTTTTGACACCAACTCTGTGTAGTTCTCTAATTGTTTGCCAAGTGTCTACACATTCAAGAAGAAGTATTATTGTATTATAAAAATTGGAACTTCCATGTTCAGTCAATTATAAATGACTAAATACTTCTTCATCTTTTATTCGTTATTCGAAACGGTTTATCTATGTGATGAATTTGCCCATCTCTGCCGACACGACGACCAATACGGTTGCGGCAGTGACTTCGAATGAACCTACGACGAGTAATTTCGGGCCGCAAAGGGTTGGTACCTACAGTAATGCCTCGATGAGTGCGGCATACTCGGGTCCACTTCAGAGCATTCGTAGCAAGGCGGAAAGGTTTTCAACCTTTCATGAATTTGTTTTTTTACCCAAAGCCAAGCCTCTGCTAAGCTTCAGTTTACTCTGTTTTGATTGGTTCCACAGAGGGACTCCCCCAGTAGGGGGAATAATGCCGTTGCTTGTGTCGCATTCATCGAGGAATCAGTGTACTTACGTACCCAGGCTTGTCATTCCGTCATGTATTAAAACGACATTCCTAAGCTTAAACTGGTGAAACGGATCTGCGGTTCGACTGGACACAACCGATCCCCGTCTGTCACGAATTGAAATCTCTCCTCTTACTACCGTGTTGCTTCTGTCGGTCCGTTTTATCGGTGACGCCGTCAGAGGAATAACGTATCTCTGATCCCTAAAAATAACAGCAACAGAAAAGGTTCTGGTTAATCTACCAATAAAATGTGTACGGGAGAACAGCCACTCGGTCCCGGTTACGGTTTGGCAAGCTTTATTAGGAACTCAGAACACGTGCATACGATGACGTTTTTCACACTGTTAGACAAGGGGCGCAGACACACGTTACTTCTCATCCCTGTACATTTAATTCTCCAACACGATCGTAAAGGTTATATAACGACGTTTCACAGGGGACGGCATTACGGCTGAAGGTACAGTAAATCATCGATGAGTGTTCGAAGGCTCACATAACAAAAGAGTGTTATATAACAAATTGTTTTATAACTTTGCTATACAACTTATTATGCTACATAGTGTAGACGTACATAGCTTCACGCTGGCTTTTTAATGAGGTTTAGCACAGTGATAGAGCTTGGAATTCTGAAGCCAACGATCTTTGTTTCAGCCGTATATGACCATTAGTTTATGAAATATTTAATGTTCAGTGTCGAGGAAGTCCTCGAATAGTCATTGATGATTTACTGTATCGAAGGGTGTTGACTGGATTGAAGCTGCGGCGACACAGGATTCCCTCTGTGGCTATGAATGAAACCCTCTTACGTGTTCTTTGCACACTGTGCACCGATCACTTAAGTGTGTATATGTGTAAGCACTTGAATAATTAAAGCTTTATTCCTTCCCCCCTTTTTCAACGTAGTTCCGAACGATGAACAATCGTTCGATGTATTTTTCAATCTTTATAACTAGAAACATACTCGTCCACAGAGATACCTCCTGCCACGAGGAACACTGCTCTACTACTTAACATTGTAAAACGTTTACTTAGCTAATCACAGCTTCCGAAACTTCTAAATAACGTTATTCTGCCATTCCCAATCTCCCGTGAATTTGTACTCGTGCTCGAACAAGAGATTAATTTAAGACTTGCTTCGTCGACAGAGATAATTGTGGTTATGGACTTCGGGCGAAGAATCGTTTCTAATGCAAATAAAATGATTCTATGACCGTGGCTCTCGTGTAAATAACATTTGGACTAGTTCAGAGGAAATAAAGATATTCCACTGAATTCAGTTTATATATTGGAATTATGGGAAAGTATTGTCGGTTTTTATAGCAAACTGTTTTCATTAAAAACTCGTTACCTATTGGTTGAATCAGAATTATATAACATATTAAGGGACGCACACGAATGGATACAAATTTGACTTTGTTATATCTTATTTTTTTTCGAGATATCGAAGTATTCTTGAGTTTTTTCGAGGTCAATGCGTTTTTTTCTTTAATACCACATTGCTATCGATGAAAGGACAAATTAAGCGACCTATAACATGATGACCTTGAGTTGACCTTGATTCACCCGGTATACACAAAATCCTTTACACCAGAAGAAATCGAATGATACCAATTCGAACACGATGGACTAACTTTTAAAAAATGGACTTGAACTTTTCGAAACATGTGTCTACGGAAAACGAAGTTAGTGCTTAAGATAGCATTGAAGATTAAACGTGTACGTGTGGCAAAGGACAGAAAACCGACAGTACTTATTCCACGAGGCCAAAATTCGAATAAGAACGAACACACGGTGCTTCTACGGAATGGTTCGTGATCACAGTCAGTCTCCGAACTCCTGCTCCTCCCCCCTCCCCTACAAGGACCATTCACACATAACTCTCCTGCTTCTTTCTACCAATAGTCCCGCTAACAATGGTCGTCTGAAGCTTAATCTGTTTCTCCGTGGACGCGTTGTTGCACGGTACCTTCACGCTGCAGCTCTTGTTGCTGCTGTGCCGCCTCCAGAAGTCGGACTGATTGCTGCTGCAGTTGGTCGAGCCCGTGGTGTACGTTCCTGTTCGGTCCGAGGTTTTCTTCTTCTTCCGTCTATTCGGGCCCAGGCCACAGAGCCTGAGGAATCCCTCCCTGAACTTCGTGGACATCAGATTGTACAGGATTGGATTGATCGCGGAGTTCAGATAGAGCATCACCCGGCAGAAGTACAGAAGCGTGTAGTAGCCCTCTATGCCGAGATCGATGATCATCTGGGGCGGTGTGACCAGTATCCACAGGGTGAACGCTTTGAACGGCAGCAGGCAGAGGAAGAAGCACAGAACGACCGTTCCGAGCATCAGCATCACCTGTTTCCGGTACTTGAGCAAGTTGTTCGACGAGCCACGGCTTATCGTCGGGTTCGCCATCAGATGACGGGCGATCACCGTGTACAAAACGACCAGTATCAGCAACGGGATCACGAAGAAGATGATTATCGTCATCAGGAAGAAGACCATCGTCCAGTACGTGTTCGCCACGATGTTGCAGGTCGAGATGTACGTACCGTCGGTGTTTCTCTCCTTCTCGTAGCTGACCATCAAGAGGATCGGGCTGCGAACAGACGATTGAAACGGGCCACTGAGCTACTTTCGCGAGAAATCGAAAGTATTACGTGTCATATTATTGCTCGATATCGGGTGATTGTGTTTTTGAGGAACCGTGTGGGATTGGGCCTGTGGTTAGGTGGTCAGGTGTTAATCGTGGCTTTCGTTGAAAACATCGCTTGTGTATATTCGTATACTTTTGAACAGCCTGCGGGTACAGAATATAATTACGTTTGTAATATACGTGATTAATAACGATCAGTGACTACACATCTCTTTGAATACTACTCTTTGAAAGGCTTAATGGACGCTAACAGTAGTTCGATTCATGGGTTTTGGCCAATTAGGTGTTGACATCCGTTGCAACGATTGCCGGGGAATCCAAGGGTGCTATGAAGTAAACAGGATGGTCCATTACATCGTTTTTTAAGATACTCGATTAGCTATTGCTTATACATGTTGTTTAAATATGGGCTAGTTGAAAGTATAGGGTTATGTTAAGTGCTTCACCCTAGTAGGAATAGTGTGACACTACAACTCAAGAAAAAAGGTAGCGTTTTTTAAACTCCATATCATAAAGCAGACATGTTTTAGATACACCAGGCGCTTACATCTTGAAAAGCTTCAAGTTTAGCAATAAGTTATGAAGTAAAAGTGCTAGCCCATATTCAGACCACCTCCTCTAGTTGTACACCTTATACAAGATCCTTCGTGCGTAATTTGTAGCTCGTGCACGTCCTAGAGGCGTTAAGAACAGAGATTTAGATGGTAAACGAACGATATAAATATTAGAACAGCAGGGAATACTTGATCAGCCAAAACTCCTGAATTCGAGTATAATAAAGCTGCGTCTACACTATGTAACAAAACAGTGTTATACAACAAATTGTTACGTACCTTGCTATACAGCATGTTTTCATAACTTCTTACAATATTATACCTTTTGGACAAGCCTGTAACAAGTTTGATGGAACAAACAACCCTTTACAACGTGTTATGTTATACAGTGTAGACGCAGCTTAACTTTCATTAATAAAGACAACTCTATCTCCGTGGAATCCTCGTCAACCGAATAATTTCCCGTCCAAGCGCAAAACTGTACGATGTCGATGGGCCGAAAGGGATGATAGAGTAGGCAAGTGTCCTTGATCACAATGATCTATATCCCATTCGAACCGATCAGTCACACGAAGTTCTCCTCCTGTTCCGTGGTATCCGTCCTCCTTGCGCCACCAAAGGCGTTCTTGAACCCGTCGCCCCAGCACGCACCGATTCGGAACAATTTTACGAAACCCTTTCGGAATTTGCTGCTCATCAGATTGTACAGTACAGGGTCCAGGGCGCTGTGCAGATAGAACATGATCCGGCCGAAGTTCAGCAACGCGAAGAACGCGTCACGATCGATGGCGGCGATCTGCTCGGGTGGCGCGACGATGATGAAGAATATAAGGATCCTGTAAGGCGTTAGGCAGACGAAGAAGCTCGCGACCACCGACATCAGCAACGTGATCACGTGTTTCTTCGCGCGGGCATGGTACGAGTCGCTGCTGCCGGTGTTGCTCGTTGATGTTGGATCGGGCATCAGATGCTTGATGATCACCGCGTACAGGATCAACAGGATCACCAACGGCACCAGGTAGAATAAAAGCACCAGAAGCAGGAAGAAGATCACGGTTGCGGTGGTGTCGGCCATGGTCAGACACACCGGAACAATGTTCTTGTCCTGGTCGACCTTGCTCTCCCTCAGACGCATCTCCCGGTACTGAGAGACCCAGATTATGGGACTGCAATCAGTGGAAAATTAGTACGGACGATCGTGTGGGGGACCCGATGTGCTAGCTAGGTCGGCCTTGGTTTTTTCAAGCGGGGAGAGAGGCTTTTTGCTGACCGATCGAGGAGGTGCTTTTCGAATCACGGCGTTGTCTCGTTACGTAGCTCGATGTGAACTCTCGGGGAATACTATCGTTATGTTACGTTATACAGGTTGGACCACGCGACGTGATCAGCTTGTATTATTCTATGGCTAGCTGTTTAATTGGAAATATGTTCGCATCGTGTTAACATTGTATTAATTAAGGTAAATGGTGTTTTCTTAATGTTTCTTTGGTGTAAAGGAAAAACAATTATTTGTTATGACATTTAGAAGGAATGAACGTCCCTATTGTCCTATTCTTTTAACTGTACCATTTTCTGTACCCTTTTATCGTGGTTCGCATAAATATATTTAACGTTTTATAATTAATTCTGCCAGTTCTGCAAAAAGTATGCAAGTGCACATAACTGATTTTGAGAGAATTAATAATGGCGGTTTTTATAGCTAGTCAACAGCGAAATTGAATATAGTTCAAGATCATTCAAAGTTGATTAATATGTAAAATTCCAATTTCGAGGAAAAAATCCAACCTTCGATTCTCGATACGAGGGTAAAAATCGGGACGGAGAACGAGAGAACACCGTAATGCAAAAGCAGTTTCATAGCCCTTCAACCAACCGAAACGCGGACGAGACTTCTTCCGTAAGCACGAAGCTTGGGGGGATTTGAGTGGCCTTACGCTCGATGGGGTTGTATACACTCGGTGTGCTCCCGAACGAAGACACGAAGCTTTCCGTGATATCCGCCGACCCTGTCGGTGAATTCCTCGCGGTCCGTTTAGCGAAGCGGTGAACAGGTTATTAGCGGTTATACGGTCGATGGGTGATCGACTACGGTACTATAATCTCTGAATAGAGAGTCCTCGAGATCCCAGAGAGACGCAGAGCTCCCGATTGACAGGGGTAAACTGGAATTCTCGGTTTGACGTTCAGGGAATTCCCTTGGCAATCGTCTTATTTAAGGGGGAGAATTGCAGATTGTAGTATAATCGTTTCTTTGTTAATACACAGTATTAGATATTTCCTCTTTTATCCATTGTATTCGGTATTGATCTGGTGAAACTTTAGCGTATCAGATAATGTGTCTGACCATATTTTGATATTTCTACTTGAATTGGTGTTCAGAATTAGAGGCGTTGTTAAGGTTGTAATAATTCAATAGATCTTTAGGCATTATTTGTCCTTTCACTGTATCAGATATTTTGGAAATTAATAAAGCTTTCTATGAAATAACAGAAGAGAATAATTTCGGGTGCAATACCTAAGTTAAGCTCAAAAACAAAAATTAAGTCAGGATATTCTTCGTTGTTTAGTGGAGATCGAAGCATAACAGAAAACTCAACTGCTGACTGATACAAAATTCATTAAAATGTTTTTTGATACAACCAATAGGTGACTAGTTATTTTAGATAGTAGTTCTTATTGACTCACCCTGTATACCTATGCGTTTCACATAATTGTTTCAATATTGACACTTTTGTATACTTCACAATTTCGAGATTCACCGATCTCAAAGATTTCCACGTGCCATTCGAGAATGCACGGTAATTACAGTAAATCACCGGAATCGCTCTTCGAGGTGGAATGGCTCTGCGTTTTCTTTTTCTTTTCTCTTTCCAGGCTCGAAAGCCAGATTGCTGTTAGGATAGCTCTCTCCCCGTCACACGGTCGTTCTCCCACGCGCGCGGGTGGACGAAACAGAGTATCCTGTTGCTTCCTTTCGCACGTTCTTGGCTCCGTTCCAAAGTTCGCGGGCGGAAAAGCGACACCGTGATATTGAATTTCCCACGGATGAGCCGACGGTGGCGCAATTTTCAGTTAATTGCAACCGGTCGATTTATCTTTCACCCCCCTTTTTCCGGGACAAGGAGACACGAGGATCGTCTTGGAATTCCATCGTGTCCACGTGGTGGATATTCCTTTGGATTCAAGTTAAAATTGTTAATCTCGACGAGCCCCGTTTAGGTAACAGACGAAAGTTTCGAAATTACCAAATTTTTACCTCTTCCCTGTAACCAGGTGTAGTGGGTTAACTGGTCCACAGTTTCTTTAAACACCAAGTCTGAATGGGTTAAATGAAATTTCACTGTGTAATGTCGTATCTAAAGCAGGTTCGCCACGAGGACCAAAAGATTTATCAAATGTTAGATGGTTTGTTGCCCAACTACCAAGAACTTCATCCAGATTTACAATTCGAGGTGGGACTAATTAAGGAAACTGCGTCCTACTTCCTGCGTTTCACTCTTCGAAGTTGCTCGAGATTGGTGGAGGACACGATCCTCTGAACTAAAACGAGCCACACGTCATTCTGTCGACGCGCCGCGTGGAAAATTACCTCGTAGATCAGACGAAACTTCGGGCAAAGCCAGTGATCCATCAATGGTATTGTGAATGGCATCGGCGAAACGGTTCGAAAAAGCCCATTCAGATAATAAGACTTTGAACATCTATCTTCCTTTTGAAGCATAATAAACAGGAACCACACGGTTGCTTGTTCAGCTTACTCGCGGAAGCAACAGTTCTGAAGTTCGCTTCTTTTTTTTTTCTTGTGCTTTTTTGTTTGAAGTTAACTTTTATCGATTTCTTCGGTAACTTTTAGATGAAACTTAAGCGAATCTACACAGACCCTTTTCTTTATTGGACTTGACAAGATTTATTTGACGTCTGCTGGTTACCCGCGAGAGGAATATTATCTTGCAGCTCTTGGACGGTTATTGTGCAGAGAATTATTTAAAATGTTCTATGTTGCTGTTCATGCAGAAATGTTTTATTATATTTTGTGAATTAATTATATTCTGTCGACTGGGCCGAAATGTTCTAGGTTGAAAACGTCTGATTTATTCCTCTATAATTCCACATTATTTAACTCTGAAGTGAACAAATCGGTATATACTAGAATATACTAGTGAAATTTTGGTGTTTCGTAACTAGAATTTCCTCGTGCCTTTCTCACCGAATAAAGTTTAAGGGAATTTCCGACGATTAATCAACCGAACGACCGGCAAGAGAGGGCTTTATCTCTTGGCTGTAACCGTGGTTGCGAAGAATTTAAGTGTGCACTTCCTCTTACAACAAACAGAGCGGTTAAAGGATCTCAAAGGAGGATTTTCCTATTGATCAAACTCCTTCTAACTA